TTCGGTCACCCTTCGCAACAAGTCATCGAAGCATAACCTGCGTGTTGCCGGAGAGGAGGAGGAGGAGGAGGAGGAGGAGGAGACCGAACGCCACTACCAGATCGCGGGCCGTTCCCACAAGCGCAATGCTGCGTCTGGTAATTGGGATGTGCGACCTCAGCTGTGGACTAACGGCTATAGCGTTAACCGACGTCCCTCTCTGAACAGCGTCTCCGCATTACACGGTTTCTATGCGCCCACCGCAGCTATTCCAATTCCCATCCCGGGGCATGGATCGGAGCCGCCCATCTTACCGAATGATCGGTTCTCGGGTGCGGCGGCTCGTGCGGCGGCTGCTGCGCAGAATGAACAGATGGAGATGGCTAGACTCGAACTCGCTCGGTCGGAGCGAGACAAAACTCTCGACACGATCGTGACGCAGGATTCAGAGAGTGGGATCGAAATTGATCTACGGGACCACACTGACTCGGACACTGAGCTGGACATTCTGCGCATTGGTAAGGCCTCTACTACGCACTCGACCCTCATCACATTGTTTGCATGCTAACTGATCTCTTAGATCCGGCTTCGTATTTGCCAGCGGAAATCATGACACACGTTCTTTCTTATCTGGATCCTGCTTCCTTGTTGAATTCCGAGCTTGTATCGCATCTTTGGAACCAGCATGCCTCGTCTCCTTTTGTCTGGAAGCCCGTGTTTCGTGGTGCCTACCCCCGTCGCCCTGCTAATTCTACCGCAACCAAGAAAAAGCAATCTTTCGGGTTGGGAAAGAAGATTCCTAACCAAGACTGGAAGAGAATGTTCCTTGTCAGGCGAGCTCTGGAGCACCGTTGGAAAGAAGGCAAAGCGGCAGCTATTTACTTGCATGGACACCAAGACAGTGTCTACTGCGCGCAGTTTGATGAGTACGTTGTATCCGCCCACTAATCTCATTTCTTTACATCCGTACTAATGTCCTGTTAGAGATAAAATCATTACCGGGTCTCGGGATCGCACGATTCGTGTGTGGGATGCTCACTATCCTTGGCCTTGCCTTAAGGTCATTGGTCCTCCTCCTTCGAATGATGCGCCTGGAATTGGCCAAGTGAACAACCCAGCCCAACAGGCGACTGGAAAGTCTCCCTTTATGACCATCTGTCCCCCGTCCACTCCCCTGGAGAACATTGTTACGCCAATGGAGCAGCCACTGGATTACCACAGTGCATCGATCCTTTGTCTGCGTTTTGATGAGGAGATCATGGTCACTGGGTCTTCGGACTATACCTGCATCGTGTGGGATATTAAAAATGATTACAAGCCGATCCGTCGTCTTGCTGGTCACCGTGCCGGTGTGCTGGATGTCTGTTTTGATGATCGTTACATCGTTTCATGCTCCAAGGATAGCACCATCTGCGTATGGGACCGCAAGACTGGCGAACTACTGAAGAACCTTGTTGGTCACCGCGGGCCGGTGAATGCCGTGCAACTGCGGGGTGATCTCGTGGTGTCAGCCAGCGGTGATGGCGTGGCCAAGTTGTGGAACGTCACATCCGGCCACTGCGTCAAGGAGTTCCCCAGCAAGGACCGCGGTTTAGCGTGTGTTGAGTTTAGCGATGATGGTCGGACCATCTTGACCGGTGGAAACGATAAGACTATTTATCAGTTCAATGCCAACACAGGCGAGTTGGTCAGTGAGCTTCGTGGTCACACTGGATTGATCCGCTCGCTGCACCTGGACAGCATGAACAAGCGTATCGTCAGCGGCAGTTACGATATGAGTGTCAAGGTCTTCGATGCTGACTCTGGCGAATTATCTATTGACCTGCCTGGATGGACCACGAGCTGGATGCTAAACGTCCAGTCGGATTACCGACGCATTGTGGCCACCAGTCAGGACTCCCGCGCTGTAATCATGGATTTCGGCTACGGCCTCGACGGGATTGATCTGTTGGAAGAGTGATCTCGAGTATCTTCTCATATAATATTTTTGCTCTGGAAATAATATTTAGCGTGTTTTTCTTCTTTTGTTTGGGACAGATTGATTGGCATTCATGGGTGGATTCTGGGGGAGTTAGCATCAAAATTGGGAACTTCGGACATTTGAAAATCAGGTAGGGGGGGCACTCGGGGCATAGATATTTCATACGCTCATTTTTGGGCTTTATTGCGTTAAAGCTTGGGTTACAGCAATGATATACACTTCGATCACACAGACTGTGTCTAAAAATCTTTCTTATGGTTCCAATAGTTGAATATAGTTCCAGAGAACCGAAAAGCTAGAAATGGAAGCCTGAGGCGATAAGGCGGTGAGATGACGTAAAGTCCTTGCGATTGGTTGTTTTGGTGCCTAGTGCCACTGTGATCCGTGGGTTTTGGCATCAAAACAATCACGTCGCTGTTTTGCATCAACACAGACAGGCAGACCCTGACAAGGAGCCCTGGTTCCGAATTATCACGTCCACATTAGCGCTTCACTCACTCCCCTAATTCTCACGTTTCCCCCACCCCCTTCTCCTTTGCAATTTCGGCTACGGCTATCACTACCCCACCATGGGTGAATCGAGGTTCGGCTTTCACCCCCTGTCGTCAATTAGTTGCGCGCCAATGATGAACTGACAATATTATTTTAATAAAGACAAGAGCTTCTGGCTTGGTTGAACAACCTGCTCCAGTTGAATATTACCAAGATCGAACAATGTGGAACCGGGTATGATAGATCGACAAGCCCCCTCTCGCGACGACTGGCCAACGGATAGGCGGCTCGAAGAGTGTGACTGACATGGGATTCTGCATGTTCGATACAGTGCCGCGCTATGCCAGATCTTTGATTCGGTCTTCAGTGAGTGCAGCCTTGATTGCAAGATTTGTCGACTAGCGGTCAGACGCGAAAGGGGAAAGAGGGAGGGAGAAAAAAAAAAAAAAAAAGCTGGATGGTCTTTACTGATGCGGTGATTTTTTTTCTCTAGTGGATGTGCCCATGTCACGCGTCAAGTTCAACGTCAATACCGAATATGCCTACCTGCAGAACTTTAAGGTCCTCCAGAGTATGTCCCGACGAACTTAATCTCGGTCCCCGACTCCCATCCTGACCTAACATTCGTCCAGACGTCTTCGCCCGCCATGGCGTAGACAAGCCCATTCCTGTTCAATCCCTTACCAAATGCCGCATGCAGGATAACCTGGAATTCCTTCAGTGGGTCAAACGTTACTGGGACCAGCACTACCCCGGTGGTGAATACGACGCCGTTAGCCGACGGAAGGCTTCGGGTGCCCCTGCTGGTACTGCCAGTGCTTCCTCACGCGCTCCCTCGGCAGGCTCTCGCCGTGGCGCTACCCCGGTCACATCTGCTGCTCGTCCCCGGGTTGCTACTTCAGGCCCCAACACCTCGGCCCTGACACAGGAGATCGCTACCCAGAAGGAGGCTATTGCTGGTCTTGAGAAGGAGCGGGACTTCTACTTTGCTAAGCTGCGGGACATTGAGCTGCTTCTGCAGACCGCGATTGAGGCCGACCCTGAGCTGGAGAAGGAGGAAGATACTCTCGTGAAGCACATTCAGGGCATTCTGTACTCGACTGAGGTGAGTTTATGATTATGTCACTGATGCTTATCGGCTACGAGGCCCCATACTAAACTTAATTTTCCAGGATGGATTCGAGATTCCGGCCGAGGCGGAGGAGGGTGTGGCCGATGAACTGGAGACATTCTAAGCCGCAAAATAGGGAGGGGAATAGAGAGCGCGATGTCCCATTTTACTAAATACCCCCCGTTTGTGTTTCTCGAGACGAGAGCATAGTGAATTTACCTGTGAAGTACAGAGAGTAGAGATGATTATTATTGGAATGGTTTCACCATGGTTAAGATGAGTATCAAGTAATCTGTAATATTAATAACTGGGACTGCTGTCCTTGCTGAACAATAATTAAACCCGCGTGAGACGCTAAACCCATTGTAGCTTAGCGGTGGTGACAGTGGCTGGCCAGAACCCTCGGCAGTCTCCACTTCGCCTTCTCTGATTCGTCCTTTCACTCGTGTACCTGCAGCGTCACTATTCCTTTTTCGAGCCCCCCCCCCGTTGGTCTCCTCGCATCTTTATGGATTTTCCCTTCCCAAATAAACAAAGATGCTTTCGGAATCAAACTTGTTTCTTCCAACTTTGAAATCTTCAATCCTTTGTGAGCATCTGGACCGCCTGAAAGTATAGGGGAAACCCCCACGAGTAAAGACCAATTTGGCCCCGTCGGGCTAGTTCGTCATCCACGCGGGTCGGGACTTAGCTTCGATTAGGGGAGCGCTGGGTCCCGGTCTGGCCGTTCCACCCATTTCGCTTTTTTCTCTTCTCTTCTCTTCTTTCCCCCCACTCTCAAGACATACTCACCAGAGTCACTGTTTCTGCAGAAAGAAGGTCTTCGGGACTACGTCGTGTCAACGCCCAGTGCGTCTTGCTTATCACCGTTGAACCCGTATCTTCCGGGTCGGCGCTGATATCACTTGACCGTCAGTGCTTTGGAGGGAAAATCGTCTTCTGCAATGTTCAACATGGACTAGGCCGCGCGGTCTCTCCTTGAATTGTGCTTTTTTCTTCACTCTTTTGATTCTGGTAAGTTGCTCATGGGAAATTTGAGTCCGAGTGAGACCCAAAAAGAAAACCACAAATGCACCATATCTACCTTGTCACACCTCGATGAACAGTGAATCGAACCATGCTAACAGTACCCGAACTCCAGGCTATTCAGACGAATGCCATTCACTCATTACTGAATCCCAAACGTTGGCGGCTCATTCAATCCGGCCAACATCCATTCCTTACTTCTTCCACCAACTTTATCCTTTTGGAAACTTTGGTGTCATTCCTTCTATCGAACTAGCGGGCAAGACCCGGCTGCTATCTGTCCCGACGAACCACTCGCCAAGGAACATACACTTCCATTCACTATCGTGCTGGTCGATCCAGCCCCGACCTCTGTGAGGACATACGACAAACCTTTGTTCTCACATTCTTTGTTTATCAACCATCGACACGATGTCTCACCACGGATATCGCCATTCTCGGATCGGGAGGATCATCAATGCAAAGCATCGACATGAGGCTGGTGACGGAGATGTAGTGGATGACTCGAACCCAATTGTACAGGACGTGGCCGAAGCGCAAAAGCCTCTGGTATCTGAAGTCACAATATTGGCCGAGCCATGCTACCCGTTGCTGGATAAGGCGTGTCTGGAGAATAGAGCCACCCTCTCCGAAGACTTCCTGGTAAAACGACAAGCGGAATCATCCCAAACCTTAGCTGAAGTGCCGACTGTAGTGCAAGTGGTGGAGAGCGCCTCCCAAACTTCATGGCCATCCACCGGAATGGATTTTCCAATGACCAATTCAACCACAGCTCTCCTTAGCGTGACGATCTCAGTGAGTGATTCGTTGCTGGTGTCTTCTCCAACAGACTCTCCAATCACGTCGATCACGTCGCCTGCTACTCAGATCACGACTACGGCTACAGCAACGGCAACGGCTACAAGCAAGCAGCGTGTACCTATCTCGTCGCCCAAGGTTTCTGCGGCTGCTAGCTCTCAGCCTCATACTTCTACTCCCCTGGTTTCATCTGCCAGCAGCCCGACAACTTCATCTACGACCAGTACCCCAACTGTGAACAGTGTTTACTATCATCCCTCGTCATACTCATCTTTTTACTCCGACTCCGACACTACCACTTCGTGGACTGGCTACTATTCAAGCTCGATGCAATCGCCATCTTCATCTACGGGACTGTATGGAGGTGCTGTGCAGACTGGTCTTAATTCTGGCTCCGGAGTCGACGATGGATCAGGGTCATCCACGAACACAGGGTCCTCAGGCTCAGGGTCTTCTATCTCCCCTACAACATCCAAAATCGTGGGCGGAGTTGTGGGTAGCGTTGCAGGTCTGGCTTTACTTTTCGCTCTTCTCTTTTATATCCTCCGCCGACGCGGTTACCTCCAGCGCTTTTTAAAGGACCAAGGAACCGAGACCCTTCCATCCAGCGATGCTGGGACTGCTGCTACCAGAGAAATGTCCGAGAGACCCTCAAGCGTTCTTACCACTTCGTACCTGGCTCCTGCCTTCATGAAGCGCTGGCGCCAGTCCACCATGACCACAAAGACCGACAGCACAATTGATTCCAATTCCAGCGAACGCGGATTTCAAAAGATTGCTGGCCGAAAGATTCCTCCCGTCCTCACTCATGGAGGAGATGGCTTTGGCGGTGGACTAGATGGCGATTCACCCACCGTCCCTGACTATCTAATTGGTCTATCTCCCCCATCCCCCGGTGCAGGACCAAGTGGAGGCAACCTATCTTCTCCGGGTGGAGGTCCGCCTCCAGCTTCTCCGTTCGGCTCACCACTTGATACGAACTACACCCGGGAAGCGGACGAATTTCCACCCCCAGAACGGCCCAAGATCCAACTACCAGTCTCCAGCTCAGTGAATTTCGGCTCTCCGACCATGGTCACATCTTCTCCCCATCTTATTCCTCAACCTCAAAGTGCGGTGCCTGTACAGCGCGATTCAGTGGGACGAAGCCATCCAAGCCTTGACGGAAGCCGCGGCAGCCGCTTCACGGAGAGTTTGGATCTGTGATCCTCACTCTTCGAGATATGCGATATGCGATACGAACTAGAAAAAAAAAAACAAAACAAAAAGCCGATGCATTACGGGACTTGGAGATCCGACCTAGCCAATAGGTCATGATCCATTTGAGCGCTTTGATTTGGTTACCGTCCTCTTTCGCCATTATCTTGTTTTGCTTTCATCTTCTTCTGCTCTCGGAGCGCTTTCTGTCTTTGACTGTATTTTTCATCTTGCCTTTCTTCTATTGTCATTTCTTCCATATAGATACCCATCCTTTGATCCCCACCACTTGTCAATATTTTGTTGTCTGTCTGTCTCTATTTCTTTTTGTCGTTGCTTCCAGGAACATTTTGGTAATAAGGTTATGAGCCAATCTTTGGTCATACATTAATGTGTGGATAGTCCAGGATAATTTAATAATTGTACCTAAAGCAAATACTTTCAATCATGGAAGCCTCGATCGGGGCACTAAAATCTCCTTCCAGCTCTTAGTATTATTGCACATCGATTTGGCTTTGAATTCCAAGGCAATGGATTGCGAAGTGCATTCGGGTACCAACTAGAGGACTTGGAAACGGTGTCACCATCTACACTCTTTCATTGTTCCCCCTAACCCTAAATGCCAAGTCACGCTCAACCACATCAAGAGATTAATGGAAATACGTAATGATTTTCCGGTTCTTCACAAATACAGATACGTACGCAAATACCGCATGCTCATGTGCGTGTAGGGGCTACGTGTGATGCTGGAATCTTCTAGAGAAATGCAAAGAACTCGTAATAACCTCAGCAATGGTGGATCTTGCGGATCGACCGCCTGTCATTTCTCCGCCAGTCGCAATCGTCCCCGAATTGGCCCGCAGACCATCAGTCAAACTCCCCGGTCTCGACTCTCTATTCGAAGTCTCCGGGGATCCCTTGGACAAGCCATGCTGGGCTCTGATGATGCCTTCACCTCTCCCGTCCGAGTGGCAATCCTAGCGCTTACTGATACTTTTGAAACTGTACAACCGGGAAACGATATCCTAGTATCAAGACAAGGTGATCTAGCTCAATATTCTCAGCATTTTGTGGCTACATATTCAGCACTAGCCTCAGAAGTGTGGTATTGATGATACCCATTCCACCGTGGTATAAGAGCCCTCGGGAAGGGCTCTCATTGAAGCACAGACGAGCGCCATAATTCCAAGTCGTGTAATCACATAGATGTACGTGCTAATCCGCTTGGGGATAAGTTGTATGTTACGAGCCTTTTTCCAATGGGATTCATCGTAGAAAGTCACCATGAAAGAGGGAAGTTGGCGATTTTCTCTCAAGTAATCGACAACAGCCATCGCAAAGTCAACGATGATGAAGATTACTACTACGCCGATAGCAATAAGATTGAGCGAATTCCATGCTATTCTTTCTGCATGTGTAGGGAAATCAAAGTCCCATCTATTAGAATGGTCAGTGTCATCGTATCGTCGACAAATGATGGGGAGGCTTACGCAGCAAGATGTATCCCACTGTATGCTAGAGCAGCAAATGAATAGATGAAGAGTGATATAAATGAGAGGATCGTGGCCCCCTTGTTCTCCTTCTTCCTCACAACCTCGCCCTCTTGTGGGGGGTCTATGACAAAGATTGAAGTCGTGAGACTTGATTTGAGGGTATCCAGCATGGTCTCTTTCTTGACTTGGACCTTCAAGTGAGTCCATCGGTGAGAATCAATCTTATCCGGGAAATTCGCCTCCAAAGTCCGACGGTCACAGGGTAGAATCACAAGGACGGGTGTGCTGATGTCCTTAGGTTTATACCACCAAGTGAGATATGTAAGAATGGCGATGACGACATAGGCAACAGTTGCCAACTCCAATGGCGATACTGGAATGTGGTAACCCCATCTTGTGAAAGCGTTGCAGAGAAACCACGTAACTTGGAATAAGGTGAAAAGTTTGGCGAACGAGTCTGCTTTAGCGCGAGACTGGATCTCCTGCTCAGGAAGGTCCGAGGGCCTCACAGTGCCCGATGTAATAAAATCCACCATCTCCTCATCGGTTAGTACACTGTAGACCCATTCATCCTTTGTTCGTAAGGCCAATGCGCCCGCGTTGATGCAGAAGGCCTGAACTAGTGACCACGTCTCAGAACCTGGATCTGCACGAAGTTTCTCGGGTGGGCTGTGCATGGAGGTCTCAGGTGATTTTAGTTTAGTTGGTTCATGGTTCAATGCTACATTATACATATTTTGGGACTCTCTTGCATTTGTAAGCTGTAGCCAGGCGAATCCGAAAATCACCTCCGGGACTAGGAGTGCCATAAACCAAGTGCGTAGGAACATGATGGTTTGTCGGAAGTTGGTAGCATCTCGATTAGGTACATCGGCATGTATGACTGTCCAAGTGCAGGCAAATATGGTGGAACCACAAGCCCAAAGTATGTCCCAAGCAGAGCGGCTATCGTCATCCAGTCGCCAGCTCACTAGGCTGGTATGTGTGGAGTTGGAGCCCATGGGCAGTGAAATTCGTAAATTAGGTTCTTGGTGAGAATGAAAAGGTAAACATGCAGGGTGGCCTGTAAGGAGTGGCACCGAGAGTTCTAGCCGTGTGAATCAGGAGGTGCCATGGTTCGGGGTCATCTGTGGGGGCGGGAAGGGAAGAAGTTTCGCATGACTAAGCATAATCTTCAAACAGTCTCAAAAGAACGTGGGAAGTTCTGATAATGCGTGAAGCTCCACGTCTACTTTATCCACGCAACATCTTCTCATATATCACCTGTCTCGCTAACATGTGTCCTCTGGCTTAGCAAACTTGCCTTGACCATGGTAGAGATTCCTAAGATTGCCGAGATTAGGTGCTGCATACCTGCGAAAGGACCCTAGACGCGTCCATGGCTGATACAAGCCTTGGCTCAGACCATTTCCTAGAATGCTGGGAAAGCTCTAGTCACACCGTTGGCAACATGCTGAGGCTCGCTCTCCGAAATTGTCAGAAAATGCGAACTGACAAAGCCCTGCGAACCTCCGGCTGGGATCGATATACATCAGATCCACTGTCTAAGTTGTCGAGTAGGCAACCAGATACTGAAAGAATAAGGCGTGACAGGCTATCCACTTTATGAAAGCGGAGAGTCCATCACCGCTTATCATAGCATGTACACGTAAGCTCAAGCGCAATTTCAGGTGGATTCGGTGCCACGATTCATTGCGCCATTCGTGTAGTCTTGTCAACTTGTCAAACGAAGACCGGAAAGGACATGGGATACCGAGGCTGCCAGGTAGTGAAACAATGGCTCTATCTAGTCAATAATCCGGTATCTTATAGTACCATGACTATTGCCATCGCGAATTATAACTCAGCAATCGTCATTCCTACCTCAAAGCCAACCACCTCACATCAAACAAACCCCTACCAAGGGCAAAGCAATATTGATACCAGAGCTGAATCTCTTAGTCCCACTCCAATGACTCCACTACATTATTCCGCGATGGCAGAGACAATCTTCAAGACATGAAGGAGTCATCCGCTGAAATCACTCAACACCCTGACAGGCTGAATTGAAAATCCCAGTAGTGACTCAGACGAACTTGAATAAAACACCCATGTGGGACTTTTGGTCACAAGTCAACAGAAGTCAAGAATTAGAGGAGCTAGGCCAACTTTTTATTCAACCTAGGGTATAGGGTCTAGGTCTTGGGGCTGTGCTTCTAGCCCTGGCAAGGATTAGGCTGCTGCGGCAGTACGGAGCCTTTTGGCTGCGGGCTGCTGAGGAGCATCCGCGTGCTTGTAGGTAGAGATTATGCAGAGAAGGGCTTACTACTCTCTAGGAGAGAAAGAAATTCCTGTTCGGGATCATTGAACTTGACTTGTATGGGTGAGAATGGATTTGACTGTCCGGTTACATTTTTGATTATTAGCGGCTTGACAACGGACACCTGCAAGGGTTTTTAAGATTCCGACAAAACATATCAGGAGATATAGAGACAATTTAGATTGATGTAGCATCATGTCTGTGGGAATCCATTTTATACACGATATTACAACTTAGTATAGATGCTTGATAAGAGCATGAATACGAAATCTGCCTTGGGTGGTGTGTTGCCTAAATAGCTGGCATTTAAGACATCTTACCCCAGGCTAAATGTGTTACAGCCTCCTCTGCTGATCAGCCACCATGTACCCCAAGCGCATATACCCGAGGGTCTGGAGGCTCAGCTTGGCTTATGCCCGGAGCCTGGAGATCATCACCTTATCTCCGCACCGCCACAAGGTTAATTGCCACGGGTCTAAGCCACACGGCTGTGGCTAGTGGCAAGATCATCGCCAAGCTTCCTTGCAGACTGAATCATTCACGCGAGCAAGTGCTGAGTGGCCAAATTATATGTCAGATCGTCGCATCCCTGTCACCACCCGCCAATGAGGGTTTTTTGTTGCTTACAGAGATGGATTAATAATGCGGATGATTTCCAAACTTTGTCAGGACAGACCTCTTCAGAGTACCTACATACTTAACCTATACCAAGCCACTATGACACACTTGACAATATTCTCTCGCCTCCTTACTTGTGGGAAAGAGTGCCATGAAGGTTGATGGGTGACCATTCTATCTGACGCATAGAGTTAGGCGGGGTTTCTCAAATTCCGTATCATTGGTTTTTCATTGAGGCGCAGCAAGCAAACCACTCCACCCATGGTAACCGCCGGCAGGCCCAAATCCGTCAGCTCAGACGGGGATTGGATCGCACTCTCGGCGGAACCAGTTTCAATATCTGATTCTGTCGTCAGGCCCAGCGCCACGGGTCAGCAAAGAATAAGCTGGAGTTTGAGAGATAGTATGCCGGCGCCTAGATTCAGTTGTCAGTAGTAGATCCATGCATTGGAGGTCACCCGGTCCGTGTACTTTTAGCGGCTCCTTCCAATTCGCCCCCAAGTATTATCTGTATCTCTGCTACCTCGGGTTATGTAGCCTTTGAATGGGTTGGGCCGCCCAGTAAACTTAAGATAAGAGGCTGTGTTTCTTGGGAAACGTCATCTTCAAAGGATCACCCCGGGTGACGAGCTTTTTTCTACTCTCGTGCCAATATTATTACCGCCGTTCTTCTGAACACACCTGTGGAGTCTAGCTTGGCATCTTCTTAACTCTGAGCGAGACTGAAATGTCCTATCGACGTTCGGCTCCTTCTTCTCTGGGCGATCTAGGCATTTATACACAGCCACCTTGGCATTTTCAGAGGGGGTCATAACAGCCTCTTGCGCCCCAGATTTGGAACAGGAACCAAAAACGAAACTACAAACCGACATTTCCTTATCAATCTTGCATAATTGAAGGAGCGAACTTGGTGCATTAGCGGCCATGTCTTCTCCAAATCACAACCCGCATCAGGGCTCATTTTTGAGCCCGATTGTGGTTACCAACACTTCCGGCAGAGAGGTACGTTCTATACCATCTGAACCTGGGTTAACGCCAAATTTCATTCATACTAACGTGCTTCTACTTCAGCGCTCGCTATCAGTTTCGTCAGTAGCAGCCTCTTCATCATGTCCTAGTCCTACAGATTTTGCCCATAGTCCATCATCAACTTTATCCCCCGACATGGCATGGAATCAAGATTCAAACCACTTAAGCGTGCAACATGCCTCGCATCGACCCTCACAGTCCATCGACGGAGATACTCTCCGTCCACGCTCGGACTCATTCACCTCAAATACAGATACAATGGTGCTCCGCTCACGAACAAATTCCGACGTTGGCACCAAAATACTATACGACGATGTCCCACTGTCCGAGGCATTACGACCTGATCCTCGTGAAGAAGCGGATTTCCATGTGCAAGAAAATAGATTCGCCTTCTCACCCGGCCAACTAAATAAAATGCAGAACCCGAAATCTCTCGCTGCTTTCCATGCTCTTGGTGGCTTGCAGGGACTTGAACGTGGTCTTCGGACTGATCTTCATGCAGGTTTATCTGTTGATGAAGGTCGATTGGCTGGATCTGTGGATTTCCAGCAGGTTACGCCGCCTTTATATGATAGACGGTCCTCGACTGCCAAGGCACCTCTTGATGAGAAGAGTAACGAGGCGCTGAGCACCACGCCTGAGGCTTTTGGTGATGGTGGTTCACCATTTGAAGACCGGACCCGGATTTTCGGGAAGAATCAACTCCCGGCTCGAAAGTCGACTGGATTCTTCAAATTGTTTTGGATTGCATATAATGATAAAATTATTATTTTGTTGACCATCGCTGCTATTGTCTCACTGTCCTTGGGCATATACGAGACTATTGACGATGGCACTGGTGTGGAGTGGGTGGAGGGTGTTGCTATTTGTGTTGCTATTTTGATTGTCACTGTTGTGACTGCTGCCAACGATTGGCAGAAGGAAAGACAGTTTGCCAAACTCAATAAGCGGGTGAGTTTTCTGGCTTGTTTTACTATATCATATGCTGACTTTTTATTCTTTAGAATGATGACCGAGATGTCAAAGTGGTTCGCTCGGGCAGATCCATGATGGTATCTGTCTATGATATCATGGTTGGCGATGTCCTTCACCTTGAACCTGGTGATTCGATCCCAGCGGATGGAATCTTAATCTCGGGGCATGGTGTGAAATGTGATGAATCGTCTGCGACGGGTGAGTCTGATCAGATGAAGAAAACGGATGGCAATGAAGTCTGGCAACAAATTATCGAGGGGAGAGCGACCAAGAAGCTTGACCCTTTTATGATCTCCGGCAGCAAGGTTCTGGAGGGCGTTGGTACCTATTTGGTTACTAGTGTTGGGCCATATTCTACATATGGTCGCATCATGCTCTCATTGCAGACTACTAATGACCCGACGCCGCTCCAGGTGAAACTGGGTCGCTTAGCTGATTGGATTGGATATCTGGGTTCAGCGTAAGTGAACAATGCCTTGATACACGGAGAGCTATACTGACGAGCTCTTTCAGTGCTGCCATTATCTTATTTTTGGTCTTGCTGTTCCGATTTATTGCTGACCTGCCAAATAACCATGGCAATTCCGCTGCCAAGGGCAAGGAGTTTGTGGATATTCTCATTGTGGCTGTGACTGTTATTGTTGTCGCCATTCCAGGTAAGAAATTCTGCCCCCTACATAATATTCTCAAAGACTAATACCTGATTTCTATTTAGAGGGCCTGCCTTTGGCTGTCACACTGGCTTTGGCATTTGCTACCACGCGCATGGTCAAGGAGAATAACCTCGTTCGTGTCCTTCGGGCCTGCGAGACAATGGGAAACGCCACAGTTATCTGCTCAGATAAGACAGGAACTCTGACACAGAACAAGATGACTGTGGTTGCCGGTACTTGGAGCTCAAATCAAAGCTTCAACCAGTCCACTGAGATTGACGTTGAACCCACCGGTAACATACCAATGAGCACTGCAGAGGTCTTCAAAATATTTTCAAACCCGGTACGAGATCTCATTGTCAAAAGTGTCGCTTTGAATTCTACAGCATTTGAAGAGTTCAAAAATGGCCAGAAACAATTCATGGGAAGTAAGACAGAAGTCGCTCTCCTCCAGATGGCTCAAAACTACCTTGGCATGGATCTTGTTTCGGAGCGTGGATCTGTCGAGATTGCTCAACTCATCCCCTTTGATTCCGCACGGAAGTGCATGGGTGTCGTATACCGACTACCGAATGCAGGATACCGTCTCCTTGTCAAGGGTGCTTCAGAGCTCATGGTTGACGCTTGTTCCGCGCAGATCGCAGATCTTGATGCCGGCAAGGAATCACTGTACACCGAGTCACTCTCTGAAAAGGATAGACAGGTCATTCATACGACTATTGATCAATATGCCAAGGGGTCTCTTCGAACCATCGGAATCATCTACAAAGACTTTAGCTCTTGGCCGCCGCCAGATGTTAAAAGGCTGGAAAACGACCCTTCAGCCGCGAGCTTCGACGATCTGTTCCACGACATGACATGGGTTGGAGTCGTCGGAATCCAGGACCCGCTTCGCCCAGAAGTCCCATCCGCCATTCGTAAATGTCACTCTGCAGGAGTCCAGGTCAAGATGGTGACAGGCGACAATGTCGCGACGGCCACAGCTATCGCGTCAGCCTGCGGTATCAAGACCGAAGACGGTCTTGTCATGGAAGGCCCTAAGTTTCGCCAATTATCGGACGAGGAGATGAACGAAATGATCCCTCGTCTGCAGGTTCTGGCTCGTTCGTCGCCGGAAGACAAGCGGATTCTTGTTGAGCGATTGAAACTTCTTGGTGAGACTGTCGCTGTTACAGGTGATGGCACTAATGATGGACCCGCTCTGCGCACTGCCGATGTCGGCTTCTCTATGGGTATTGCTGGAACGGAAGTCGCCAAGGAAGCCAGCTCGATTATTCTTCTGGATGATAATTTCCGGTCGATTGTCACGGCCATTGCGTGGGGTAGGGCTGTCAACGATGCTGTGGCCAAGTTCCTGCAGTTCCAGATTACAGTTAATATCACCGCTGTGATCTTGACTTTCGTTTCATCAGTGTATAGCAGTTCAAACCAGAGTGTTTTGAATGCGGTGCAGTTGCTCTGGGTTAATCTTATCATGGACACATTTGCTGCTTTAGCCTTGTGAGTACTTCTCTTCCCTCACCAAACAAGTCACTTGCTAATACAACAACAGAGCCACCGATGGCCCCACAAAAGATATCTTAGATCGAAAGCCCGTTCCTAAAAGTGAATCACTTTTCACCCTAACGATGTGGAAGATGATTCTTGGACAGTCCGTTTATAAACTAGCCATCACCTTCATGTTATATTTTGCTGGCGATCAAATCCTCAGCGCCCACCTCGTCTCCGACGATCCAGCACTCCGCGCCAAACAACTTTCCACAGTCGTTTTCAACACATTTGTATGGATGCAAATCTTCAACGAACTCAACAACCGCCGTCTCGATAACCGCTTTAACATCTTCGAGGGCATGTTCCGCAACTATTGGTTCTTGGGTATCAATACGCTCATCGTCAGCGGACAAGTGATGATCATCTTCGTCGGAGGCCAGGCATTCGGTGTAACCCGACTCAACGGCACTCTGTGGGCAGTTTGTATAATCTGTGGCTTTGGATGTCTGCCATGGGCCGTGGTCCTCCGCCTAATTCCAGATCGTCACTTTGGCGTTGTGTTCAATGCCATTGTCACTGCATGTGTATTCATTTTCAGGCCGTTCTTGGTAGTCTGGAAGGTTATTGTTCGTGGTGTGAAAGCGATCTTTCAACCCGTGACGCGATTTTCCCGTCGGGTCTTTTCTCGTCGGCATGTGAAGACTAGCGAATCTGCCACTCAAGAATCTTCCGACGCTCCTGAGGACTTAGGCGCTCCGGTGATTGATGAGGAGAATCCTACGGAGCAGAAGGTGGCTCGAGAGGAGAGCCCAGAGCGGCCTTCTGCGCCGGCGATATCGGTGCCTCCGATTACTGTGACTGTGTCACCATAGATACTGGATTTTTAAGAGAGTTTTATTATGGTTTACGAATGGGTGGCTGTTTGATATAGATGTCGATAGCGTTTAGCGTGTTCTTTTTTTGTTTTTGATTTTTCTTCTTCCATGCCTGTATGATACATAGATGTCACGAAATATCTCTTTTCATCATCTCATTAATACTATACAAGAAAGCTACATATGTTTCCTCAACTCCAAAGAAAATTGAAGACTACAAGGATCGTAGATTTAACACTGTTTCAGTTTTCAAATGCAAATAGTTGTATATGTATAGAATACATTCCAATGTCTGGTTGGTCCTACGTTGTACCTCATCGGCCTGTGTGAGTGTGATTCATCTGGAGATGATACTTCTGTAGCACGAATATGTGCTACTGTATGACATATCTTCGCGGGAGGTCATTTCTCTCCAATGCTGCCCTTTACCTAATACTGTTAATGTGGTATTTAACTGACTTTTGGGGCGTTCAAATATAGCGCTCCCTTAAAATTTAGATGGCATTTGGTCTAGTCTGAACTGGGTTACCACTTTCCCAAAGAGATAGGGACACCCATGCAAACAATAGATGGGGAAATTGCATACATGCATATGTGGAGATTGCAATGGGGGCCAAAATGCAGAACTCCCTGTCATCACGGGTGTTACCCTCGGAATAAGCTAGGTAGCCCTCAGGATTGGGAATGATATCTGACTGCATCTTTAAGATAAACTCTACTTCACATAAACTTCCAAGGCCTGTCATGTACATCAGATTACCTGCAGGAACTGAAACAGGGGAACTTTGGAAAGAAGGTCACCTTCTGTTATTCCCGATCAACATTCGAACGTGATGTCTTTGGTAGAATCGCTCTAGGCCAACAAATCTCCCATTTCAACAAGAGTTTCATTGAATATACTTTGTAGTTAATAATCTATAATTAGTGAGACAAAAGCTTTGATTTGCTTGATTGGCCTATCAATGGCCCCCACGCATGCCGCCCGCAACAAAGCGACTAGTTGCCAAGACCCAGGGATCATCGTGACTAAAGCTGCAACCCCCTCCTGAGAACGTGGAGCTTCAAGATGGATTTCCGATTTTGAATCCGTCCAACACGTCGTGAACGGTACGGGGCGAAACAATGTCGACTTTGGAATCCTCGGGTTCACGGAACTCGATCCACAACCCGATCCCTTCTTCGCTCTCCTGTAAACAAAGCCAAGTTTCTCCGCACTCCCAACCCAGCTAACAACTTCCAGCTGAATGCGCAAAGGCGGCCGTGATCATCGATTCATTTATTAACCCAAAATTCATCGGCGATGGTGGCATTCCGCGCAAGATCCTTTTGCGCGCAAAAGTAGGTGCTATTTGTTTTATCCTGATCCTGGCTATGCGGAGACTTACAATTCTAGGCCCTGATTATCTGCACCGTACTTCGAGTAGGGTTCTTGGGCTGCGGGCGTTTCGGTTCTGGGGTTGTTGTAATTCGTCTCCCCGATGGGAACTGGTCCGCTCCGTCGGCCATCGGCCTCGGCGGGGTGGGAATGGGTGGGCTTATTGGAGCCGAGTTAACGGATTTTGTCTTCGTCCTCTATACCGATGAAGCAGTCACCAAGTTCATGCAATCCGGGTTCTTGCATTTGGGTCTCAATGTCTCGGTTGCTTTTGGGGTGGGTCGCAGTGCGGAATCGGGTGGTATAGTCGGGTCAAAGGGCGTGTCGGGCTTCTACTCCTTTTCGAAGACTCGGGGGTTATATGGAGGTGTTTCGGCTGAATTGGGTGTTATTGTTGAGCGCTCGCGGGCCAACAAGAAGATCTATGAGCGGAAAATCAAATCGGTGCATCTGGCCGGTGGGGAGATTCCTTCTCCCCGTGAAGCTGAATCACTGATACACATTCTCAATTCGATGATGCCTCGTCCTTCCAAAAAGCCTGTTGCAGACCCTGTCGTCGATCCTGTTGTCAATCCCATCGTCAATCCTGACTCCAGCGGACTCCAATCTCTGGGTCGTGAAGTGCCACCGGAGCTGGAGATGGGTGACCTGAGCAACTTGGGTCCTGGGCTTTCTGACATTGGATCTTCCGAGGCTCACTGGAGCGGATTGTCTGCTCAGGGCAGTACACATAAGCCCAGGGAGCTTAACAAAGTCCCTCGAGAGCTCCTTGGTAAACCTATCCAACCTGTTGAGTCGGCTGAACCGACTCAGCCTACTGAGCCAGCAGAGCCCTCGAAGGTTTTTGAATTGGAGTCGCGCCATGGCTCTACTCTTCCGCCCAGCGAGAACCTTTCGCATCATGCCTCTGTGAATTCGTCTACTGAAAATTCCTCGCAGCACACATCGCTTCAGTCGTCTGTTGTAAACCCACTGGAGACGCGAGAAACGCGGGACTCGTCTGTTGTGGCGTCTCCTGGTGTCATTCCTGAGAATCCATCTAAGGAAGCGCAAGCCGAACACGCAACAGACCAAGATGCAACGGTCAAGGCTTGATTAATTGCCATTTGAGTTCTTTTACCAAGCATTTGATGCATGCGAGCGTTGTACTATGTTTCTTTTGTTCTTCCCTTTTGTTCATTCACGTGTGATGGGATTTGTATGGTCGGAATCTTGATTTAATCTCCTTGGTGATATCCCTAGCTAGCTTTATTCTCCACATATGCATTATGTATACGGATAATATAACTCATTTAATACTCAGAAGACCTTTTTCTGACTTATTTAATTTCCCTGCTGCCAAGTGTATACGATAGCTCTAGGTAAGAAAGAGGATAACGGTAAATCCATTATGAATGGATTTAATTAGATACAAGATAACAAGTGAACCAGCACGCAGTTTTTTTCAGAAGGAAAAGACTGTAGCATCGAACTCATAATCTCCATTTTGCGACGTTGCCATGTTCCCAATAGGCTCAATTTAGATTGCTCGAGAAAGCCATTATAGATGTACAACGTTCAAAAGGGTATAAATTGAATATTTCTCCAGTGAAGGAAGTCGCACACCACGGACTTAAATGATTTAATTTACTGTGGTGCTGCTGGATTGATACAGTGGGTATGTGAAGTACAAAGCAGGATAACACCCAATTAAAAAAAAACTCCAATTACCACGAGAAGCTCTCTTCAATAAAGTCAATATTCGAGGCAGCCTGCCTCCTCCGACAGACATGTCGAACATCATCACTCAAGCTCCCACTCCCACACACCATTACACCCATAGCACCAATCTGACTCCCAATCTCCATATCAATAAGCGTTTCAACATTAGGTCGGCCCGGGAAAATAGGTATAGTCATCGAACACTCCTGGATCTCCTTCGTACTCTGCGGCTGAGTAATAAACAGCATGATACGGAGTATATCCCGCTGCCGATCCATTTCCAGGATACTCGTTATCCAGGACCGAACCCATTCCAGATGCGCCGAAGACCGAACGACCCAAACAAGAAAAATTCTGCGCGTGGCTAATGTGCCTTCTGCAAATCCGGACACGAGGTGACGAACGAAAGAGATCTGATGCGCAATTCCCAATCCACCTGCGAAAAGGAGGACTGTTCCATATGAGTCCAACGAATGGATGTTGCCGTATGGCCCTTCCGTCAAGGCACGGTATGTTGTGGACCCCTTTGAGGCTTTTCGGAAAAGGTGATCCGTCATTCCGGCGCGACGCTGGACTAGGAGCGAGATAGTGCTTTGTCGATTGCCGAGAAGATCGTCCTCGGAGGAGGGTAGGCCCTCCTCGTCTGAGTGTGTGTTTTCGCTCCAGGCTATGGAGAATGGGTGGGATGTCCACCACCCTACTGCTGGGATATAGAGGTATAGATGTTGACCCGGTTTGAAGGTCCATGGTCGTGCAAGACGAAGGGTAATACGCATTGCATCACCATGGAGGATTTCCACGTTCGCCATGGTGGAGTTGGGGCCGTAATTCCTGTAGATGAGGATGACGATGCGGACAGTGCGCTAAGATCGGGGTTAGCCACTAGCTTTTCATTGATAGGGGTAGTAGAAGCACATACCTCTGAAATCCAGAGTATTATTGCGGTAAACAAATAATTCTGGGAATGCATGCCATCCAAATGTACCCAAAGAAAAGCCATAGTCAGGGCTGCAAGAACAAAATGGAGATGAAGGAAAGTCTCATAAAAAGCATGACGGATCGGCGATGGTGATTGCAAGAGAATGACTGTCAAAATGCAAGTTGCCTATATCAAGTCTTAGTAAACCGTCAGAATCTTTCGATCCAATATCCACTCACAACAAACCCATCCCGAAGAAAACTACCCCCAACAAGTGCCGCAGCAACGGTCCTCCAATTTTCCGCTTCAGCATACGAGATCCCCCAAGTCATAGTATGCACCAAAGATTCCAGCACCACGATCCGCCCCAGCCACCTATGCAACAGCATCCACGTATCAAAAGGAACCCGCAAAGCCCGAATAAGCGGATTATGGCGACCAGCCATCAAAACCAGAGGAATAAGATTAGCAGTAGCCACCGTCCCGGTACTCTTCCGAATAGCTTTTGCCGTAGAATCCCTATTCTGATATGGAACATTCACCAAACAAAGCCCGAAATTCAAAGATAGCATGCCTAAAATCAACAAACTATGGAATCGACTCGGAAGAGTTCCCATGTGGATATTTTTCCAACCCCTGAACTCGCGATTGTGCCGTACTTTGAAGAGCGGTGCATAAATGAGATGTTCTTTGAGCCATGCAAGGACTTCATTGGTTGGTGTTTCGAAGTATCGTTGATTATCATGGCCGAATGTTGATAGTTGTCGTAGGTGGTTGTAGTAGCGGAAAAATAGCTGCCATATTAGGTAGGCGAATGCTGTGCAGCTTAATGAGAGGAGACTGTATCTTGCCAAGTGGATGGGCTCATGGCTGGACCAGACTGGGATAGATTCGACGTCTGTATCTTTGGCGTCGCTGAGCCCGATGAAGGGTAGGAGGAGAAGGTATACCATGGTTTCTCCTTAGTACCACGCTCATGCACCGGGGTGACCTTGGGAGGCTCCGTTCTATAAGTGTTTTTTTCTTTTAAGAGTTCTTGATTTGGTTATCTTTGCTCACGTAGGTGGCATGGTGCCAATATTTTCTATATATAGAGGGTATTCTAGATGCAGGCCCTGGGGGCGGGGGATAATTTGGCTGTTTGGTGGTGTGGAAGCTGGCCCCAGTCTTTATTTTGCAGGTTTTCTTTCCTTTGAGAGTTTGAAATGCTATAGTTCGCAAGATTGTATAAGTACACAAGAAAGTTTTTCAAACTAAAATTCTTTACTCGGATCTGAAACCTTGCTAAGGTTGACTTTAGCAAAGTTAACATGAATGACAGCCGTGAGCAGCGATAGCATAGCATCTGCATTCATATGATCATACTCCGTAGACAACCCCGGAATCGCTCGATGTAGATAGCCCCCACTGCAGGATTACTTGGAACGCATGTTGGGTAGAAAAGAATCTACATCGTAAATGGATACTTTGTAGTCCCTGTATCTTGATGACAACCTAGGAGAGAATTGCCACAATAAAGGTAAACTTCATGGTCCATCCCGACAAACAACTAAGTAGCAGACTTGAAGCCAATGATGCTGATAAATAGTATCAGGTGTCAGTTGTTTCAGAGAGGCTTTGATTAATTCTTAGGGTCGTCCTAACACCAGGTACTCGGCCCCCTTTCCGGACTTCGATTTTCATAAAACCCGGGCCAAAAGAGGTAGCCAAGACTAATCAGCTCCTTTGGACTAGTTTTAGATGCAGATGGTTGAATTCGGAGGGATTGACAAAGTATTTGGTCGTGATCCTTGCCATGGTCTTGAAACAAATCATTTTATCTTGTCAACTCCAATTAAGAATATGATTACAAACAGATTGCAACCAACACCGAGCACCGAGCGCTATCAGAATCGAATAATCAAATCTTCAATGAACGTCCCCAACACCCTACACAGTCATTACATCACGTCACATCATACATTATACACCATCCACTGCCTCAATCCAGCCAAAGACAGCACCAACTGCCACCGTCGCGAACGTCCAGACCGCGCCCCACAAAGAAGCCCCCTCAACGGACACACTGTCGATTGTGCCTGCCACCTGCACAACCGTGTTGAAAAACACACCGGCAGCAAGCACGAGAGTCCGAGAAACAAGAATTCGAGTCTTGGTCGACAGTTGACACCACGTCTTGCGGTATAAGGCACAGATCAACAACTCGCCTTCGTGATTGGTCTTCGATTCCACTGCTGTCGCGTGACCTGTGGAGCTAACGAAAAGGAAGTCGCGCACGGCATAGCCGGTCGGGATTAAAGTCAGGAAGAGAACGGGGAGCCCGGCGGGACCTGCATGCGCAGCGCTGATATCAGGGATACTCTCGAAGTGCACGACTAGCTGGGCGGGGAGCCAGGATGCGTAGCTGGCATACAGCACAACAGTGAAGATCGAGGTCGCGGCGAGGGTTGTGTAGATTGTAGTGGGGCGATCTTGTAGGATGGATCTGTTGGCCACTGCGCCGGAAGGTGCGTGCGACAGGTCATGAACAGATGCAGGGCGGCGAAGGAAGAAGAACGGAATTACAGTGGACAGAACTGTGATCGCGTAGGATATAATTGTAGAGGTCGGCCGGACACCGTAGAAAAATGTCAAGAGCGAGTAGGTGGGGAGGTGGGTTATGTATAGGAATGATGCGACATCCCAGCCTGGTTTCAATGGCAAGAACAATTCGTCAGTCTTTGTTAACTCTGTAAAGAGGTCACGGCTTCCTTGGGTCATTTATATTTTTTTAAACTTACTATCGAATCCCAGCACCCAACTTAGCCCAATCTCCACGGCTTTCCAGGCCACTAAGCCCCCCACTTCCCACCACTCCTCCAGGTGCTTGCTGACCAGGCCAAGGTCACCGGTCAGGTTGGTGGTCAAGGTAAATCCGACTGAGCTCAAGATGAGGCTACTCAGGACAACCAGGGAGAAGCGCGCTGGTGAGGGGATTCGCGCCAGTGGCGGGACCGCAGGGGCCAAAGCCTCCGTGAAGTCGCGCTCAGGCGCTTTGGCGCTCTTAGACGAGGACTGCTTTTTAGGCGACATTCTCCGCTTTGAGCAGGTCAATGGCAAGTGAATTGAGGGTTTGGTGAGTCGCAAGAAGCTGTCACTAACAGGAAACTTGGAATGTTTGGTTGGCGGTGAGGCTGATGATGTCACTATGTCATTGGCATAATCTCGGAAAGAACCGAATTCAGTTTGACATGTTTGTAGAAAATAATATCACATAAAATACATCGAATATCTAAAATATCTAATCATCCTTTCGCTCTGCTACAGAGAACTCGACAGTACCACTCTCATTGCCCCTGGTGTCCTTCACGACGACTCGGTATTTGCCTTGGTCCCAGAGGTCCTTGATTGTCAACTCACGAGTACGGCCGAGAGATTCAATGTCGCCAATGCGCTCCAGGGTTCCCTCGAGATGCTGGTCGAAGTTTTCGATGGCGCAGATCTCTTGGAATGCACGCTGCATCGGAACAGAGTCGGCACGCACCATGGCTCGCGAGTCAATCGTGAAGATATTCTCATGATCGAAGGATTGCATGAAGTCGGCGCGGGTCATGATCTCACGTGCTTTGTGCAGCGGGATCTCTGGCAAGATATGGCCATTCTCAGGGTGATAAGTCTGTTCCATTTCATTTTCAAGGTCGACCAGAGCTTTTGCCAAGACCATTGCAGCAGACTGGAATCATCAGTATTTTATTCATCGTATGGTAAACGAAAGCACACTTACGGAGTATTTTTGCTCATCCATGACATCGTCATCCATCTCCTTGCCCAAAATCCAGCACTTGTTGAGGAACCATACCTTCTCGGCCCGACAGATCTCATTGCAGGTTTGCAAGATGTCGGGGGATTTAGCTACCCGGTTCAAGAAGGAGAGTCGACCGCCAACTTTGTCGTAGACATGTTCGAGAACGGAGGACGGCAGGTCTTCATGGCAAAATTGTTTGCGATATCTCTTCAGGGCGTCCATCGCCTTCTGCTTGGGCAAATCTGTAACTGGAATAACCTCCATTCGGGTGGCGTAGCGCTTCAGGCGTTCATATACCCAATAGTCATCACTGTTGAGGACTATCGGGGAGTTAGCTGATGCAGTCAGATCCAACCCGATATAGTGAACTTACTAGTAGTAACTAGGCCACTTGCAGCCCACTGCTCGGCCCGCTGCTGGATCATCTCTAGCAAGTCCTGTCCATCATGATCATCGCGCACCAAATGAGTGCTATTGATGATTAGAACCAATGGCCGCCCGTACGAGGATCTCCTGGCTAACGCGACCTTCTCCATTTTATTGAAGGCCCGCTCGATATCGAGTAGTGCAGTGGTATCCCGCGGACCACGGATGCTGAACAAGCTGCCAATGTAGCTGTGTATCATTTTTCAGTATCGCTTCAACCGAGAAGAGGGGGGGGTGGATCCTACTCCTCGTGGAACTCATAATCAAGTGCCTTTCCCAGTCGAATGCGGAAGATCTCGAGATCAGCATGCGCTTCGAACATAGCAACGCCAGTTCCATTGATCTTGCGCATAGCTTCAAGGAGCATGGACGTCTTTCCAGTACCTTTCTCGCCCACCATCAAATAGTAGTGGCCCGCTCTTTTTCCGGCAACGATGTCATCAATCCGAGCCTGCTCATCCCTAGGGATCCAGTGCTCTTGGTGATTATACTCGTGCTTGCCAGACACAACACCCGCCACTTCAAGAGCAGGATCACCGGGATTAAACGCATTATCCATTTTGTCCAAGACCAAGTACTTGTAGTACCGGTGGTACGAATAACCCGCCGCACTTTATGAGAAGATTTAGTTAAGCCCAGTCCACTCCATATATGTGAATTATCCTACCCTAGGATGAAAATAGATGCTGCCGTAGTTGCCGCGGTTTCAAGCATCTTGAGGATGGTAGATTTCAGATTGGGATCCGAATCATTTTTGTGGCCTCGTCCCTGATCCTCTTCCTCATTTTGATCAGTGGGATCTGGGTTATACTTGCCAGTATTTTGAGGATTCGAATTGAATCTTTTGCCTGTGTATTGCAGGATTCGCCCATGAGACCTAAGAGGTCTCGATAAGCCCTGTCGAGAGAATGATGACAAGGGTGGTGCGAGCCTTTTCCATAGCATTGTGGATCTCCTTGGCGCCTTTATTTGACACTAATTCGACCTCAAAAAGGATTAGGAGTTTGGAGGATTCGTTTTCTGTGAAACAATGTGCAATGCACGGAGATCTGTGGATTCTAGTTGGTCCTATGCACCGTTAGAACGGTCACGGCTTTAGACTGTTATAGACTTGTCTCCGGGGTTGACGCCACACCTCCAGGGGGTGACGCGTCAAAAATGAAGTGAGCGGACAGGACAAAAGGCCCTCAAAATGATTTTTATGAGAATATCACACAAGATAAGGAACGAAAAGAAATAAAAAGAGAGACAATGAGTGGAATGGGATACGGCCCCGGAGGTTGCCAGCCAGGAAAGGGTGCAAAGAAGGCGTTGTGGCTTAGCGGTGGAGTCTCCATCTCTACAGAGGCTTGGCAGATGTGTTGGCCTCAAACACAATTTTCAGCTTTCCCAAGGTTCCATGGCAGTTCTAGTAAAGCGAATCGGAGGAGACGTCTATCCTAATCTGCTGACACCAATGCCTATCTTTCGATCTATGTCCCTTTCCCCAGATATTAGTCTCAAGCTAGGCATATCGGGTTTATTACATAAAAGAAATGGGGAAAGCTTCCTAAACCTCAATGTTTTCTATGGGGCAACTCCAGGTGCCTAATAGGGACAGCTCAAATACTGAAACTTGCCAGTTTGCCCACTCAATTGAAAGTATTCGTGTCCTTTCTCTCCACGCAATACGGGAATCCCAAAGCTGAGACCAACACATACGTACTCACCAGGGGTGGATAGAACAACGTCAGCAGTTCGGATCAACTTTGTAAACACTCAATTGATGAGAGAGCAGAAAACTGCGGACGATGTATTTTTGTTCATCATATTGTCGCTTAATTATAAGAATAAAGCCACGGTCAAATGGAAGATCCCGCGGGGAAGCCTCAGGCCTCAACCTTCTGTACGTCACCATCGGCACATTTGCAGTATAACACCTGCACTATATATTGTTACGTTAAAATATGGTTGGCCATATCCCATAAACCTCAATTACTTCAAAATCCCTGTCATTAAATGTCCGATTTCCGCATTTTCCAAGGTTTGTGGAGAAGATCCACGGTGCCTTCCCCGAACCCACCGCCCGAGCACTTCCGAGGGTATGCCGCATCCGCGAAATTTTCTCCTTCCATCTCTCATACATCTGGACCCTTTCCTTTTTTGCATCTCTATTCTGGGGTACGGGGTTTTTGCTGATCTGCTTCAATTTCCCTGTCCTTCTTGTATCATAGCGACTTTTTTTCTCCCTGCCCCGCAGGTCCTCACCTTTATTTTTTTCTTTTTGACCCGACACACAGATAGCTACTTGTCGACTCGACTGTAGCTATCCTATTTATCAATTCGACATAATGGCACACACCAATGGGGAATTGGAGCCCTCGAAAGGTTGGTCCGCCCTCGATACCCCCGAATTGTCACACGACACCGAATTGCGGAAGCACACGACCGACCTTGACAACGTATTCTGACTCCTTTTGAATAGAGGTTCCTCAAGAAAACGGAAACCACGCGGAGGTTGCTGCGGAGGATGAGAACGCTGGTGGTATGTGCAATGGCTCAGAATTTTGTGACTGGACGAGCGCGGTGGTTTTCTGACTCATGTCAAGGTCTCTTCCAGATCACCGTGAAGCTTCCTCATGAACCATACAAGATTCAGGTGATGGTGAGTGGATTACCGAAACCGATTTTGATGGAACATGTTCTCTAACGTATTATCCATAGGTCTCGAGCCAAGAGCAGGTTCAAGATGTTCGCCAATCCATCGTCGAGCTTCCCGGTACCTTCCAGTACACCTGCTTCCACCTGGAGTACAACGGCGTCCGCGTCAACGACTTCGTCGAGCTGTCCGAGGTGCCCGACCTCAAGGCCGACTCTGAGATTGTGTTGGTTGAGGAGCCCTACACCGAGAAGGAGGCCCGTATGCATGTGGTGCGCATGCGCGAGCTGGTTGGTGCTGCTGGAGACCGGACCGACACCCTCCACGGTATCTCTGCCGGTCTTTCCCTGCACGATGCCATCTCCGCGGAGGCCACCCGTGCCGGTGAATCGGAGAAGGACCACTCGCTCGCCAAGTACGAGCTGACCGGTCCGTCTTCGCTGCAGACCATTCTGCCACAATCCGAGGCCCCTCTTCCTAAGACAGTGAAGTCGATCTCGCTTTCGCCGTGGAACCCTGTTCCCTACCACCTCCGCCAAAAGGGTCACCTGCTTTACCTGCAGGTTCAGACCATCGAGGGCGAGCAGTTCCAGATCACCTCCCACGTCTCCGGCTTCTTCGTGAACAAGTCCTCGAGCAGCCGTTTTGATCCTTTCCCGAGATCGATCCCCAAGAAGGCCAGCGCCCACTCTCTTCTGACTCTCATTTCCCAGATCTCGCCCTCTTTCAACGCTTCCTTCGAGGCCCTGCAGGAGGCCAACAACCAGAAGGATCTCCTGACAACCTTCCCCTTCCAGAATGCTATCCCCAACAGCCCGTGGTTGGTTGCCCCGACTTCCTCATCCCTGAACGCTCACCAGCCCGATATCACTCGCTCGCAGGAGAGCTTCTTGGTCTCCGGTGCGGACAACGCTGAGACCCTGCGTGACTGGAACGAGGAGTTCCAGACCACCCGTGAGCTGCCTCGTGAGACCGTTCAAGACCGTGTGTTCCGGGAGCGTCTGACCTCCAAGCTGTTCGCCGATTACAACGAGGCTGCCGCCCGCGGTGCTGTGCTGGTCGCCCGGGGCGAGGTTGCTCCTTTGAACCCCACTGAGGCTCAGGATGCTCAGATCTTCGTTTACAACAACATCTTCTACTCCTTCGGTGCTGACGGTGTTGGCACATTCACCTCCGAGGGCGGCGATGAGGCTGCTCGCGTTGCTGTTGGCAAGGACGTTCTCGGTATCAAGGCTGTGAACCAGCTCGATATCGCTGGCCTGTTCACCCCTGGTACTGTGGTTGTCGATTACCTGGGCAAGCGTATTGTCGGTCAGAGCATCGTCCCTGGAATCTTCAAGCAGCGTGAGCCCGGTGAGCACCAGATCGACTACGGTGGTGTTGAGGGTAAGGAGGTTGTGGCCACCCATGAGGACTTCGTTCCTGTCTTTGAGAAGCTGTCCAAGGCACTCCGCATTAAGCAGCACCCCGTTTGGGATAAGGATAACAAGCGCCACGATCTTCAGGGCAGTGTTGAGACCAAGGGTCTTTTGGGAACTGATGGTCGCAAGTATGTTCTGGATCTTTACCGTATTGCTCCTCTGGATGCTCAATGGCAGGAGGAGATTGGTGACGGTGAATACCCTCACCGTATGTCGGTCCTGAGATTGGAGCTGGTCGAGTCGTACTGGAGACACAAGATGAGCCAGTACGTCAAGGCTGAGGTTGAGAAGCGCCGTGCGGCCAAGGCTGAGGAGGCACCCAAGGAGAAGACCGAGGGCGAATCCGAGGAGAAGGCCGAGGAGAAGACTGAGGAAGCTGCGGATCAGGAGCGTGTTGACATCTCTGGATTCAACTTGTCTCTGAACCCCGACGTTTTCAGCGGCCAGGTCCCCCAGACCAAGGAAGAGAAGGAACAGTGGGCTCAGGATGAGCAGGAAGTCCGTGATGCCGGTGAACACCTGCGGTCCAAGATCATGCCTGACTTGATCAGGGACCTGCACGACGGTGATGTTGGCTTCCCCATGGATGGCCAGTCATTGACCCAGTTGCTGCACAAGCGTGGTATCAACATCCGTTACCTCGGTAAGCTGGCTCAGCTCTCTACTGAGAAGGGTGCCCGTTTGCAAGCTTTGTCCACTCTCCTGGTCCAAGAGATGATTGCTCGTGCCTTCAAGCATGTGGCAAACCGCTACTTGCGTAACGTTCCTGCTCCGTTTGCTGCCCCCTGTGCTGCTCACTTGCTGAACTGCCTCCTGGGCACTGATGTCAACTCTGCCCCTAAGGCTGAGATTGACCAATCTCTGCGTGAGGTTTACCCCGAGGGTGACTTCTCCTTCGAGAAGGTCACTCCTGAGTCCCTCCGGGCCGAGATTGAGAAGCAGGTTGCCCTGCGCTACCGCTTCTCTCTCGAGAAGGAATGGGCTGGCTCCCTCCGACACCTGCAGCTTCTGCGTGATATCTCCATCAAGCTCGGTCTTCAGCTTGGTGCCCGCGACTTCGCTTTTAAGAAGGCTGATGTCAAGGCGCCTGCTCCTGCCCCTGTCACCAACGGCAACAGCCAAGATGAGGGCAAGAAGCGCAAGGGCAAGAAGAGCGGTGACAACAAGGCTTCCCGCCCTGTCGTTGCTGAGGTCAAGCCTGCTGTCACCATTCTTGCCGATGACATTCTCAACATTGTGCCATTGGTCAAGGATGCTTCTCCTCGCAGTGCTCTAGCTGAAGAGGCCCTGGAGGCTGGTCGGATCTCCCTCATGCAGAACCAGAAGCAATTGGGCCAGGAGCTCATTCTGGAGTCTCTGTCTCTGCATGAGCAGATCTACGGTATCCTCCACCCTGAGGTTGCCAAGCTGTACCACCAGCTGTCCATGCTCTACTACCAGACCGATGAGAAGGAGGCCGCTGTGGAGCTGGCCCGCAAGGCTGTCATTGTCACCGAGCGCACTATGGGTGTTGACTCTGCTGACACCATCCTGGCTTACCTGAACCTGAGCTTGTTCGAGCACGCCTCTGGCAACACCAAGACTGCTCTGGTATACATTAAGCACGCCATGGATCTCTGGAAGATCATCTACGGTGCTAACCACCCCGACTCCATTACCACTATGAACAATGCGGCCGTCATGCTGCAGCACCTCAAGCAGTACGGTGACTCGCGCAAGTGGTTCGAGGCCTCTCTCTCCGTTTGTGAGAACCTGTTCGGCAAGGACTCTATTAACACTGCCACTATCCTCTTCCAGTTGGCCCAGGCCCTGGCTCTGGACCAAGACTCCAAGGCCGCCGTTGGCAAAATGCGTGATGCCTACAACATCTTCCTTGCCCAGCTTGGTCCGGAGGACCGCAACACCAAGGAGGCTGAGACCTGGTTGGAGCAGCTGACTCAGAACGCCGTTTCCATTGCTAAGCATGCCAAAGACATCCAGGCCCGTCGCCTGCGTCGCATCAATATCAACCCGCGTACCTCTTCCATGGGCACTCGCGTTCAGCCCCAGGTTGGCCAGACCGCCCCTGAGACCGCTGGCACGGCCGGTGCCTCTGGCTCCTCCCTGGACTCTCGCAGCATCGACGAGCTGCTGAAGTTCATTGAGGGTGGTGACTCCAACGCTTCCGGCTCCAAGCAAAAGAAGCGTTCTGCAGCCAATCCTAAGCTCCGTGGCTCCAAGCAGTCCAAGGCATAGATATATTCTGTGTTTTATAAAGATTGGACTTCCAGTTCCATTTAGTTTCAGATTTCATCTTCCTTTTTTTTTCTTGGTCATCTCGTGTCTTAACAACAAAATATACTCCATTATTGTTTTACGGAAGGGGGCTGGGGTTAAGGTTGATGAGCGGAAAACTGCTGTATTTTAGATCTCTCTCCTCTCTTGGTTCATTTTACGATTCGATCTATTGGTCTTGTCCTGCCCAGGTGGGCATAGCATGGGAATGTCATGGATTTGGTTGTATAATAAACCATGCATTAATGATGCAATAGTATCTGAGAACATATATGACCTGTGTTACCATAGCTTCCGGTGTTATAGGATTTAAGCTTGATCTACGGACATACCCTGCACTTACGCTGCGAAATGACGCTCGACGCTAGACCGTTTTGGGATGACCCACCTTATTTGTTTTGTTCCCCGATCTCCGCCTTGACTCTTTCACATTCGCATAACATTGAACGCTCGCACAACTTTTGAGCACGCGTTATTCTTGCTTTGCAGATCTATCTATTTACCTTTATCATTGTAGCTCTACTGTGATGTTTGCAGGCTGAGTGTGGTGATCCCATGCTCAGTCGCAGATAGGGTTGTGATATCCCGTTACTTGAGTGCGCCTCACTTCCCACCATACGCCCCTCGCAAATGATACTGACGCCTTTGATTGTAGTTGTATACCTTTTTTGGTGGAACTTGAAACCGTCAAGCACCAATGGATGAAGTTCATGCCACCGCGAAATGGGCAAACCGTGTACTACGCCCTTTGACCTCTATCTACCGTCGGCTCGAGAAGCACCAAGAAACACTAGCAATAATTGCGGCCGAGTCAAGGGCACAGGAGCATGACAAAGAAATCCAGAGCCAATATTCGGAGGAATTTACAAGTACTCGAGAAAACTACTGCGAGTCTGACGCCGACGAGGACGATCCTGGATGGATTCCCGGGAAAAAGCCGGATCAACGCCGTGTCAAGTACAAATATTCTACGCGTGGGGGAAATAAGACAGGGCGCAGGCGCACAAGATTCACGGCTCAGAGCCCAGAAGCCACGCGGACCCTACCTGGTGCTATTGATTTAGCAACACCGTTGATCACGGGCAGAAGATGGGAGTTGCCTTCAAGTGTTCGGTCACAGCTTTCTGTGAAACAACATCAGATGACCCAGTCCCGCCGCGGAGACGTGCAAGCGCTTCGTGGTCGGCACTCTTTGCAGAAGGATCCATGGCAAGAAGTCCTCAGCCAGTGTGGAGATGCTGGATTTACTGACATCGTACGCAACCTGGACCATGTGCTTCAAATGTTCTTTCGCAAAACTCGGGTTATCAACTATTGCCCCAGCTCTCAGGTAAACGAACCGGAACAGGGTGCACGATCTCTTACTTCCATGACCATCTCGTGCCCTGCTGTTAAGTTGAATGAGCCAAAGCAGAATGCACGATCTCAGTCTTCTATCATCATCCCGCGCCCAGCTGTTATGTTAAGCGAACCGGAACGAGGTGCACGGTCTCTTCTATCTATGGTCACCCGGCGCTTACCAGATTACATCGCAATTGAACAGGAAGCGCAGGATGAGAGGGACGATGAAGAAGATGAGGATATGTGTGACGTGTACTTCACTGAGCTAGAGTCATTCTATGCACCCCATGGTAAGGGATGGAAACCATTGCGCGAGGCAGTCCGTGCTCAAGGCATTCGTCTGGTCTCTGAAATGATACGTAACCAGTGGCTGACGGATCCGATTACCTATGCATTACTTGATAAACTTCGATGCTACGAGCAAGATGCTGTCGAATCACTGCTCTCAGCATTTCTGTCAACTTGCACAACTGGCACACTTCCTGTGACTCTTAGGCCCGTTGCCAAAGACTCTCCTACGATTTCTGTTCGGTTATTGTATAAGTATGTTCACAAAGGCCCATATCGTCCGTCTTACGTTTACGATGAACTTTCTAAACTTGTTGCCCGAGGTGGGTTACCTCCAGAATGGATAGCAACCCCACCATGGACAGGCTGCATGACCCAGGCAACGGTATCATTCTCAAAGGACGATTGTTACTCTGCCGTTTCCGCACGGTTAATTGAAGCTGTACTCCTTTCTGCTTGTGTCTTCAGAAATGAAAATTTCCAAATCCGCCCGCAGCAGCGACCAACCAGCGACCACGTTGATCGATCGAGAGCAACACGGACTTCTAGAGTGCCAACAAGCAGTCCGGGCATTAATCGGAAATGCCCTGTGCATGTGGAAGATGCTTTGAGCAACCATGTTACGAGTCTCCTGGCCACGCTTTGTGGCATGCACATCTCACGATCGCGCAAGCTTGATGATTTCAAAGATACGAATGGCACAAAGGCAGGCCACCTTATCACTTCAGTTTGCTTTACAGTGAAGAACTATATGGAAACTGAACAGCTCTCCCATATTTGCAGACTGCCGTCTCATCAATTGTTGAGACGCGGTTGCATCTTGCTGGCAGATTGCCTGTTACAGTGCAACAATGCAGTTTTAGCTGATAAAACTGAGCCCTTTTTGATCTCAACGGCAACCATTGAAGAATATTCGAACGTGTTAGTGCCTCGCTCGAGTCTGATTAAGGAGATGGCATTATTTGTTCGACAGGCATTCCGCTGTTTCAGCAGTTCGTCAAGCAATGAGGATACTGATATGAGGAGCGAAATTCGACGCATTGTCTCACGGCTTCCGTATTTGACTAAAGCCCCGGGGCTATCCATGCTTCTCAGCCGTGTTGCTGTTGAGGCTGCCATGGAATTCGCAGAAGGAACTGGCGATCCGGACGATCATCTGTGGGCCGTTGAGATTCAGGAAACCACCGTTCCTCATCAACCCCGAGCGTATTCAAGCTCGGGGTCAGCTAGTGAAACAGAGGGTCCTGGACCAAGCAGAGGCCTCTTTCGCTGGGAAGATGGTATTGGCGAATGGGTCGCTCGTACCCCGACAGTCAAAGTAAACGCAACAACGGCTGGATCAAAGAGACGGGCTTCTGCGATATTCAATACTACGCCATGCATTCGGGGCTCGACGGACATCAGCTCCCCGCAGTCAGAGTGCTTTGAAAGCCTGAATCCAGGCCTCACTTCTTCCCCATCTTCAGTTGGGACAAAGCGGCAAAGCGACGCCCTAGAATCCTCGCCCACCCGACCCTTCAAAAGACGACGTAGCTCCCCTCCGGTTGTGATCAATCAGACACTCCCCAGCGGATCCGAATCTCTGTCCGATCGCTCTCCATCAAGATCCCCATCCTTGGAACCACTTCCTTCTCGTCGCCGTGTTCTACGCGACATGTCAACTCATATCATTGCGAATTCGACACGCTCTGTGCCACGCAGGCCTGCATCCAATCTCGAGGTAGTAATCATCAACAAAAAACAACCTCTGCCCGCTGCAAGGCCTGCATCGGAGCACGTTGAGAAGCAAGTTCATCGGTCGACTACGCGGGCAAGACCTGGACGGCCCTCACTCTCTCGTGCTCCCAGGCCGATTATTGTTCCTCGACGTCAATCCGTCATCCCTTGTCCACAGGATGACAGCGACGATGAGCTTAGCTTCATCTAACTTCGTTAGCTCGATCCAACGCATTCCCTGCTCTATCTTCATGATCTATTGACTCTACCTGCCCCGACAACTCTTTTCGTTTGGCGTTTCGGCTTTTCTGATTGATACCCAATGGCTGCGATTTAAATTTCGTCTGATATCACTGTCCATTTGGACATTTCATTTGCTTTTGTCTCACATCCGTTCATATGCAAATCATAGATCGAAACCAATGAACAAAACTAAACATCTAAATCCAAATCCAAATCCAAATGCGCTCTATTGAAAGATGAACTCCTCCAACTCCTTGTACGCAACCTCCAGATCATCATTCACAATAATCTTATCAACCCCCCGCTGCTGATTAGCATACTCAAGCTCCGCAGTAGCCTGCGCAAGCCTCCTCCGCACATCCTCATCGTTCTCGGTTCCCCGCCCCCTCAACCGCGCCTCCAGAATCTCAAGGCTGGGCGGCTGGATAAACACATAACGAGGATCAATGCTGTCATTCTCCTTCATCTGCTTCACGCCGTTCATCTCGATGTCCAAAACAACAACCAATCCCTTGGCCATCTGGTCACCGATAGTCCTGTGGCTAGTTCCGTACTTGTTTGAGCCAAAGACTGCGTGCTCGACGAAAGCTCCTTCGGCAACCAGGGAGTCGAATTCGGAGTGCTCGACGAAGAAGTAGTTTGTTCCGTCGACTTCGCCGGCGCGGGGCTTGCGGGTTGTGTGGGAGACTGTGAAGGCGAAGGTGTTTGGGTGGTTTGAGAAGAGTTTCTCGATTAGGGAGCCTTTGCCGACGCCTGAGGGGCCGGAGATCACGATTGGTCTGGTATCTTTGGGGGCTGGGCTTGTTAGTGTGGTTGTTGGGTTTGTGTTGGGTTCTTGGAACCTACCGGGCATTTTGATGGTGGTTATGCCTTATGCGACAGGGTATGGAGTGGTTTGGGAGGAAGTGTTGTGGGCGGGATGTTTGAAGTGGGATATGTAATTTATTGTTACGGGTATTTACGGCTGTTATCGGATACAGTGACGGGTCATAAGTTTTTGCACCCCCCTAAAGACCCACTCCCTCACCGCTAGTACCGCCTTCCTAATTCGCGTATCAGAAATCACGCTAAATTAGTCGTGTATAGTCTCGCGTTCAATATTATTAGACCTACCCCCTTTCTTGTCTAATTCACTATATCTCCTAATATCTATTAGCTTCAGCTAACATGGCCCGCTCAGCGGAGCTTACACCCGCCATACGTGAGCGTATATGCGAGCTCCACGCTATTAAATGGGGATATAAACGTATTCAAAAGCGTTATCCCTATATCCCACTATCTACAATTCGATATACAATTAAGAAGGAGCATGAACGACGAGAAGGTGTCTCTAAGGCACGCTCTGGTCGGCCAAAAAAGCTCTCTGACGCAGAGAAAGACCGAATTCTCCAGGCTATTCATGGTAATCCAAGAATTACACGTGAAGATCTACTCGCTGAGGTTGACCATAAGGTGAAAATTCGTTCGATTCAACGCCTTCTAAACGCTGAGAACCTCCGGAAGTGGCGCTGTAGTTGGCGACCATACTTAACTGAGGAGAATGCCACGAAACGACTTCGATGGGCCTACCGATATCGACACTTTACGCCTGAGGATTGGGCCCGAGTTTTCTGGTCTGATGAGTGTACGGTTGAACGTGGAATTGGTGTCCGCCGGGAGTGGACTTTTACTCGTCCAAGAGACCAACCAAAAGAGGGCCAAGTCCAAGGGCTACCTCAGCGTGGAAAGCAAGTTAAGCAGATGTTTTGGGCAGCGTTTTCAGGGGCTGTGCGGCGTACTGGATTGATCCCGCTTTTTGGAGATCCTGAATCTGAAAGAGGAGGTATTAACCGCTTCGTTATTGAGGATTTATATCGTCGAATTTTACCTACTTTAATGGCGAATGAAGACGCTATATTTCAGCATGATAACGCACCAACACACACTGCCTACGTTGTACGAGAAGCTTTAGAGGAGATGAATATCGAGGTTATGGAGTGGCCACCTCATTCACCGGATCTGAATCCTATTGAGAACCTATGGGCATTACTTAAAGCGGCAATTTATAAACTTCGACCTGATTTGATCCATATGAGGAATAACAACGAAACAAAGGCAATCTTAGTCGAGACAGCGCAACAGGCTTGGGATGAGCTTGATCTTAGCCATTTTAGCCATCTTTCGGAGACTATGCCGCACCGTGTCGAGGCAATTATTGAGTCTCAAGGGTGGTATACACCATATTAGGTAGGAATTCATACAATTTCCAAGGTTTTTGACCGGCAGAATATTATATAATCAGGGGGTGTGGGGCGAGGGGGTGCAAATACTTATGACCCGTCACTGTACTTGGAGTTGGGGTTACGCATGCGGGGTGTGTTCCTGTATTTGTATGTATCATTATTTATCGTCGCATCCGGACTATGAGATCGCGATAAGAAGATTGTTTCCAATTGCCTGATAATGACAAGGCCATTTACTTTGTAGTGAGTCTGTCGCATTAATCGCAACTTTGACTGGATAGTTGGTATATACATTATTCAGATTAATCACAAGTCTATGTCGTTATCGCTAAAGCTCTATATATAGTCCGATCACCAAGGTATAGGAAAACAAAAGGAGAGACACGAGTCAGCCTTGAACTAGTAGTTCTCCGATGCAGGGTTCATCTCAACTTCATCCGTGGAAATCGGTCGTTTAACATCATCCCGAGGCAGTAACCAACCAGGGTGCACAAAGTTGAAAACCGCAACAGCTGCGATCATCATCGCACCATCCATCGCAATGAAGTATTTCTCGTGAGTAATCAGGTACCCCGTCCAGCCCTGCGACAGCTCGATCGTACGGTAGATGCTCCGAACGTAGATGCACAGGACGGAGAAAATCATAGCATACAGCAGCGGGAGAATGGAGCCAGTCATATGCTGGAGAAGATTGTGACGCAGGGAACGGCGAATGAAGTCTGCGGCGCAGAAGACGAAGATGGTGATGGAGAACAACTGGAACACGATACCGGCCACCATGGTATGTGTACCGGGTGCGGTGTCGCCATTGACCTTGTTTACTGCAATTGAGGCCATGCCACCTCCAACCGCTTGCACAACAAGTGAGATAACGTCGCATGTGCAGAAGATCCAGAGGTACAGGCTTGGTTTGAGAATGGAGGACTGGGGGCCCAGGATTTGGATGAATCGGCCGAGGAGAACGTAGATGCCGGCAGTGAAGAAAGTCGGGGCTAGAGGGGATGAGTAAGGGCCGTTAAATCAGGGAGTTATTCGACTGACCAATAATGAGAGTGGAAATCTGCATCAAGAAGGCAGTACCGTTGTATGGACAATCATGCGACCAGGTTCGACCAGCCCACCCGATTAATTCCACTATATCACTTGTCAGTTATATGGTGTCGGTTAGGGTCTGTATCCCACTCACCCATGCATCCAATACTAAACACTACACACCACCATTGTCGCTTCCAGCAGAATTGGACGGTATGCACAATCATCGAGAGGCCAAACAGAACACAAAAGGCAATTCCCGGGGCCAGATGCGGTACATATCCATAGGATGTGTTGATGCCTTCGATTTTGGCGTGGCAGCCGATCGTCAAGGCATTCTTATCGACCATGGTGAATGAACCCAGTCGGAGTTGGTGTATGAAAATCAAAGCGCGTCAGTCTAGGGTATAAGTCGCAAATAGGACCAAAGGAGCGGGGTCGTAAATTATAATGGGTAAGAAAGATGTACTGTACTCCACAGAGTGGGATTAGAAAATAGCTGCAATAAACAATGTGCGAAGTATATAAAGCAAGACGGAGTAAAGTCGAGCATTAACGCTGACCCCGAGTGAGGAAGTTTGCGAGGATCCACGTATAAATAAGCCAAGAATTGACAAGTTCTCATCCGCAAAATCTGTCGGCTGGAACCTGCCGCCGAATGGAGCCAATCCCGCTTCATTGTCCGTACTCCGTAGGAACCAAAGTCTATCTGTATGCAGTCATGTCAGCATGAAAGACTAGATAAGTGGGTATCCATTAGACAATCTTGAAAGCCATTCGCGACACCAGTCTGTACGGGCAGGAGAGGACCAAGCCCACGTCAAATGGACCAGATCTGATAGGAATTCGGGCTGACTAGACGTGTCTGTCCGCGTGTAAAGCATGACTCTCGCAAGATCCTCTATTCTGGGTTTAGTGCAGTGGGGACGGTCCCTCGCTAGGTGAAATCCGATCCGACGTTGCCGGAGCCTCTCTGTCTTGGCATTCGCAAACCCGTCATCCTGTTTGAGTTGTTTCAGATCTGAGTTGGAGTATGGTAGGAAGAACGTGGCTGGAGTGCTTTCACCGTTGGAACTGAGACTTCAGCCATGGAACGCAGAACTGGTTTGACACGGACCTCACCGCTTTGCTTTGACACATTTGAAACTTGGCGACAAGGTCACAGGTCAGCCTGAGAGCCTTTTCCTATCGACTGATGCCCCTCAGCCGCACTACGACCACCGTGAGAACATCTGGAGAAAATCCCGGGCATACCTGCAGATCAATTGAGGCTTGCTTCGATGCTCACGTCCGATTTTCAATACCCAATCTCATATACGAGATCCAGCGCCAGTTTTGGTCCAAGTCGATACCACATACCACATACTGATTCTGCACTTGTGGCTCTGCATAATGCTTGACCAACAACAATATAGGTGGACATTATCTCGGCGTTTAATGTGACGCGACAACGTGATAAGTGATAGTGGCGTCCAGCCTCTAGGGCAGACCAAGAAAGCGCTTATATGAATCGCTTTACAGGGTAATTCCACCATTCTTTGTTCGTAGTCACATATATCACTGCCACCTATAGAAAGCGGGGGTTCAAGATCATTCCTTCTTTTTCCATAGCATCTTGGCCGTGTTCTGTGCCCTTGTCCTCTAACGGACTAGGTTCTACACCTTTCACATATAGCTGACATGACGCATGTATGCCCTAATGAGGGTATTGTGAGGAAGACTCGTCTCGGGATCGATGCAATATGGGTAAAGGTTGCGCTTCGTTTGCAATAAGTCAGGTCTATAGATGCTCGTTCTGCTTCATTCATAAACTAAATCTAAATATTCTTTCTGAACTTGTTCTAAACCACTGTAACTTCGTCTCAACTCATCTAAGTGAATTTCGGGAGCTCGTATAAACCAGCAGGATCTAAATTCAGTCAGCACACAATCCATCAACCCTACTGGGTAAATTCACCTTTATGGTTCTCAATGATATACTTCCTCGACTCAACAATATTGTGACTCAACTCAGACACCAACTCATGATGCCGAATCTGAATCTCTTGGTTAAACCTCGAAGCTCCCTGAATAGCAGCCTGAGCCACATGGTACCTCGAAGTCCGATTGACAAGCATCATATCAAACGGCGTGGTAGTGGATCCTTCCTCCATATACCCGGCAATGGAAACACGCTCCAAACGTGGCCGACCGAATAGCAACCCCTGCAACTCAGTTTGGTATCCATGATAATTAAAATGAATACATTTATCAGCCGTGAAAAGGTGATCAAACGCCTCGGTCGTTAATGCGTGCGGGTGTTCGCCTGCATTGTCCAGCATCATCAGATCTGTCACGTTGACCACGCGGACACGTAGATTTGGTACACGTTCGCGGAGAAGTGCTGCTGCCGCGATGACTTCGAACATAACTTCGACTCCTATGCCCACGAGAACAACGTCTGGATCGAGTCCGTTGTCTGTGCTGCAGAAGTTCCACACGGATGCACCTGCGCGGCAGTGGTTCTCTGCTTCGGAGGGTGAGAGGTAGACCGGGGTTGGTTGTTTCGAGCCTACCATTAGGTTGATGTAATTCCGGGACTTTAGGCAGTGGTGTAGGGTTGACAGGAATGTGTTTGCATCTGGTGGTAGGTAGACGCGGGCTGCGGTGGGTTTCAATTTCAAGACTGATCCAATGAATGATGGGTTTTGGTGGGAGAAGCCGTTGTGTTCCTGGCGGGTCCAGGTGCTGGTTTCGATGTAGTTTAGACTGGCATTCTTGCTGTGCCACTTAGTTTCTTCGGCCTGTTTTTTTTTTCATTTTTAGCACACGCTGGAACCATTGGGAGGGAGGAATCAATCTGACCATTTTCATGAATTTAGCATACTGCACCATCATTGTGTGAATGATTCCTAAGAAACTTTCATACGATGGGAAAATTCCCATGCGACCAGTTAAGGTATATCCCTGCATGAAGCCCTGACACATATGCTCACTGAGCACTTCGATGACACGCCCTCCGCGAGCATTGGAGAATTCGTCCCACTGGAAATTCCGCCCTGTGTTTTCAAACACTGCATCTAGCTTGTTACTCTCCAGCTCGTCTGGTGAGAATAGACGCGCACTATGTGGGTTTTGAATGAAGAGTTGGTTGATCAGTTTACCAGCAGCCTTCATTGCACTTTCTTCCTTGCCCGACTCCACGCAGAAGTGTTTCCAGTCAGGTAGATCTGGTGCCTTGTAGCTGTTATATGCTTCGATACGTTGACCAAGTTTCTTAGAACTGTCAGTCGGTATCACGGATTTGATCTCATCGATAACGTCGCCATTCTCTGTAAAGAGTTCCTCCGGTTTGTAACCTGAGAGCCAATTTTGAAGAATATCCAGTTGTTCCTTGTCAGATTTTGCCTTGGGCAGCGGCACCTGGTGTGAATGGAACGAGCCCTCGATGAAGTTTCCGTGAAGCTTTTTGGGTCCCGACCAGCCCTAGAAAGTGTGAGCATATCTACGAAACGAAAAATCCGGAGGTAAAGCCTACCTTGGGTGTTCGCAGTATCAACATTGGCCAACGAGGTTTGACAATTGGTTTGCCGGAGCGAGCCGCTTGTTGAATCCGTTGGATTTCTTTCACAGCCCACACCATTGAGCTGTGTAGATCCGTATCAATGTCGTTTAAATCCTCTACAAACCGGACTTGATATCCGTATCCAGTGAACAGAGCCAGAAGCTCCTTGTCGTCCATGCAGCCAAAGATCGTGCGCTCACTAATCTTGAACCCATTAACATGGAGGATTGGAAGGACGGCACCGGACTCTTTCGGATCAATGTATTTGATAGCATGCCAGGATCTGTACAGGCTCAATTAGCATTGTTCGTCAAAGATTTGAGTACAAAGATATGGGTAGAACGAACGTAGCCGTTGGACCAGTCTCAGCCTCCCCATCACCCACGATGCAGGGAACAATCAAATCAGGATGATCCATAACGGCACCAAATGATACAGCCAAAGCATATCCCAGTTCTCCACCTTCATGAATCGCACCCGGGGTCTCAGCGTTGATGTGACTTGGGAGACCAGCTGTGGTGCTGAATGTGGAAATGAGGTTATGCAGGCCCTGGCTGTCCCGAGAATACTGGGGGTAGAATTTCTCCAATGAGCCTTCTAGCCACAGTGCGGCTAGAACACCTGGTGCTCCGTGTCCTGGTCCGACGACATAGAGCATATCCAGGTTCATTGTTTTGATGATGTAGTTTAGGTGGGAGTAAACGAGGATCAGGCCGGGACATGTTCCCCAGTGACCTAGCAGTACTTAGTGATTGCACCGAAAATATGTCAAGTTAACTCACCTAAGAGTCGGGGCTTGATGTCATCGAACGTGAGGGGTCTTTTAAGAAGAACATTCTCTTGTAAGAAAATCATCGCTTTGTATAAGTTAGCATTTGCAGGACTTGAAGATGCAGTATGTCATACCTGCGGCGATGTAAGCAGCCGCCCGGCGAAACTTCAGCAAAGAATCGCAGGTATTTTGATCGAGTGTCTCATGATCAATTGTGACCCTGAGCTTATCCAAATCATCTGGTAAATGCGACGGTAATGGCTGTGGATTCGGCCGATCGATGACTTCGCCGGGCATAATGGGTGGTAGATAGATCAGCGGAGATCGACAAAGGTACGTAAATAATGTCTTCTTTCTCTCGAAAATGAAATCGTCGATTGAGAACACCACAACAAAAAATAGATTAAATGTAGGAACTAGAATTGTTCAATGCCCAGGTGCATGGAATATTTAATGCATGGGTCAGGCCATACAGGGTAGGTACGTATATTATCCGGCTTTTCCCTCACGACGTCACAACTGCAGATGTCATCACCTTGACATCACGTTACTTCCATCCAGCAGATCCAAATCGTCGCAATAGCTCATCATTGCGATAGATATCACCATCAAAAATGGCAAAATACATTCTGGCCGTCAACGCCGGCTCATCCTCTGTCAAAGTCACGTTCTATGCATACGAGAACCCGCCAAGAGCAATCGCCGATGCCCAGGTGTCAGGTATCACTGCCCCACCACCAGCATTTAAGTACCGGCGCGGCCCTGAGAAAATCCAAGAGGACCTGAAGCAGAAGCTGAATACGCCCCAAGATGCGTTCAAATATATTCTGCAGCGCTGCTTCAATGACCCCGAGCTTGCCGAGGTCGCTAGCGAGGCTGATCTCGCATACATATGTCATCGGGTAGTTCATGGAGGAGACTACAAAGAAGCAGTCACAATCAACGATGAAAGCTTGCATCATCTGGAGGAATTAGAAGATCTCGCTCCGTTGTTAGTAAACCGCCTAAATTTCTGTGTTCAATTTCCCATCTCTACACATGTTACTAACTCCAGCGCCCAGGCACAATTTCTCCGCACTGGAGATCATTCGCCTCTGCAAAAAAGAGCTTCCAAGCGTCGCCAGCATCACCTTTTTCGACTCCGCCTTCCATCAGACTATGCCCGCCCACGTGAAGACATATCCTATCGACCAGGAAATCGCCAAAGCAAACGGGCTACGGAAATACGGATTCCACGGAATCAGCTACTCGTTCATTCTACGCTCCGTCGCACAGTTCCTGGGTAAACCGACCGAATCTACTAACGTGATCGCAATGCATATCGGCAGTGGAGCTTCGATCTGCGCGATCAAGGATGGCAAATCGATTGATACTTCGTGAGCCCAAACTCTTCCTTTCATGACCCACGGTTCACTGACGACATTCAGAATGGGCCTTACACCCCTAGCTGGGTTACCCGGCGCAACGCGAAGCGGCTCTATAGATCCCTCGTGGGTTATCCATCAACCTGGAACTTGGTATCAGCCCTAGTGGAGTTACTGACCGTGATCTAGGCTGGTATTCCACTACACGAGCGAGGCGGGGAAATTGAGTCCCGGCAGCACCAAGGAGATGCACATTAGCACGGTAAGGGCACTTGAAAACTTTTCACGCAACGAGAACTAATGCCCATCAAGGCCGAGGAAATTCTCAACAAAAAATCCGGCTGGAAAGCTCTGACCGGCACCACCGATTTCGCCAAAATCGCCGTCTCAGACGCACCGGATACACACAAGCTAGCGTTCGATATCGTGGTCGATCGTATTCTAGGCTATATTGGGAGTTACTACGTCAAGCTAAACGGACAGGTAGACGCTATCGTATTTGCGGGCGGCATTGGCGAGAAGAGCGCATTATTGCGCCGGACGCTGGTTGAGCAATGCCGGAGTCTAGGTGTGGCGATTGATCCGGGCGCTAATGACAAGGGGCCGGGTGACGAGACAGTCAAAGATATCTCCCTTGACGGCAAGGGGCCTCGAGTGCTGATCTGCCAAACCGACGAACAGGTAAGACCGTGGCTTTTTTTTTTTTTTTTTTTTTTTTTCATTGTGCATCCACGAAGCAGGGTATTTTGTTTGCTAATGAATTTGTGTTTATAGTTCGAGATGGCGTATAGCGTTTGTGCGCGATGAGGTATCGAATATGGATTTAGTCAGAAGAGCTGATCACAACGAGTGTAATTGTAATTCCAAATCTTACATATGACAGGTTCAGCCTTAAGAATGACAGATGCGTAGCTGGATAGGAATCGTCAACGCGTCGTATTTAGGCTTTGGTTTTTGTCATTCTTATGGGAAAAAAAATAGACATGTCCCTGCATTCCAATGCTTTGAGTCTAATCTACTGAAGATCCAGGTGGGCGGGTGACATGAATGTGATGCATCAAGTCTCGGATTCGACAGCTTGCATCGGAATTCCCGTTCCCCCCGAGACGTCGATCAGTAAGCCGGGAGGAGAGGATCGCGATCGGGGAGAATGAGATCGAAGAATAAGTCTGGCTAATCTGTGATGTACTCAGCCCATTCGTACTTTTGAAGACAGGGATGATCCGCGGAACTGCCACTCTATTGTACATCTAAGTTCAATGTTGCTTGGATCTCTCATGCAGTACAGATCGATCGCATGCAAGTCAAATAATGGCACACAGCAAGGTCCAGATGCAGTGCTGCACATGTACCTGCGTTACAGTAAATTGATGTTGATAAATGTCATAGTGCAGGCCGATCCCACGAAAGGGGCAGAGGCGCACAATTGAGAAGCTGATGACTCCACTGGTGGACATTAATGTGGCAGGAAACATCAACCGTTGATCCATCTCAATCCTCCAACTGGCTGCGGAAGTGCAGCAAGAAGCCGCGCGCCCCAGGAATGCCCCTAGAGCCCAGTGGGTCGAAGTGGCTTCGCATTGCACTCTGTATGGCTCGGTTCATCTGAAAATCTGAAATAACCATTCCTTCTGATGCGTCCGAGTCAGGGGCCCGGCAGGGAGGACAAGGAGACGATCAAACCCGACACGATGGGTACTGGGCCGATCGTCATTCAGTTTTTATTTTTATTTTCGGTTTTTCCGTGATGTAATTTGTAGAACTCGAGAATTGAGGCTGTCAATCGGGGAAAAAGTTTACTCGTCCACTTGGTTCTTTGCGGGTGTCGCCGTCCGGGTTTCCGGCGATCTCAACAAAGGGAGATCATGCCCACGGGCAGGTTAAAAAAAAAAGTAAAGCCCCCCAATAATCGCCGGGGAACTCCCGGAGTACCTTTTGTCTTTTCTTTTGACACATCAAGATCTACGTCTATTGAGGCGGGATCAATGGTTCCAGAACGGATAAATGCATACGTACGGAGTACAACCGGAATACCAAGTGGGTGCCTCATGTCCACTTGTTCCAGAAGCTTTCGATGGAGTCGAGTGATTTTTTGGGAGGATCGTCCGGCTTCTCTTCCGCGGTGCCCTAGCTCGAAAAAGAGAAATGGTCGACTTTTGGTCGACGAGCTATTGCGTACGGGATGGTCTGGACCTTTCCGTTGAATCCCCAACGGCCACAATATTGAGCAATGGATGTATCGAGATCTATTGAGATAAAGAAAACAAGGACATTTTCTCCCCCCTGCGCTGCAAGGCGGTTAACCAAGTCGGCTTTTCTTCCGTGACACCCCTGTTCCCTGCACTGGCGCGATACATATGTACCTACGTACCGATCGGAGGATTCGTCGAGTCAGTTTCATTTATACAAAGAGTCCTTCGACTCAACCTAATCTCCTCATATTACAGCTAACTTTTACTGCGTAATAGTAATCGGATTTAGAGATAATAAGAAGCCAAGCGGTTCATGCAATTCGCTAAACCTTGTTCCTCGCGGGTGAACTAATGCATCGAGCCGAAGTCTGGAGACGCGTTCAGGAACCCGCTGTGGCAAGAGGCAAATGAACCCAGAGCCCTGGATCATAGCCGTTATAGTCTATCTGCAAATCCTGCCTTGGAACACCCAAAAACTCAAAATATTGACAGGGGAGGACGGGGCGACGGACAGGTCGGGCCAAAGACCACAGAAACAGGCTAATGATTCTGGAAGGCCTCAACCTCTTCTCCCGTTTCTAGCGTCATTCTAGCTGTAATGGAAACGGGGTCTTCCCGAGGTACTCCGTTTGCTCCACCGTAAGAAAAAGGAAGCTCGTTTTTTTGTTTCCTTGCCTATTTTCGACTAAATGCCCCGAGTACCCAGCTAAACTTCCTGGTCGGGTCGGTCTACTGCAACGTAAATACCGTGACCCATTATTTGGGTCCCTGCCGCGTGCAGACCCACTGAGGATCATCATCAATTCCCCTATCCCAACGAATAGGGAATGGCCCTGGAACAAGGTGGCTTGCAAAAGGCGGCAATCACATCAGCAACTTGCGAGATGGAGAAAGGGAAGTGAGAGAGCTTTCCCCGTGGCGTGGAGCTTTCTCAAAGTCTCGCCCGTGTCTAGGGAATCGATCTCGCTAACGGCCTCGGGCTGCAATTCCGCGGCAGATCTCCAGGCCCGATGGCAATAGCGATGGAAGCCTGTTAGATAGTAGGGTGGACTTATCGATTTCACTATTGCAATACCCTAGCCTTAATCCCGGTCTACTCTAGATGATATCAAGCCGTGGATGGCTGAAACAGGAAATCCGAGCTACTGGAGAGAAAAGAAAAGATAGCGGACTTTATTAATACTTAATCTAACAGAGGAGGAAGGTGACCCTAAAAAAAAACAACAAATAAAACATAGCCACAGGCTCCAGTGTGGCGAGAGCTGACGCAACAAAAGCCAGTGTGATTGTACCCTTAAAACAAAAGATAGGGGTATATGGGGGTGGATCCCCAACTGTTTTCTGCAGTTCCCGAATGAAATCAGAAAAATTTCGATGGAGAATTTACGGGGAGTGCCACTTGTATCATCGCATACCGCGAAGTGGGCCACTTCACCCAAGTCCCCGGGAGAACTAGAAAGGCTAGAAGGCGAAAAGAATGTTCATACGTAACCGAGACCAGGAGTGGGTTCATTAGAGCTTCTGAATTGGCTTTCGAATCGACGCGCCGTACTGATGGAGTTTTCTCTGGTAGCGCGCGCGGGGACCCACCCCCTATGATGGATACTTGTCCACTCCCAACAGGATCGTGGGAACCGTGATCGAGATCGGTTTAATAACTAGTGCGAGTGCGGGAGATTCGTAATTTGGGATGAGACAGGGCAGTGCTGGGCGCGAAAAGGAATACAAAAAAAACAAAAACGGGACGCCCGAGGTAGTTTCAACTTGCTTTGTTCGGGGTGAGATCAAGGGGGGTGATAGGAGAGGCGATTGGCCGGGAGTTGGGCCATCTCATCTGAAGGATAAGTTGAGTTTTGGAAGTCATTTAGATACATAGAGACTAAAGGCGATAGCGCGAAGGCGAAACCGAGTGTCTGAACTTGATGAAATAGTTGGCTAGGGGACGTACCTAGGCATCATATGTCAGAGGGACCCCTGGGAATGGTACAGGTTCTATGGATCTAGTACTAAGATGGTTTAGTGAATCCATCCGATGGAGCCCGAACCACGCGAGTTAAGGAGAAGAGAACTTGTCTCTTCGGATGGATCCGTTTCTGTTCCTGCGGCTGCTTCCCTTTGCTCCACTTATGCAACGGAGATTCGGTAGCTTTCCCCTGGGAAAGTGGAGAGCTTCGGGGAAAATCACCAACTGCATGGTACTTTTGGGGGATACAGGAGCAAGGTATCAAATATGAGAAGTGGCTGGGATGTATAGAAGTGATGGATCCATTGATAAAAAAGCATCCGATCCATCCTTAGCGTTAAGACGTTAAGGGGAACTGGACCAGTTCTTCCGGGGGGACGGGAGAGCCGCTCTTAACAAAGAGGATTTGCAGTGATGGTTTTTCTTTTTATTGATTTTGGTAATTTGGATTTCCTTTTTTGATTTATTTCATTTCGGCTTTTAGTATTTTAGCATTTTAGGATTTTTTTTTAAATTGTATTTTCCCAATCCATTTCTTATTTTCTTCTTTTTTAACTCTTTTTTTTCCCATTCATTTTTTTTTATCAAATAGCAGGGAAAAAAAAAGGATGATCATCCTCATATCTTGTCTATATATCTACGCAATCGTTCCCTTCTTTCAAATCTCTCTTCTCCTTTGACTCTAATTCTCCTCGACCAGGATTCGGGACATACTTGACGACCAAAACACAAATATTACGCCCCTACCTGTCCCTGTGCTCTCCCTTCTCTCCCTTGCGATACGTCTTTTGCTGGATTTTCAACCGGATCTACCGGGTCACTTCCGCGGCACTTGCTCCTTTCCAGGGCCTCCCTTGCCGGCTTTAGCTATCCCTTCTCTGCCCGTTTATCCTTGGTTCAGATCGCGATTTTCATGAACTTGATTCTGCAGCCACCCTCGCGCTTATTATTTTGAATTACCTGGGAGAAGAGAAATCCGATACGACCGAACCCATAAAAAGCAACGAAAGGCGACCTATCGAGCCTCTTTCTACACCACTTGAATCCACCATTTTATTTGTTGGCTGTCTTGTCACATTCCTGCCCTACAATCTGCTGGTGCCCGCACCGTCCTAGTGGTCATCTTTAAAAAGGATCACCTTCCCGATCTCGACCGCATACGCCTATCGCCGCCACCCTTGTCGAGAACCGTTTCGTTTCTTTTTCTTTTTTGACTTCGGGGGGTTGGATTGGGAGCTCGTTTGCCTGGTGCTCGAATCCCCGGCCGCAAAGAACTATATAAGATCCTTCGTGGTCGTGTCTATTTGGTAAGTTCTTCATCTCATTCCTCACCTTCTAAACTACGATCAACACCACCAATATTTCCTCAATTCGACCCTAATCATGATTGTCCCCGCAGAACTCAATATGATACTCCGAGATCTCTCTGCTTTCAACATGGGACGCGGTGCATACGATACAACCGGTGTTAAGAAGCCTGGTGCTCCTCCACCACCACCTAAATAATCACCTTACCAAGATACCCTCCATCCTCATACTTGTTTGGTATCAAGGATATCCCTAGCGCACATGCGCTAGATAATCACGCCTCTACGTTGGAGTTGACACTTTTTTTTCGGTGAGTCAGACGTTGCCTTATTTTGGGCACCAACTGAGTACTAATTGATATTAGACATCTGTAACACTATTGAACTTTGGCTCTGCTGTTCTCTTTCGGTCATATCCTTGTCTACGTTTCGCTACCGGATTTGCGCGACCAATCATTATACCCCTTTTAATTCCTATTCTGCATCGGTTTCGGATTCCCCCAGCGTCGACGCTTCTCGTTTTTCGACTTTCTGCGTCGCATGTGCGCCTTGATTTTTTTTTTTTTTTCTCGGAACCCCGTCTTCTTCTCCGACATCCTCCTACCTTTCTCTCTCCGACATGACTTTCTGGGGCTACCTTTCTTTTGATCTCTCAAAAAGTTGTGATGTGTTGGTTTTATCTGGTTATTTGTTTACTTTGAGGCGTTATGGTTTAGATGGGTTGGAAGTTATTGCATGGGATGCATGGGTTTATACCAGAAGGAAATAGACCTTCGACCCCGCGGTCAAATAGCATGATTTGCTAATATTATATTTGGGATCTTCACTTCACTTGCATTGTGTATCTGTACCTGGCATCGTATCTGTATATCTCCGCGCGCCTGACTGTAAGCGCCTCGTCCTTTTGTCGGTCTAGACCACGTTCGAATTGATTAATCGATCTAGGCAAACTTGCCAACTGTCGTGTCGGGTTTGTCAGCTGCGGGTAGAATCTGTTGAGCATCGGGCAGGGTTGCTTGGGGACTGACGAGGCCAGGAACCGGTCTGATTTTGGATGTGGGCCCTGTCAGTGTCGGCGGAGGTATCCCGACCAGTCAGTACCGGACATCATCTTGCATACCCGTTGGGCACTAGCCTGGTCAGGAACGAGTTTGTGCGAGAATCTAGAGCTCTCGTTCTACAGTCAATGCACTACAGATGCTCTGGGGATCGTGTTCCTGATTAGGACCTTTGGCGACCAGGGAACCATGTTATGTTCCAATATCCACTCCCAGGCCCAAGGATGTTGGCGCCTAATTGTCATTCAAAGGATGCCTACTTTCCAATGTTCACGAGATCTGTTAAATTTGCACACCTCAGAGCTGCTCCGTTCTAGAAGATACAAAAGTACCAGTTCCCCACTCCTGAATCCCCAGATGTGTTTCAATATCTTCGAAGTGTATGCCACAAAGCACAAACTCATTGTTTGACAGTTCGGGGCTGACGGTCCCATCGGTTCTTATTCTTCGGGTTGGAGCTCAACTTTCCTGTTAGCCGGGGTCGTTTGGTGCTTCGATGAACGAACCTGAGAAAATGAGACCGATCACTTCACCTCGAACTATACGAGAATAGTCAAGCCCAACCGTCAATCGATCAGCCTGCAGACCCTTGATCGCCAGACTTTCAATGCATTGTTGATGCATTTATACAACTAGTCACGTGACATAGCGACATGGGGTTCGCGCTAAGCTAGATAGAGGAAGTGCATCATCATCGACCTCCGACTAAGCAACTCAATCCTCAATTACCTCCCAGTACTTCCGGTCACAACATTTCAAGGAGGCCTTATTACAAACCCAGTTGACCCTTTCAAGAAATACAACTTCTCGTATTCCAGCTTCTGTCTCACGTCTCAGGCCGCCAGCTACATAGGTCTCAGCTGAATCTCGCCAGCTCATCCTTCTGCCTGATTACCGGTTGTTTGACAGGCGTCGCTTCCTGCACGACGGCCTAACCGGTCCTTTCTGCTTTGTCTAATTTCAACTATTCAACCTTCAGCCATGTCCGAGTCAGCGGGCGCGAATGCCCCCAAGCCAAGCAGCAGTGTCAAGCTCGTGCTGCTGGGAGAGGCTGCCGTGGGAAAGGTATAGTTCTCCTCGCTCCGTTACACAGGAAACCGTAGCTGACCAGCATGCTTGCTTGCAGTCCTCCCTCGTCTTGCGGTTCGTCAACAATGATTTCCAAGAGAACAAGGAACCAACGATCGGCGGTAAGACAGCCTCCTCCCCCCCCCCCCCCCTTCCAACCACCCGCCGAAGATGAATAAGGATCATAGCGCAATATCTCTGGCCATAGATTCATCTCTGTCGCGATAGTCCTTGCATGGTGTTACACTAGTGGCGATCCATTCAAATGTCCCACCACCTCCATACTACCCTCCATTCTACTCTCATATTGACCCTAAATGGATGGACTAACATGATCATGCAGCCGCCTTCCTTACACAGAAATGTACCCTCCCCTCGCGCACAATCAAGTTCGAGATTTGGGATACCGCAGGACAGGAACGGTTCGCTTCGCTCGCCCCCATGTACTACCGCAATGCCCAGGCCGCCCTCGTGGTCTACGATGTTACCAAGCCCTCCTCTCTGACCAAGGCGAAACACTGGGTGGCTGAGCTTCAGCGCCAGGCTAGCCCCGGGATTGTCATCGCTCTCGTCGGTAACAAGCTGGACTTGACCAACGATGGCGGCGATGCCTCAGCTGTTCAGGACGTCGAGTCTGTGTCGGCTGCCCCCGAGAGCGATGAGGCAGCTGGCGAGGAAGGCGAGGAGCAAGATGCGACTCCCGGCGATGCTCGGAAAGTGTCGACACGTGAGGCTACTGGTTATGCCGAAGAGGAGGGACTGCTGTTCTTTGAGACCAGTGCGAAGACTGGAACCAATGTGGTGGATGTGTTCACGGCCATTGCCAATGCGATCCCAGAAAGCAGCTTGAAGACCGGTCGCGGCGCTGCTGGAGCTGGTCAAACTGCACTTGGTGCCCGCTCTGGAGAAGATTCTCGGGTCAATTTGGGTGACCGTAGTGCTGCGACAGCCAAAGAGGGCTGTGCTTGTTGATCTGGGGTTTCCGTCTCCAATTTCCATTTTCCTTCTTCTACAACATCCCCCCCGCAATCTCCAGGCGTTTTCATACCTTTTTCATTGTTCTCGGTCCGCTTTTCCCAGTTACATTTTAAGTTACTTCCAGTATTGGAAACACTTAAATGTCCCTATTGCACATCCTGTGGTATATCACCTTTTTTTTGCTTTTTAAGTCAATGATACAGTAAATCTTCTAGAGTGTATAGAATCTGAATCTTGAAACAGTATTCAGAACATGGAACACTAAGAGCCAAAGCAGTAAAAGTCTGGAACATTGGAACCAGTCACGAACATCCGACCAATCAGAAGAAGCCGAGGGCAGAGTAGTCACGGGACCATCAATCCCCTAAAGAAAACACGCTAAGCCCGATTTGGTCCAAGCGCACCCTAAGCGAAAGTGACGATCCCACAGCAAATTCCCATTTGGCTTCTTGATGCGAGAACACCTCCCCTCCGCCGACATCTCAACCAGCACCTTCCGCAGCACCCCGTTGCTCACCATGGCTGCCGTCAACAAGATTGCCCTCAACTCGCCGTCCCGGCAGAACCCCTCCGAGCTGGAGACCGCGATTGCCGGTGCTCTGTTCGACCTCGAGAGCAACACACAGGACCTGAAGGCCACCCTTCGCCCCCTGCAGTTCGTCTCTGCCCGTGAGGTAAGAATTGCGCCTACGCCTATCGGAACTCAACTTGGAAATCGTGTCGATGGAATTTTTTTGTGCGATTTTGTGTGATCGGAGCAAGAGATGGAAATTTAAAGATATCATGGACAAATGTCGAATCGCCTCAATTCCTTGCCAAACAATTCAACAAGGCACTACCAGTATCTAAGGAAGGCATACACGACGATGGCAACACACAATCGACACAACGATCAAAAAATTCCGTCGACACTTTTTCTGGGGTTGAAATCTGGATTTTGATGTTTTTGTGTGCGCCCGCCGCACGTTGAAATCAGACATTCTAACATGATTACCCATTACAGGTTGAGGTCGGCCACGGCAAGAAGGCCATCGTTGTCTTCGTCCCCGTTCCCCTCCTGCAGGGCTTCCACAAGATCCAGCAGCGGTAAGACTCGACACCCAAGCACACAACTACCATATGGATCAAAAAAAGAAACCAAGACTAATCAATCACGACAACAGCCTCACCCGCGAGCTGGAGAAGAAGTTCTCTGACCGCCATGTCCTCTTCGTGGCTCAGCGCCGCATCCTGCCCCGCCCCAAGCGCTCCGTCAACTCGCGCTCCAACCAGACTCAGAAGCGCCCCCGTTCCCGCACTCTGACCGCCGTCCACGACTCCATCCTCACTGACCTCGTCTACCCCGTCGAGATCGTCGGCAAGCGCATCCGCACCAAGGAGGACGGCAGCAAGACCCTGAAGGTTGTCCTGGACGAGAAGGAGAAGGGTGGTGTTGACCACCGTCTCGACGCTTACGGCGAGGTCTACCGTCGGTTGACCGGCCGCAACGTTGTGTTCGAGTTCCCCCAGAGCGGCGCTGAGTACTAAGCTATAAACTAGTTTTAAGCTTTGATTCTGTGTTGTTTTGAAGGAATGGAGGGAAAGGACAGGAAAGGAGGTGTATTGGGTTTACTTGTTTCTAGGTCTTGAAACTCAACTAGATCCAAGGCATGACGGGTGAAAAGACCAAAAAATGCATTCACGGGTTTTTGATTTATGTGTGCCCTTTCCATTGACTTGGTGCATGGTTTGTCCTCCCAGAGGCGACGGAGCTGAGTATTTTTTTTCCATCCGGACACCGTGTTTCTTCTTTAATGAGGATGGGATGGGATATGTGATAACTATTCCAATTGAACATTTCCGACTTTCAATTACGCGTAGGAATCACCAATACTACCCTGTTCTGAGTCCTGGAAGGAACCTATGCCCTCGTACTGGTTATTATGCAGTTCAAGTAGCCCATCTCTTACGTTCACCCATGACCTCGAGATATTCACGCAGGAAAAGCCATTGTACTCGAAAAAAAAAAAGATATGTATAGAACTATGGGGTATGAACAAAGCAACTATGAACAAGACGTTATCATCTACAACGCAGCCTGAATCTTCCCTACCCCCAAAACCATCCAATAGGCCAATTCCCTCGCAACAAGATCATCAGGCTTAGAAGCCTTCCCAACATTCTGCTGTTCAAGCTGTGCCTCCGCATCCCACTCCATGTGCACAAAAACTGGAATCTCCAACACATCTTCATCCTCCTTCAAAGCAACACCCTCATCACTAGCATCCTCATTCCCGGCATTGGTAGTATCAGCTTCAGACCCCGGTAACGTCCCCGGAATAACCTCCAACACAACAGTCGTCCAGTTCCGACCTTTATCCCACACTTTACCAGCTTCGGGTACTTTCTCTGCTGTTCGGATGCCAGTCAAACGCGAGTCTCCGACAGGAGCCGCACCTGCCAACGCCTCATCCCAGACATCACTGTTCGCACCGATCTCGAACTGCGGACTTAGGATGGTCACTTTACTAGCGACCCGGCCTGGCGTCACGGATGGTGTAGCAAGTGTAATGCGGACGGGATCGAACATGTGGTTCTTCAACGTGAGAAGGACATGCACAGGTCTAAGGGGAGGCAAAGCGTTTAGATCCGGTGTTTGCGTTACGGTACCCGACGTAAACGATGACGGAGCAGGTAGAGCTAGAGGACGCAACGTGGGCAGCGGGATATAGCTGAGAGCAATGAGACGAATCCGGAAGCGAGTGGACTGCGGCTTCGTCTCTGGTTTGACAAGGATATGCTTGCAGGATTTGCAGCGCTTTGCACGCTTGGTGCGGAGGAGGACGGGGAGTGGGAGGAGCTCGTCGACGAAGCGGACATCTGGTGATTGCTGTGCGCGCTGATCGAGTGAAGCAATGCTATCCCAGCCGCCTTCTGGAGATGCGAGACGCTCGATTATAGCGGCTTCTTCGTCTGCGGGTGTAACACGGAGACCTTCGCTGGCGGTTAGGGCTTCGCGCATGACTGGGGGCTTTGATTTGGATTTTTTGTTCCCGCCGTAGAGTCCGCTTAGACGGGATGAGGATGCGTAGAGGGACATCAGGCGGTTTAGAGCGCCTGGTGAGGAAAAGCCGAATTCTGACAAGGGGTCACTGGGGGAAGTTGATGTTTCTGAGATCTGGTTGCGGTAGAAGGATTTAAGTGCTGCGAAGCGGGCGTCTGTGTTTGCGGGTGCCACGTCTGTTGAGTCCTCTTTTGCGGATTGCTCTTCGCTGCCGTTGTCGTTGTTTTGGGCGCTGGATTGTCCCTCGGCTGAGATCAGGGTTGATAAAGGCGATTTCAAATCACTGAATGCACGAGAGCCTTGTCTTGACCGGGCATCGTAGGCAGGGGATGCAGTGGAATCGGTCATCTTTTGCAGTTGACTACGGATATTGGTCGGCTTGTCGAACTTGATACCGATATCCAGTGTCGTCCACATGCAGTATCCACAAGATAAGACCCATGGCCCTTGTTGATTTCCATTGCCCGTTACATTTTCAATGGTACTCACAGCTAGTGGGGCTGTACAGACGGGGCAATTGAAGCAGTTACGACCACATCTGTTGTAGTTAGCAAGGCTGTAGCTGTTGGAAACAACTATCTTCAAACATACCGATTGCCATCACTTTTCACCATGCTACTCGGTGTCTCAAATAGACAGTTTGGGCAATACCAGCTCACGATTTCCTCGGTTATGCATCGAGGGCACTTGATCTGGTGACAATCCTCGCAGTATAGAAGCTGTTCGGGTGGATACAACGAGAAATTGGACCGTAGAGATCTAGGGTCGAATGTCTGTTCTTCGTCCTCGTCTTCTTCATCTTGGCCATCCTCCGGCTTTGGTGTCGCATCTTCTGCGGCATCTGTTCGCTCCGGTGTTGGTTTCTGTGACGACTCCCTTGACCTTCGCTTCCTAGCGGGGTCGGGGATTGGGGTGTCGGCGCAAGGGCACGAGATGTAACTGTATGGGAATGGACGCGACATCCTGGGTTGATGGGAAGTAATTCAATAAAGTGATTGCGGCAAACAGGTGTTTCGCTCGGTCAATTCATGCTTCGTGTGACGGGGTCGAGATAATAAGAGGTGGATGCAGAGGCGGCAGTAAGTTTAAAAAGCTCTGTAGACAGGTATTGACTGTTATCGCAACCATTAGCATGCGCCGTCCAGTCTGAGTTTCGTTCTGACCACCGCGACACCCGGTCGTGGGGTAGGGAGTCGTCAGCGATGTACGCGAATACGTACCAAAATTAGGTTTAAATTGAATTTCTCTAGACCCAATCAGCTGCACAGTATGCCCGAGTATGACTACGAGATACACGCAATGATGTTCACGCGGACGGAGCTGCAATTGCGGGCGCAGGGAAAAACGCAGTCGCGGAGATTAAGCTGCGGAGGTCGGTATCAACAATCGACGTCAGAACAAAATTTGGGCCTCAGTTGCAACCTCAATTCCAACCTCCACCTCCACCCCGCAAGTCCAAAATGATCTAGGATCGACTCTTATATTCACTTTACGAACAAAAAATTACTCTCGCTCCTCTAATCATGTTCTCTCTTCACACCATTCGCTCCAGTCTGCCGCGACGATGTCTCGCTGCAAACGTACGGACGTACGCTAGCCAGACCCCCGGTAACCCCATGATTGAGGTATTCAACCGCAAAACGAAGCACCTGCAGAAGGACCGAGCGGCCCGGAATGTTGAGGAGAGCCGTAAGGTCGACTACCTGAAAGATGAAGTGGCAAGGCGGTTATGCGAACGATTGCTGGTAAGGAAGCTCGCGGAACAAAGGACTCAGCTACAGTAGAGCCTTGTACACAATACATTTGCTAATGGAACATGTGCTTGGTATAGGATATCAAACGTGATTTTCCCAATGTGCTTGATCTTGGCGCAAACAGTTGCAATATCGCAAGAGCACTGACGACTCCGGATCTCGATATGGCTGCGCCGGAGGGCGTTTCGACACCGCCGTTGACGCAGAAAATCCCCAACATTACCTGCGTGGAAACCTCGCGGGCTTTGCTACACCGTGACGAGGATTTGCCCTTCAATAAAGAAATCAATGTCCATCGCGATGTGATTCCAGATCTAGAGACGTTGCCGTACCAGCCGAACCAGTTTGATGCTGTGCTTTCGTCGCTGTCGATGCATTGGATCAACGACTTGCCGGCATTGCTTAACCAGGTCAACACGATCCTCAAGCCGGATTGCCCGTTTATTGGTGCTATGTTCGGTGGTGATACGCTGTTCGAGCTCCGAGGGTCGATGCAGCTGGCTGATCTGGAGCGGCGTGGCGGCGTCAGCCCGCATGTGTCGCCGCTAGCGGATGTGAAGGATGTGGGAAGTCTGCTTACTCGTGCTGGGTTTAAGATGCTCACGGTCGACGTGGAGGATATCGTGGTTGAGTTTCCGGATACATTCGCTCTCATGCAAGATCTCCAGGCTATGGGTGAGAGCAATGCTATCCTGCATCGGGAGGCGGGTCCCATCTCTCGGGATGTCTTGTTGGCTAACGAGGCTATCTACCGAACTCTGCATATGGAGGATGATGCACCCGGTATCCCAGCGACATTCCGAATGATTTACATGATCGGTTGGAAGGAGGGTAAGGACCAGCCGCAGCCGTTGCAGCGCGGTAGTGGTGAGGTTAATCTCAAGGATATCTTGGGCGGAGGTGATTTTGAAAGGCCATAGACCTTCCAGCATGTATAGTACAAGGAGATCGAGATTGGATGGAAGGTCCAACATAATGTTTTAGTATACCAATGTAAAACAGTCACGCTGAACAGAAAGATTTTGGACAAGAAGGAAAGGAAACTTGTATGAAATGCGAGCCTCTACCCAACAGCAAAACACGATTGCTTTCACTTAAACCGTCCGGCGGTCTGTCATGACCCGAACAATTGATCCAGTCCCTGTCAACTCCACCAACTTCTCGTGCCAATTGAGCAGCACGCTCATCTGCTGGCCACCACCACCCTCACCCACGTTGCGAGCCTGGATCTGCGAGAAACCTGTAGCCTGCGGCGAAACGGTCTTGGATCCACTGCTAGGACCAGACGAAGACATGCCCTTGTATCTGTTTCTCACATTAGCGCATGTCACAAGCTCCCAATTCAAGCTTGGAATCCCAAGCATTGAGGACGCATTAATAAACATACAGGTACTTCATCAAGCAATCCGCCCGCTCAGCACCACCATCTGAGGCACAAACACCTTCCAAAACACGAGTCATCTCCGCCTGTCGAATCCCCTGCAGCACCTCAATCACAGTCGCCATGTGCACCTCCTTAGCGCGGTCATCACCGCCCAGCGGCGCAGTGTCCAGAACGTGGCGGAGCGCGCCCTCGGTGTCACCACCGCGCAGCAGCTGGCGCACCTGAGTCGCAACGTTTGCGGCGTCACTAGAGGTTTCGGGTTGGGGGAGGGTTGCGGGCAGGAGGGTTTCCATGGGGAAGTTGGCCGACGACTCCGGGTCGAGCTGGTCGATGTTGATGGTGCGGTAGTTGATTTGCGACATGGTGACGGTGTTCCTTGGCTCGTTTCTCGTGGGGATTATGGTGTTTGAGGGGTAATTGAGCTTTGATTTGGTGTATGGATCCCAGGGAATGGGGGTTCGCGCGGTGTTTGCCTTGGGTATATCGGGCGGTGGGGAGCGGGGGTTTGGGGAATTGGGGCGGTGTTGCCGGGCGGTATGAGAGAGACACGATGCACGCAATGGAGCTAGTTTCCACGCTGTTCAAGTAAAAAGATAAGGTGCAGGCTTGCAGCACTGATGATGTGTGATGGTTATGGCCCTGGGGTACCGTGCGTAAGCAGTGGTCAAATTGTCGTTTAGCTTTGTGCCTAGATGCTGGACTCCAACTACGTAATGCTGCGTCTGTAGATGAAGTATAGCGTACCTTTTTGACTAAATTGAATGTTCTACTATAATCATTTGATCAAGTCTCTAAATCAAGTCTTGCAGAAATTCACATAACATATTTCGTATTCGTCATGATGTTTATTGGCCTCTCTCCCCGACTTATCGCCTTCTCATCGCCTTGGTCCGCAACCCCAGGCTAATAGAGACCTCATCGCCAGCTCCTAAAGCCTGAACTTTTGAGAAACACACTACTTCTTCAGTGGCTTAGAGAAAGTTTCCCATGTTGGTTTAATAGTACACGGAGGTCAAATAGGTTTCAGCAGGGACAAGTGCAAGGAACTATACCAACGACAATACTAAGCGCAACGAGGATCATTAATCAATCGAATGTACTTGAGAACCCCGACTCTCACGCTGCTTCATTTACTCCAACCAATCGATCCATGAATACTCTCATCGATTTATGAGGTCCATTAATCCGACCCAGAACCACCCCTCGGTCTCCAAAAATCCCTCATCCTCGGCCATTCAGCATCGAGCTCCCCTGTTCACCTGGGGATATCACAAGCCTCGCGAAGGGCCATGCCGCAATACCCGTGCTTAATTATAGACATGAGGAGCAATTCCCCGCAGATTGCGTGTCGAGGACAAGATCAAGTGGAGTAGATCTACACACCCGGCGACTCGTGAGCCACCACGGGCCAACGTGTGACAAAAAGCTTGTCATTTCCATTGTCTGATTCATGAAACTAGATCTACTTTTGCAGACCGGGATGAAACAGGCCAAAAATTAGCTCAAGGCAATCTGAAGCTTGGGAATGCTTGTGATGCTTGTGATGCTTGTGGGAGCTGTACCAGGGCACCATGTGGAGTACCTGAATCGACTTGAAGGCGTGATCAGGACTTCATTTTGGGGTTGGGGCAGTGAACAGTATTAGATGTGGAATGGGGAGAGAGGTTGTAGAAATGGTTCATCCCAATGCCACGTAACTCCTAAATGTTGCGATGGCGAACATGCATGAAGGCGAAAGAACCATATTTCGTTAGTCCGAGGCTACATCATGGGCATCAACTGGTGAATCGATCGAATGCATTTTCAAGTTTCGTGCATCTGAAATTTGAGTCTGGATCAGGTTCGCCCAACCAAATACCTCATCGTTGATCTGCAGAAGTGGAGAACGGAACCAGGAACCAGCCCCTACGTAGCTTGCAAAGCGTAAAATGCGGGCCCTGATGAAAGTGATCTCCCGATCTCCATGTCTTGCAGCTGAGCGATTGTTTGGTGTACATATATTTCTCCAGTGTTTGCTGCTGGTTTCAAATGTTTCTATTCCATTCGTTTTCTCTGTTTCTTACATAGATTTTTGACTCTTTTACTTTACCGCAATTCTGGATATGCCTTCATCTCATTCGGATACCAAGCCTCTGACCTCGCCTCCACCCGGTGATAGAGATCTTCAATCAGCCTTGCATGAATATGGCTTGGAGCCTACTCCCGATGGCCGATTGATTCGCTGGTCTTCTTCTAATCAGAATCATCCGCGGAATTGGTCTCTAGGCCGAAAGATCTATGATAGTCATATGATTATCTTTTTGGACCTATTTACGTATGTTGTTGAGCTTGCTCCCTCGTACACTAGCAGAGCTAATTGGTGTACCAATTAGGACTTGTATCAGTACAGCCGGAGTAAGCTGTTTTTACAACTCATAAGGGACCAATATTAACTATCTTCAGAGTACCGCAGCCGATCATGCACAACAGGAATTCGGGATCGGGCGAACATTTTCAATCTTCATCTTTGTTTCTCTGTCAGCCACTTCGCTTTCTTGTTAGTTCTGGGAACCTCTTCTGATTCTTGTGCTTCGCAGATATATGATTGGCCAAGCCATCGGGGGCATCATCTTCCCATCCTACTCCGAGGCCTTTGGTCGGAAAAAGCTCTACATCATCAGCGCTGCTCTATATAGCATCTTCTGCGTTATCGTGGGAGTATCTCCCTCCATAACAGGTGTGGCCTTTGGTCGACTAATATCAGGGTTTTTATCGGCTATGCCAACCATCGTTGTGGCGGGTAGTATTGAAGACATGTTCAATTCCAGAGACCGGGTTTGGTTGATCTTTCTATGGGCGATGGTCGCCAATATCGGTCTATGCATGGGCCCAATCATGAGCACATACATCACTGCTCATCTCGGTTGGTAAGTATTACTACACGAAGACAGCCATCCACTACTGACGCGGATATAGGCGCTGGGTCTTTCACATTGCGGCAATCGTCATGGCAGTTCTTACTATGTTTATTTTTGGCATCCGCGAGTCACGACCATCTCTTCTTCTCGTCCGAGAAGTCGTTAAGGTGCGCAAAGAATGTGGGATCGAATCCCTAACCGCTTTGAACCCGGATCATACGCCCGATCTGAAGACATGGGCTCGCCTTGCTCTGTTTCGTCCTATCGAGCTTTTCTTCACGGAGCCCATCGTTTGTATGGTTGCGACTATTAGTGCTGTCGCTTTTGCGTTGATTTATATGTTCACTGAAGCCCTACCGCCGGTTTATCAGTCCATGGGGTTCTCGGAGACATCCTCCTCGCTGCCATTCCTGGCAATTATCATCGGACTTATCATAGGGCTTCTCACACGTGTCCAGGATCATCGCATGATTTCAAAGTACGAGAAGGAGGGTTCTCTGTTAGAGCCTGAGCATAAGCTTTTGGGGTTTTGTATCGGCGCACCGGTCTTTGCTGCGGGGCTTTGGTGGTTTGCTTGGACTATTCCTCCTCTTGTTGAGAAGGTACATTGGATTGTGCCTACCGCTTCGCTGGTGTTTATTGGGTATTCTATCAATGAGTTTGATGCCGTGCTGGCGGGGTATTTGGCCGATAGTTACTTGAGTTTTGCGGCAAGTGGGTTTGCGGCTTTGTCACTTGTTCGGTCATTGTTGTCGGGCGCTTTCCCGCTGTTTGCAACGCAGATGTTCGATGGACTTGGGGCAAATGTTGCGGCTTCTGTTTTGGCGGCGGTGGCAACTGTGTTTTGTATTGTGCCTCCGCTGTTCAGTCGGTATGGAAAGAAGATTCGGGCGAGGAGCAAATTTGCTCGGTATAGTCTACAGGTTTACGAGGAGAATGGCGTCGATAAAAATGGGTATTGAGTGGACTGGCCACATTACCCTATTGCATTTTCTGTGAGGAATCAAAACAGCCGAGATTTTTGGATGACCGATACGTTGCCATCCAAATAGATTGTGTACAGGGTATAGTAACTCAAGAGCGAGCTGCTAGAGCCAACTCTTCATAAGAGCTCCATATCCATAATATCAGTAGTGGTAAGCCTACAGCTCTCCATCTTGGCCATGGTGGTTTTTCCAAGGACCTGCAAGCTCTGCAGCTGCAGCCTCGGCATTCCCAGTCCAAGTCTGCATGGTCTTCTTGTCCACATCGTCCAAGAAAGACAGGCCAGGCATAGCACGGCCTCCGCATGCACGCTCCAGTGCCAAGAAAGCAAAATGACCGCCAATGACCGGTCTAGCAAAGAAATTCGGACCCGGGAAGTTTCCATCACCCTCTGTCTGGTGCAGGTCGGTGAAGGGACGGTCGGTAACAGTCTCATTGACCCAGCGCGCAACGGACTCGAGGATCTCCGAGCGGACGGGCTTGGAGGCCACCGCCATGGAGAAGAACTCCCAGTCAGTCTTGGTGTACAGGTGTCGGCTGTCAAGAGGCAGTCCATATTTCTGGCGCACGTAGTGGTACCACACTGACTGCTTCTGGTAGATGTGACGAGGAACGAAACCGGGAGACTTATTGGAGGGGGTGTCGGCTCCATCCAGGTGGAAGCAGAGCTGAGCATCTGCGTATAAGTTGTAAATCGTGGTCCACGAGCCATACCAGTCGTAAGCGAGCTTCGCATGTGTACCATCGCGAGACATAGCAAATTTCTCCCATTTTGCAATGTATTGGTCGGCGATGCCCTAGGTAAGGGACTGAGTACGTGGTTCTCGCGCATTTTGAGAATTGATACATACCTTGAAGTATGAGGCATCGTCGTTGTTTCCAGTCAAATTGGAAAGTTTGCTCATGGCGTTGATGCCGACAATACCTTTCAATGCCAGATTAGTCTGCAGTGCCAGCCAGCCCGCAAAGTCATCGGTTGAAACTGTGCCTGTTAGTCTCACGTCAGGAGTATGAGGAACGAAATGTTTGAACATACGTTGATTGGCTGGTTCCAGGGAGAATTCCACCAAATAACCGGTCCATTGCTTCCAAAGACGGTAGCTTCGCTTGACCCATTTCTCGGCAAGATGTTGACCCGCGATACCGCCACCCCATTTACTGTCTAGGTGTGCAATACCGGAAAGGACCTGGAGGTTGGTTAGAGGAAATATGCCAGCCTCCTCACTGAAAGAGGTTGGAGGTGCGGAGCCTTGTGTCGACCATATGGACGCAGCTTCAGATGACTCCTCGTACTGAAGCGAATTCGCAATTGCCAGGCCCATAATCAAAATGTTACCACATTCTTCCACGGGCATATACTCGTCCTTACCATCAGGATGGCCTGTGGCATTAGGGAAGTGGGTGCCCAGATCATGCATGGCATAAGTGTTGGGGTATTGTCCACTCAGCATATGCTCAATCAATGGTTCAAGAAGGTATGCCAACCAGCGCGGGTTGGTATACAAGAAAAATGGGAAAGCTGGGAAGATGACATCAATAGTTTGGAAGTTACCATTTGATGAAATCTCCTTCAGGAACAGAAGAGGGTTATCCGGAGTTCCGGAGAAGGTTGTGGCGCCCATGACCTGGCGTGCACTGAGGGCGACAATATCAACATAGTCATCAGCGCCAGAAAGATACGCATCATCAGCAACTTGCTGAGAGTAGTTGGCTGCCAGAGATGCGGCCACGGCGTGGTCATTATAGTGGAAAGTGAGCAGTTCCTCGGTAGTGGGATACCAGGATTCCCAAAGAGGTCGCATCAAGGTGAGTCCCCGAGCCGATGCATACTGCACAACCGGGAATTGAATAAGAGCGACAGTGAATGTGACGCTATCAGTTTTATGCGTAGATGACAAGTTGAAAGACTTGGAGAACGCAAAAACAGGCGAGCGATCCCGAATGGCACGGAATTCCTCGTCGTTCTTATTGCGTAGAGTTCCAGTACTGGCAAACCTTTGCCTTACCTTGCCTGCTTCTCCAGACTCATATTGAGTGTTCTTCAACGGGGGTTAGATCAATATCTAAGTTCCAAAGCTCAAGAGGTGCCAAGTACTTACCGCAGGCCCGGTGAAATGGATGGTTCCCCATTCGGCACGATCGCGATTCTCCGATAATAGGAGTTCGGTCTCTCTCCGGATTGTCCAATGCTGCAGATTCGGCTTTGCGGTATTCTCTGTTTTCACCGTGTCCCAACCCCAGTGAATTTTAGACCCTTCGTCTCCGCTCACCCAGCGGCCATCAATGTCCATATATACATTAACGTCACCTTTGCCCTTGACGTCTATTGTGACGTAGGAAGCCGGAATGGACTGTCGCAAAGTCGATGTCGGCGTGATGGGAGAAAGGAACGAGACCGTTATTTCGAGAGGCGTGGATTCGGTGTCAATGCGATAGGTAAAGTTGGTCGTGGAGGCATCATAGTTATTTCCTAGATACTCAGGGTACTGTACTTTATATCTGTATTATTTCAAGTTATCAGCAACTGGTTTCCGAAGATGGCAAAGACAGTCAAGCTTTCCAAGGTTCATTCTTACCCGGCGCCTGCACCCAAGGAATCTTGTGGCTTTCCCACCAGGGGATAAACCGAGCCCTGGCTCGGAACATGGGCCATCAACGAGAGCCCTACTTCCTGTCCAGTATAGAACATAGGCCATTTGGCCCACGGGGCATCACGGGCATTTCCCAACCAAGTGCTCAGGTAAGGATTACGCACGATCAACGGAAGCACCGGCGGTGTCAGGCTCGATGCTGTCGTCACAGCCGCCTGACAGGCGGCGGCCAGAACGGCAAGTGACAGCTGCATGGCAGATGTTTGATTCAATGACGACAATATTGTAAGTCCAACCAGAGCCAGCAGGGGGTAATGGATGTGTGACAAAAGAAGATCAAAACCAAGGGGCTTTGGAATGTGAAATGCGGGGAAAGGTCACAGGTGAGATCGACTCCGAGCACGGATCAGGGCCTTCGTTACGTACATTGGGGGCGCAAGGAACTTCCAAGGCTGAAAACAAAGAAGTACATTCCTGACATCTCTTCCTTTTTAGTTCTTTTTAACTTTCATCTTTCTACGCTCTGAGGTGTCCAAAAGGTGAGGATTCCTCATGGTATTTCTGATGCATAGAGATCAGATTCTCCGATGATGTCATGCGGAGACGATGGGAACTGCTATACTTCCATGTACCTCTTTCACCTAAGGCTGACTTCTAGGCATGATGTTATACTGGTGATTTTGTGTCTTCTCATTTTAATTTCTTTCAGCGTGTATATGGTAGCCTTTCAAAGTTCAGATAAATCTAGAGAGGCTACCCTGATAGCGGGGCCAAATATAGAATGCCGCCTTGCATTGTACACGCGATCCCAGTCTCGACCCTACGTCGAAGCCATGAACTGCACCCCGAGGTATATGAAGATCCATGAGACAGCTTTGACGGATAACTACATGTAATCAAGGTACTGCCTGTATTTACTGGTCAGATTATTATGTACATTTCAAACACAGTCTTCCAAATCGAGCCTGTGTCGCGTACCTCGCGTCTGTCACTACACTAGATCTGACTTGGTATTTTAGAGATCACGCGAGACCTCAATTTCTGAATTTAGGTTTGCCAAATATCATGAGAATTTCATCATTCATGTAAGCTATTGCAGGAAAACTGAAGGACTGCCATGTTGTCCTGTTCAGATGAAAATTAAAAAGCAATTGTATGCACGGCGAAACAATTGCAAAGTGATGTCGCGTGAAAAGACAATGGGAAGCTAGGAGGCTGCATCAAAGCATCCAAAGCCCTAGACTAGATTGCTTGTAGCTAGTCTCGTTTGGACGCGTGCTCAACACGACCGTGTGTCGGGTGGATCCCATGTCCGTGCTCTATACAAGCTAGTACTGGAGGTATCGAAGACTATACGCGATTGACGCGACCGTTTTTTTGTCGACCCTCTTGACTCTCCAATTCTCCTTCCTCCATTGTCAAGCTTCACTCCCTTGGTCTTCTTTCTCTCAAGCTGATATCGAGTGTTGTTTTCCCCGCCACCACGCGCCGAGCCCACTTCCCCGCTACGGCTCGTAACTTTCTTCCTTGTCTTTTCTACGCTTCTCCAACCCCTGCTAGCGCCAAACAAACTTCAAGATGCAGTCAACAGCACCTCAGCTTAGTCCAGTCAAGGATGGACGCCGGGTTCTTGGTGAAAAAGATACCAACGCGTGTCTGTCGCCAGCCCAGAACAAACAGTCTCTCCCGGTTACTGGAACGCCAGTCAAACGGGCCCTGTTCTCGACATCACCAAAGAAGCTTCTTCCCTCGCCAATGTTTGCAGGTCAAAAAAGGACTAGGGACCAGATGGATGAGACAGAGGAGAGCGGACCGGTGCTGACGCGGGGCTCTTCGATTGAAAGCTCTCCGGTCAAGAATTCCAGCCCGAAGGTAAGTTGCATATGCTAAGGTTTAGCAGTGAAAGGCAACAATGAGCTAATATGTATGGCAAGCCACAGCAAAATCAAGAACTAGACACGCAGGAAACCCGCGTCGTCACGCCTCCACGGTCCGAACGCGACCATAACCAACAAATGGATACACAACCCACCGCGTCGAACCAACGAACAATCCCCAACGACCCAGACGCGCGAAAAATATTCATTCAAGAAGTAAGCAGCACCCATAAGTACCACTCCAAACTATACTAACAAAACAAAAAGAAAGCGGCTCTCCTCCGAAACACACTCCAAACCGCCATGCGCAATGTAACCGACCACCAGATCGACCGCCGAGTCTCCGACCTAGAAGAGCACAGCCGAAAATGTCCCAGAGTCTCGTCGATCCTTTCTTCTTCACCGCTACCTACTTTGTCATTCCGGAATACAACTACGCCTAAATTCACCACTCCCCGCATTGGGTCGATGCCCGATATGAGTTCGACACCTTGTCACCAAACACCTGATCTGCCCCGCCGCCGGTCCCCATTGCACGCCGAACGCGTCAAGCAGCAGCGGACTCCACCCCGCACGCTTGGATCCCCTATGCAACTGAGTAGTCCCCCAGCCACGGTAGTTCGCCACAGCCGGACCCGTGACGTTGGGGGAGACGCAGGTCGTGACGGCCTATCACCGTCTCAACGTGGGGATGCGGTGGATGGGTTGCTCAAGTTGATGAGCACAGCTGATCGACGTGCCAGCGCTGATGCATGGAGTGGGTGATGTCATGACGTGAATGGAGGCTCCAAACATGTTCTTGGAAGGTCTCCAGAGGCGAATAAGGGGCCTTGGGCTGTCATTTGTTGACGATCACCGGGCTTGTAACGATTGTATAAGAGTTTCTTTGGGGATTTTCTCTATCTTTTGGCCGTGACTATACCTGGCTTGAGGGCGATGGGGGCGCTTTGATTTTGGGTAATGCGAGGCGTTTAGAATAATTGTCATTCCAATCAATGATACCATTTTCCTATGCTGGTGACAACTTGTTGCAGATAGACCATTGTGTGAAGAATGGACGTTGGGTGCGAACTGCACTCGGACCTCGTCCTTCCTGAAAGAGCAAGGTTAGTGGCTAGTATACATCGGTTCTACATTACCACGTCATTATGTGACAGGGAAATGCTAGCAATTGACGATGTAGATCGAACAATTCACCAATGGTCGGGGATATGGCATGATGCCAACCAGGATCACCAACCCATGGATCGCGGTGACAGGGAGGCTTTTGGCAGGGTTCACCAACGTTTTCCAAGATTCCATTCATTTCGATCAAAGTTTCCTGAAGAATTGCGCTTATCTCGGAGACTCATTGGTGTGTGCATCGGAGTAAAGTTACCCGCTCGATGTCGATGTCGTTGCGTGCATGAATGGTTACACAGCCTTGGCTGAATACAACGACAGGCTGGGAGCGACGCAGCAGCGAGTACGTTGGGTTTGATTGCTTAAAATGCCCGTCAGGAATGCCGATCGGTCATTCCCCGAATGGGATTGATACTTTCGATTCTTGTCATCGGGATTTGCTTACTGGTTCGGACATGACTCCTGACTTTGGGATAAGTCAACAAAAGAATCGTATGTGCAACGCGATACTGACTTCTCATTAGGTGGCAAAGTATTTTCTCTGAGCAGCATCGTCTTTGGCTTCCTGCCATGACGCGGTGCGTACCCTTTTAACCGGGATGGAGGGTAGGCCGTACTATATAGAGGCTCCCGACTTGCCCTCTCCTTTTCGAGTCTAGGGCTTCGGAAATCAGATTGATAGTAGATGACTTGCCCAATTGAAGATTTACGAACAAATTACTTGATTTCGACCATTCCATCGCATGATGATCTACAACCAGGCCTGTGAGCATTGTCGGCAGAAGGTATGTGAAGTGTATCAAGATACTGTGACTTCGTTCTAATTGGTTCTTCAGTTGAGACAGGGTCTCAACCATGCCGCTACTTTCAACTCTCCCATCAAAGAGAGGGCAAGAAGACGCCGCTCATCAGCCACTTCATCCTCCAGTACATCTCAGTGCCAACGCCCATGGCTAAATGAAAGGGTGTTGAGAGCCTTCGACGAACCCTCGGTTCCAGAAATGTTCCCTCAATCCCAGCCAGAACAAGATACATACAATACCCTCAATCTGGACATGTACGCAAACGTATTTCAACCCTCTCCCGACGAGGCATTCGACCAGATGCTCCAAACTCTCGAAACCGATATCGAAATTGAGAACCCGGGAAATATGCCCATGTTCCTCGATACGGCTGTCGGGTGCCCTAATCTCACTTATGGACCGGATATACTCTCGCCCCAGGCTAGGGCCCTGCTCCATTGCTTCCCTGAGCTAGATTCTAATATGGGTCCATGGGCATGTGTACCGGCTTATGTATCTGGTGGTGTATCTGGTGGCGCCATGGTGCCTGGTTTTTCTTCACCTTCTGTCCCCGTTCCACCGGCGCCGTCGCCTTTGAATCTGGGGGCTCTCCGGGCCCCTGGCATGGATTATTTACCTCAATGTCCTGATCCGCTGTTGTCGCTGGGTGGTGATTGTTTGCAGAATATTGATGCTGGGAAGGAGTCGGGTTCTTCCAGGTCTAGAACTCAGCAGACTGATACGTTCACACATTCTGTTTCTAAAAATCGACCTTTTAAGAAGTTTCAATTTGTTTTAGAGGATATTGGGGGACGGGTGCCGGTCATTACGCAATAGATAAGGAGTTGATGTTGGGTTAGGGAGTTAACATTGTGTAGAATATACGAATACACGTACGCTTCAATGATCATTCTGGTATCAAAACTTTGGAATTGTACATATATAACCTTGGAACCTTGTAAATCTTCCATCAGATTCACCGGACTTTCTTCAGCTTGTTTCGCTTGCGACCTAGTACATCGCGGCCTTCTTCGATTTCACCCATTGCCTCGCGCTTCGCGGAGCCAACGTCCTTCAGGACGGTGGTTCGCACGACACGGCTTTCGATGTTGACGCCCTCCTGGGCCCATTCTTCCATTTGTCGACCCACTCGAGCCTCGATGGCGAGGACGAGCTCGACATCACGTTGTCCGACTAACGTGACGGCCTCACCAGTTCGTCCGGCACGGGCTGTACGACCGACACGGTGGACATAGTCATCGGGGTTGCGGGGAACGTCAAAGTTGATGACTAGACTGACGATTGGAATATCGAGACCACGCGATGCAACATCAGTAGCAACCAGGACGCGAGCAGCAGCAGCGCGAAACCGGGCAAGATTAGATGTGCGCTCAGATTGGGGGAGAAGACTGTGGAGGGAAGTGGCGCGGTGGCCCAAGCGGCGGAGGGTGCGCTCCAGCAGATCGGTGGTCTTGGTGTGATTGCAGAAGATGATGACAGGCTTGGAAATATTTTCTTCGGTAGAGAGCAAGGCATGCAGGAAGGCTTCACGGTGCGTCATGGGAACTTTGAGGTATGTCTGTTTGAGGGTTGGGGGAATTTTGCCCTCGTTTTCGGTGCCGATTTCGGTCACAAAGATAGGCGGCTTGCCCTCTCGGGGGGGCATGGACTGCAAGGCCCGCACTTCGGCTGTCAAGGTAGCTGTGAAAAGAAGGGTTTGGCGTTCTGCCGAGGGTGGTAGAGCAGATAGACAGGTTTCTACATCTGGCAGCATACTGCCTTGTCCGCCTGTGAGCAGTCGGTCCGCTTCATCCATCACAACCATTTTCACACGCCTTAATCCGACAATTGTGTCCTCGCCAGAGGTTTTGATGTGATCTGCAAGTCGACCAGGGGTTGCGATCACAACGTGAGGACGTTGGGCGAGAGCGATTGCCTGTTGTCGCATGTCTGTACCACCGGTGATAAGGATAGGCTTCATGCCCTGCGGCGCTGAGATAGCCTTGAACTGCTCAAAGATTTGTAGCGCAAGCTCTCTGAATGGCAAACTATGTTAGCAAGAAGTGACTTTGGCTTGAGGACGCGGCGCAAATGAACATACCTTGTGGGAGTCAAGACTAGAGCAAAAATTCCAAAGGGATCCTTAGCCCATATCTGCATAATAGGAACGGCAAATGCGATGGTCTTTCCGGAACCTGTCCGACTTCCACCGATGCAATCACGGCCCTTCAAAATCTCAGGAATACACGCCTTTTGAATGGCCGTAGGCCGTCGCACAGCCATCGTGGTCAAAGACCCCACAAGCCATGGCGAGACATTCAGCGCACCAAAAGTGGACTGCTCGGCCTGCAAACCAATCTCAAGGGCATCCTTAATTGTGACTGGGTTGTCATCATCGTTCGACTCGGGCTTCTTCGTGTCGTCCTTCTTCTTGATACGGGAGATAGTGGGGAGAGGTGCTGGCGCAACATAAGAGTCGGTGGAGGACTCGGAGAGACGGCGTCGCTTGGGAGCTCGGTCCTGCGCATCCATCTGATTATATTCTGAGGAATCCGAAGCATAAGAGTCATCAGACTTCAGTTCATCCTGTGAGGACGCCATTGTGATTGTAGTTTTAATGATTGTTGCCAGAGAAATAATTTTGCGGCAGAAAATGCGACGGTTATCTGGCGGTGTGGCTATTCGCCTGACACATCAGGCCTAATAGATGGCTTTCGCACATACTTAATTCGCTTCCACACTTTGAAAATTTAACCGGCGTTCGGATTATGGACTTGTGGATCATCTCCATTTTATTTTCAGGACCTCAGCATGGAAATATATGCCATTAATGAGTGTATTTATATATTTTCATCCCGAGTATCTTGTAGTGCGATCATGATTGCAATTTTCACACTCTATTTCATCAATTGGCAAGATGGCCGAGTTGGTCTAAGGCGTCAGGTTAAGGTTCACCTTGACATCCAATTTCCTGATCTACGTTTGTAGGCGTGGGTTCAAATCCCACTCTTGTCATTACTTTTTTGTCTTTTTACCTCCTGCAAAGTTTGAGGACCTAAGTTTGTCTTTTTGCTAGTTCTTCATTCGGTGGGTTTAATTTTGAGCAATTACCTGGTGTATTGTGGTGGTATGAGATTAGACAATAGGCTTGCCTCTATTCTCTATTGATAGCTACTATCATATCAATCAGCTCGACTAGCTGTACTTCTTCTCCGCATAGATGATCGAAGCTCATAAGCCTCTCCCCGCTCAAGATCATCCTCAACAGCGGATTCCTCAGACGAGGAACGACCTCGTAGAACCCCATTTCCATTACTCGACTGTGCACCGCTAGATGTCACCTCCGCCGCCTCTTGCTCCTCAAGTCCATGTGTACCACCAACACTTTCCATAGTAAATGGACTCGCCGTAGGAGCATCCAAGATATTCAGTTCCTCCCGCGTGAACCAAAGAGGGAACAGGAATGACCGCACAGGAACCAAGAGGAGAATGATGACCGGGAATCCAATGGCAGCAATAGTCTGAGTAATTGCAAAAGTAGCCCCGAAACCAAGCAATTCGATAATGACGAATACCCAGATAGCGGATCGGCGTTTGATTCGCTTGAGAGGGTTCGATGCTGGAGTTAAATCTTTGTCTTGGGCAAGGAAGATCAGCTTCTGGGTTATTCCGTTACCCTGGAGAGCTTGAACTCCCATGATGAAGAAAAGACCGGCCATGACACCTTGGGGAATGAGGTGGAGGACTATTAGAAGCGGGCCCGACATTGTGCCTAGCGTAAGAAGACCTTGGGCAAAATTGCTGACTCGCTGCTCTACTACGTGATCTGTGACCCGAATAGCTTTGCCCTTGTTTGTGTCATCCTCGTCGGCTACCTGGCGGGTCACGCAGAGGGCAGCTGTGTGGAAAGGTGCCTGCGGAATGAGCCCATTGGGGAATGGGATTCCGAGAAGACCAGCAACAAAGGTCGTTAGGCCGAGGAGCCAAATGTCCCAGTGGAAGCCAGCAGGCTTTCGCAGAGGAAATTCAGTGCCTTGGGCAATAAGAGACGACACTTGTGCATGTTAGTTCTAGTACAAAATATTTCTCTGGGAATGTATTTACCATTATGATCAAAGTAGAAAAGGATCGTCAATAGAAGAGCGAAGGGAATAGCCAGGAAGATGTCCCCAACATCAATATTCCAGAAGTGCACCAGCCAGGTTCGATCGAGCGTGGGGAAGAATGACTTGCTGGTAGGAAGCACAGCGACATCAACATCACGCATATGACCAAAGTGGACGAAACCAGTGAAGAAAATGATGACCAATGGCGTGCCATAATCTTCAAGGAATTTTCGAACATATCGTTGGAATAGATTACTGTTGCCGAGCTCTCCAATGATCCATGAAGCCATTAAGACAAGAAGGGCCACCATAATAGCGAGGTAAGCTGAAGTTTCGCCAACTGATGCCCATTGTCGAGTGAGGACCTGGATTCCCTTCTGGAGATAGACGCAAGCCACATAGAAGCCGAAGATATCACACGAAAATCGAGTGACATATGTGAGTCCGTTGCACGCATTTGTGATAGCCAAAAGCCAATGCATAACCAATGACCATCTGCATTGAAAATGAGTAAGCATTATAAGGGTGTCTAAGGGGCAAAAGCTTACATTCCGATCCAGCACATAAATGCGAGATAAGGCGTTCCTCGGGGGCTGATGATATCGTAGACTGTATAATTAAACACAGTAATGGGTCCTATAGACCATTAGCCACAGCCTTATGTGTTATGTAGGGAGATGACCCACCAGTAACACCGACAATAACCAATGGCTGAGCTGCCAATAGAGAAAAGACCACAGCTCCAAGAACAGACGCAAGCAGAACCTCGTTGACTCCATAGCTCTGGTTGGTCTTCTCGAACATGTCCAATGAGAAAGCAAGCGCAGGTAAGATACTATGATAACTGTGAGTATTTTGCTGTGCCAGAAATGGGTGGTATCATTGTTCAACTTGAGACCATCCCATTATGTGCAAGGCTCATACTTAGCAAAGTACATGTACACCGTTGCGGGTACAATGCGATAATCCCAGGCATCAGTCCAATCACTCCAGTAGTAAGGAGCTCTGCGTTTAACATCATTTATCATGCCCCGGAATAGATGTATGCGCCACCATTTTGGTTGCGACGACTGAGCCGTCGCCGTGGATGCACGGCGCTGATCCTCCTGTATCATATCTGCTGGAGCTGCAGAATGGGTTGAATGATATGAAGAAGGGACATGGCTTGATCCTGCTGACCGCAGAGACGCTTTGCGCTGAGATTGCCCAGACGTTTTCCGGTGCGTTGATGAGCCGGAAGCTTGCATATTGGCTTCGGGAAAGGGCCCCGTGTGGCGAACTTTGTTGATGGATTTGGTGTACAATCAGGCAGCTAGAGCAAATTGTCCCATGCGAATGCGACACGAGCTTATAAGGCTTACAATTAGTATATATGGAGCTCTCGGGGAGTAATCCAGCCAGGGAGTTTTGCGGGGGTGAAAAAAGTTGGAGCCGAGACTACGATTGTAGTGCCTGAGGCATCACTCATATGGGTTTGGAATGCTCCATCTATACATATTTCACCTACTACTATTTTAAGGAAATGAAACAAGAATTCAAACCCAAGCCAGGGTAATTTGCAGCTATAAAGTATTACGTCACATAGATAAACGAGGAAGAGAACCAGGTCCATCTGCGGTATCACTGATAAAGAAAAGCAAGTAACCCCGAGATTTTTGTCGCACATAAACCAATTGCATGAAAGCAAATAGCTTAAGCGGGAGGGGGAGGGGGAGGAGGCTGGTCGCTGGGAGGAGGTGGTGGAGGTCCATCGACAGGCGGGGGAGGAGGCGGAGGGCTGCCAGCGCCAGGAGCGCCAGGGGCACCAGCCCCGTAGGACCAAGGAGCCATGCCGGGTGGCGGAGGAGCAGCAGCCATGCCAGGGGCAGAATAACCGTATCCTCCGTATCCGTATGCAGGTTGACCGCCGGGGGCAGCCTGCTGTTGCCAAGGAGCAGCGCCTGGAGCAGCGCCTGGAGCAGTTCCGGGAGCAGCGTATCCGGCGTTACTTTGACCACCGTGTCCACCGTAGCCACCGCGGGATTCATAGCCACCACCGCCGTAACCGCCAGAGTCACCGCCACGCTTCTGCCAAGGAGCAGGCCCATTGTCGCGAGAACCGTAATCATCACGAGGACGGTGCTCACGTCTCTGTTGCCAAGGAGCAACATCGCTGGACGGAGGCGGCGGAGCGCGCTGCTGCCAGGGGTTCGCATCACGGTCACCAGCAGGAGGGTAACCGCCCTGATCAGGGCCGGCTTCAATACGACGAGGCGGGTACTCGCCAGGGGCACCTCCAGACAGCTCGTTCATGAGTTGCTTCAAGAAATATTAGTACGCGTTTTCGATATTATCTAGGGCAAAAAGAAAACTCACCTCCATCTCACGGTCGACAGCATCGCCAGTACCAATGGCACGAGGACCGCCGGGACCACCGGGACCACGATCGCCGGGGAAACCACCGTTGTTGCGCCAGTCGCTACCTCTCTGGCGGTCAGGACAATCGCGGGCCATGTGGCCAGCGTTGCCACAAACGCGACAGATAATGTTTGCGGTGAAGTTGCGCTGCTCGGGACAGTCGTACTTGCGATGTCCGATTTGACCACCTTTTGGATTGTTAGAGTAAAAGAGATCAACACACTGGGTCAATATCAACTTACAGTTCTGGCAAGCCTGGTTCTCGTCATCACGTAGAGTACCGTTGAGAGCCGCGAGCTCACGAAGCTGGTTGCGCTTGAGCTCATTCTGACCTTCGGGAATGGAAGCAGCCTAATAAAATGGTCAGTGGTTTCTTCAGACCAAAAGTATTGGGGTTGGACTTACAGTCTCGATGACGTTGTGAATCAGTTTCTTGGCCTTGTTCACCTTCTCTTCAGTTTCTGCCATAATCAGACAGTGAAGATCCTCCTCCTGGTTGCTAGCGTGAGCGGCATCAGATCGGCCTTTTCCTTCCTTGACGGAGCCTTTTCCACGAATGGCAATCTTGGCGCCAGATTCAGTCTCCATTTTCTTCAAGGTGTTTCCACGAGGTCCTATAAGTAAGCCAACTTTAAAAAGGTAGCAAAGAGCTAAGTGTTAGTGATCCGGTAACTATTAAGCATGTGCAACATCAAGCACCAGGTGTTATCAAGAAACGGGCCGAGGACATCCATGAAAATGTCTCGTCAGCTCGAATCGAGCAGGGAGTCATGACAGATACAGCGGAGTTAGGAGTTAGAGGGTTAGTTATCATACTGAAGTTAATCTCTGGATAGTCGTTCACTGGGACATAGACCTTCTCCTGGGTCTTGGTAGGGCGTCTGTAATCAGATGGCGGGTGGTAGTTAGGAATGGTCTTCATGGCCTTCTCGACCAGTTTGTGACGCTCATCCTCGAGGCGCTTGCGATAACGGTACTCGCGAGTGTTCACACGTCTACCAAAGTTGTCGTACTGCGGAGGTGGCGAGGGAGATCTGATTGTGTTAGCAGAAATAATAGGTATCAAAGGACAAAACTTACCTGTCACCATCACCAGGGACCACATCATTGATCCGCAGCTTTTGGCTGATCTCCTCGATACGCAGGTGCAGGGTGTATGCCTCCAGCTGCTCGCTGGTGAAGTTGGCCATGATCATAGTGGGCAAGCCCATCAGACCGGCAGCCTTGTTCTCCTGCTGGTCTCCCCAACGGTTGCGCTTCTTGCGCCTTTTGACACCATCAGCATCTACTGCGGGGGCTTCCGCTGATTCGAAAAAGAAAAATCGTCAGAACTGATGTTAAAAGTGAGAACAGGGGTGAGACATACCGCGAACAGGGCTGCGGCCACGCTTAGGGCCATCGGGCATAGACGAAGGAGTCGCGGTGCTGCTATCCTCTTCCTCGTCACCCTGGAAGCGACGGCGCGTCCCCAGGGGGATATTGTTGGAGCCCGTGGTACCTTGGTTGCGCCAGGCCATGGTCTTATTAGTTTCAGAAAAAATCTGTAAATCGAAAGACACAAGTTTGAAGTGAAATAGAGGATGCGAACCTCTGAGCGAAAAGTGGCCACCCGATCACGTGCATTAAGGACTTTGAAGGCGGTGAACACTATACTACACGGATGAGGTTTATCTTATCGTCACTGCCTTTATGAAAAATAATATAATATATTAATATGTATTCATTTGGCAGATTACAACCAGCCTCAATCTTCTCTAGACCTTGCTCTTAGCATCGTCCTGCATTCCCTGCACAATCCATGCTCGGGTCTCGGCGGCCTTCTCCTCCATGGCTTTTTTATCCTTGAGCAACTCCTTAATTGTATGCGGGGAAGGAACATGGCGTCCCTTCTCCACAGCTGGTCGCTGAGCCATAAACTCTTCCCAAGTTTTCAAGTTCGGGAACTCATCAATGTCCACACCCGGCCATCCGGCAGCAGCCACCCATCCCCATAGGGAAATGTCAGCAATGGAGACATGGTCGCCAACCAGATACCCGGACTTGGATTGGGCAAGATGCTTATCAAGCACGCCATACAGTCGGCGTGTTTCATTAACGTATCGGGTCACACCATACTCAATGCGCTCGGGCGCATATCGTGCAAAGTGATTTGCCTGGCCTTGCATTGGGCCAACGCCTGCATTCTGGAAGAAGAGCCAGTTGTTCATCTCGTAGTGTTCGCGGGTGCCCTTGGGGAAGGAGATCTTGTACTCGGGGTCATATTGGTCCGCCAGGTACTGCAGGATACCTCCAGACTCAAATAGGCGGATCATTTCACCATCGGCGAACTCGTCGGTCAGAGCGGGAATCCGGCCATTGGGGTTGATCTCAAGGAACCAGCTGTGCTCTGTTAGCACATGATGAGGTCATTGGGATGGCGACACATACTCCTCCTTCTGTTCATTTTTGCCCATATCGATGCTCTTGACCTCGTAGGGCAATCTGTGAAGTTGTGAGTAACGGTATCATATATTGACTCTCCTAAAGTAAAGACCTACCCGAGCTCCTCCAGAGCAATGGAGATCTTGATTCCATTGGGGGTCTGGGCCGTGTAGAGGGTAATGTTAGGGCGAGGCATTATGGGATTGGAATGAATTAATCTGTGGGAATGAAGAATTGCTGAAGAATTGAAACCTTCTATACCGGAATTGGCGGGGTTTTAAAATTGGGTTGAGGTCATCAACAACTCCCCCCACTTGGATTTATAATCGTCCAACTTTATCGGGAACTTTCTGTGAAAGGTATCACCCCCTGAGTAAGCCACTGCCATGAATCCTGATACATCGGCATCTTCGGTCCCCGAGCATGAAGAAGGCCTGGGGTAAATCGGAATGGGAATAATAAGGCTGCATAGTCACTTTGATCTCATGACCAACTCATAGGCCAAGCGCACGATAATGAAATATATATCTGAATCAATTTGAACCTTTCATAAATAACACGTACACATCAAGAATTCTCTATTCAAACATCATGAGAGAACACTTTAAGACCGTGCATTAAGCCAATCCTGGAAACTTTAAATTATGCCATAGCACCATTAACCCTCACAACCTGCCCAGACATCCAACTACTATCCTTGCCAGCTAAGAACAACACCACGGCGGCAATCTCCTCTGGCTCCCCAATACGACCAAAAGGATTAGACCCAGCAATGGCCTTGAGAATCTGCTCCGACTTTCCCTCCATGAAAAGCTCTGTACTTGTCGGTCCAGGCGCAATAGCATTAACCAAAATACCCTTTCGCCCAAGATCCTTCGCGAGGACACGGGAAATCTGCTCGATGGCACCTTTGGTCGAGACATAAAGCAGATAAGCAGGTGCAATGCTGGAAAGAGCATTGAGACTGGTAGAGACGAAGATTATGCGTCCTCCATGTGGCATGTATTTTGCAGCTTTCTACAACAATAACCTTGAAATTAGTACCTATTCTTAAAAGGACCTCAGGATATATAAGGTAACGTACCTGCGCCAGAAAGTACGGCCCCTTAACCATTAGGTTGTGAGAATTGTCAAAGTCCCCTTCGGTGGTATTTTCCAGATCCTTCATGGCCAGAATCCCTGCGTTGGGGATCAGGATATCAATTTTGCCGAATCTGGCGACTGTCGCTTCGACAAGACGATCTAAATCTGATAGTTTGGAGGCATCGGCCTGGACCGCTATGGCACGATCAGCGCCGATTTGCTCAACCACGCTATTTGCTGCTGCTAAGTTAGAACGGTAGTTGATGACTAGGCTGGCGCCTTCGCTAGCAAGGCGAAGGGCAGTTGCTTTGCCGATTCCCTGAGAGGAGCCGGTGATCAGGGCTATTTTTCCAGATAGAGACATTATGATTGGGGTTGCTTTGTAGATGTGTTGTGATCACAACCAGGAGATATTGATCTGAGATGATGAATTTCGAAGGTCTACATGATCTTTTTATACCTTAATCATTAGTAAATGGTTCTTGACTTTCTTTAAATCCATGTAAAATTGATAAACCCGGAAGAAGCGCTGAGCTGGAATGAGGAAGTTCGGGGCTAAAAGTGACGTGGGATTATACTATCTCCATTCCAGCGAATAGAATCGATGTAAAGGAATACAATGCCAATCGAGCAAACTGCAAGGAATCCCCGAAAATGACATTAAATCCATTGCCAACCCATTTTTGCCAAAAGGCTCCGGTCTCCGGCCCAAGGCCGGACATAATCCCGCACCCTTAAAGCCGAGTCCATATTGTCCGTAGACAGCCACCATGGAATAATCGTTCTGTCCATTCATGTAGTAGCATTTTTCTAGGCCAATTATAATCAGAAAACCTACAGTTCAATCAACAGCTGCCCAGATAGGGTTAAGTCAGTTAAGTCAGCACATGTGCATTTTCTCTCCCGTGAGACGGGACATCTTGAGCTTGAGTAAGCGGTGGCTTTTAAGTTTCCCTGCGAGAGACTCGAGTGTCGTCGTTATCACCTGACGATTCTGAGTGTGAAAGGCATGGTTATCTCCAAATCAGGAAGGCGCGATTCTCGAGTATTACCCCCGTCTTCATCATCCTCTCCCCTGAGAAGCCGTATTATCAAAGATCAAGCAGAGAACGAAGATACGGAAATTGATAGAGTAACAACTCAAAATATCAAAACTGAGCCATACATTGTAAATTAATGTATACAGATTGCAATGCTCGCTAGGAATTATCCAGTCTCTCTTTCCAGCTTCTCTCCAGGCTCTTCTCAAATTGGATGATAATCTCCCTGATTCGGCTTCAAACGTAGACAGAACGATAGTGGACCGGGTGGGTCGATGGGATCTGCTATCCAGGACAAGGAAGTCAGATAAGCTTTAACCTTACGATGTTCCATACGATTACAGAGACCTCATTTACATTTCAGTTCATCCAATTCACGTTTGTTTGCACACATGTCAAAAGAGCACAGTAGACACAAGACACAGCCTCGCCAGTCATCCTTTATCGACCATAGATCATAAAAGTAGAATGGCAAGGTGTGGCCATATTTTTAGAGCACGACCCAGAACAAAAAGATTAAAAACACAAACCGATTTCTTCATTTCATTTCAACAACCATCAATTGTCTGCGCACTGAAGTTTCCCCCACACTCAAGTCCCATATAACGAAAATAGGAAAGAAATCCACACATAGAGCATCAGTTGCGGATTTCATGGACCACAGACCACGAACAAGAGATAGAATCATCACATCCCTTCTTCTACGAAGATGAAAAAAAAGGGACAAGGGGGCACCATAGAGTGGGGAAAAGAAAACAGAGGTAGAAATCAAGGGCTGGTTCTGGGCAGCGATTTCGTTTCCCGTTTTAAGTCAGCGCTGGGGCGAAATGAGAAGGGGGCACGATAGTAGGGAAGATTTAGTTGCCGCCCAGGCTGGGGAAGTTCTTCTCGTCGACGGTAGGGCCGGCGGGGGCACGGGCACCACCACGGCCGCCACGAGGAGCAGCAGCAGCAGCGCCGCCGCGGGGAGCACCACCACGGGCACCACCGCGAGCGGGACGGTCACCACGGGGAGCACGGTCGCCACGGGGAGCGCGGTCACCACCACGGCCACCACGAGGGCCGGAGGAGGGGCCGGAGCGGGGCTGCTCAACGAAGCGCATGTCAACGTCAAGGAAGTTCTTCTCCTTGCGCTGCTTCTCACGCTGCTTCTTCTCGGCGGTGGGAGCAATGTAGCTGGTCTCACCCTCAGTGCGCTTCAGCTCGGTGGCAGCGGCCCACTTCTTGTCCTCCTTGACACCCTCGTTGGCGGCACGGACGGGCTTGGCAGCCAGGCTGTCGCGGGCAGCCTTCTCGGCGAGGTAGTCGTCGTAAGACTTGGACTTGTCGGCCTCCTCGACCTCCTCAGCGGGAGTCTGGGGCTCCTTGTCGTCCTCCTTGGCGATGTTCTCGCCAACGCGCTCGTCATCCCAGGTCTTCTCGCCGGACTCGTTGCCCCAGCCCTGCTGGACCTGCTTGCGAGTGTCGCTGTAATCGAAAATAACTGTTAGTTATGCTGCACTGCGAGTCCAAGCTTAATTTGCCACACGCTCGAAGGTAGAGAGACTGGGAATTCTTCTCATCATCTTTGTTGCTTATCTCCATCTTCCGCTTCAATATTTCCATCTGTGTGTGGCTTGGCTTGCTTGGAAGGATTTCTTTCGAGGGAATGGATCGCTTACGTCTGACCAGTGCGGGACTGGCGGTCACCACGAGGGGGACGGTTGCCACGGGGGCGCGAGGTCTGTCCCTCGGCCTCATCGGTGGGCTTGGAGCGGTTGTTAGAGCGACCAGCGTTGCGGTCACGGTAGGCTAAAGAGGGCCAAGCTTGTCAGCTTCCGATGCTTCCTATCAAGCTTTCCCCACACTTCATCGACCCCGCGAACTTCTTCACAGATCGATCGGGTTTCACATACCAGCCTCGTTGCCGGCGGTCACACGGCCTCCACGGCGGTTGTTCTCGGTGCGAGGAGCGGTAGAGGAGGCGCCAGCGGGAGCATCCTTGGGGGCATCACGCTTGCCAACGCGGGGAATGGGGCGGTCGACGGCCCGGGCGGGGGGAGGAGCAGGTCTGCTAGGGTCGAGCTCAGGGTCGTTGCCTGGGAAGCCGAAGAAGAATGGGTTAGTTTGGGATGAACGTTGGCAAGCTTGGAGATGCTCTGGAATGAGGGGCGGGTTCCCGACCATGAATTGAATCATGGAATCGGAACACGCGGGAGCTCATATAGTGCATGTTTAAAGGATCACATACCGAGAAGCTCGTAGAGGTTCTATTTCGAAGCAAAAAGCAAAGGCGACAATGTTAGCCACGGCGCTTGCTATGGAAGCGCAATTGTGAAGCAGAGCAGAGCTCTGCCCATAATTCCGACCACTTTCAACGTACCTTAGACCGGATGGCGTCAACCATGACGCCTGGTGCTGCGGAGTTCCTTCCGACGCGGAAGGCACTCAACGATCACTAGGATGTAGGAAAGGTAGGCACAAGGCAGAACCTCAGCAAGTCCAGCCTCTTAATTTGATAGTGATTGAAGGGGTGTAGTCTTAGGAAGGGAAGGTTGCGGGTTTGTGGTGCAGCACGAATCCGGTTAGGCGCCATTTACTAAGCGAATCAGGCTAGGGCTTAGGGTATCATGGCGTCACTAGATGGCATCATACATTCTACAACCCAGTTACTTTCCTTGCTACTTTTGCATTTAGTTGCTTTTATTGCTTCGGCTATGCAGGAAAGGAGTGTTTATTCCGTTGTACAGTGTACAATCCGATGGTATCAAAATATCATGTCAAAAACCACCAAAAATCCCAACTTTCAACGCCAGGCAATGCTAGAAATGAAGAACTTTTTGGAAGCCAACCAATGTAACCCCAACCAAGATCAATACTGTTTTTCTTTTGTCCTCTTTCCACTCGAAAAATGGAAAAGGATTGGTTACCCAATAGAAAATATACACCCAGAATGACCGAGAAAAGATGCATCGCTTAGTTGCGGGGATTGTTCTGTTCATAGTTGAACGGCGTAGGGAAATGCATGCTTGCACTGAGTCCAAACGGATCAGCATCGAGCATCGGTTCATACTGACCGAGAAGCTGGTTTGCATTTCCGAACTCTCCGGGCGTTCCGTCCCCGCTGGCGGGAGGATTGAATCCAGACAAATTATGCGAGCCGGAGGCAACCGACTGCGGTGTGAACCCAGGCACATAGGGTGTATTTACTGAGCCGTCATGATCATCATCCACCATGTCAGCTTGTGCATCATATTCTTGTTCTGTTCGATTTAGTCAGCAACGTTGATCCTTGTTTTCCTTTTGTTCGCTTTCAAGGGAATAGTTCCGGAACAATCCAACTCACCCAGTTGATCATAATGTTTCTGGAAAGGAGATGGATAATAGTTAGCTGCAACGCGCTGCTGACCACGCGGCATCCGGAGCTTAGGCTCATTCGGATCCGACTGCGGCATACTAATGGCTGGTGGTGAGGTCTGATTGTTGAAAGGCCTCGGTTGAGGCAGCAGCTGCGGACGTCCTGCCCCTTGCTGGTCAACGGGGGACATGCCGGGCTGGAAGCCAAAGCCAGGTGACTTGGCATGCGACGGTGATGAAACATGGGACGTCGGCGTAGCTTGAAACTGTGGCGACGACACACCATACGCGCCCTCACGCTGCGACATAGCAAATGCATCAGGCTTGGACGTGATGCCAGGGTGCCTCGGCGTGGGTCGAGGCCCTGTGGGACCCGGCGGCTTAGGTGGCATAGGAGTGGTCTTGGGCTGGGCACCTGGGGCCCCAGTCTTTATCCGCAACTCAGCTTGCACATCAATACCTGGAAGAGTCCGGGGTTAGCTCGGAAGCGGGGTGGTATGCATCCAGACGCAAGGGGGTACATACCTTTCTCTAACAGGATGCGCTCCAGCAAGGAGTTCTTATACCGCAGCATCAAACATTCATCTGCAGCGCTGCGATGGCTCTGCTGTAGGCTCTGCAAGGACTCTTCATTGCGCTTGATGGTGGTCTCCAGCTGCCGAATATATTCCGTGCGGCGTTCGCGGAAAGCAGCTTGAGCCTGCCTATTGCGCTGCTTCCGTTCTTCGGAAGTGGCGTAAATCTAAGATGCAAGGTTAATAACAAAACAAGATATAGGAAAGACGAAAAGGGATAAAAGATCCGGGAAGACAAATGGACCAAACAGAAGACATGATAAGTGGGATGGAAAGATAAAAGAAAAAAAAAATAAAAGGGAATGCGGGGCCCCGGATTATTGCATCAGACGCAAAGATGTTACGTACAGGTTTTCGACCACCTTTACGCTTTTGAGTCTGCGCAGGGTCTTGAGTCAAGGCTTCGACCTCGGGATCTGGCGTTGACACCGTCGAACTGATCGAGCCATCTAGCATCGGCTCGGTCTTAGGCACAACAGGGTCCATGACCGTGTCATTCTGATCGGGATGAGAGGTCTCGACCATAGAGACCATTGGATTCACCCGTGCCTTTTCGATTTCTGTTACTTAACGAAGATCACGTCTTTTCCGCAACACGGACCAAGAGGGATATTCGTTTCTCCCTCCCGCCGAACCACGGGCTTAGGGGACGAGAGGGGAGGACAAAATCAGAAACAGACGCAGGAACCGCGCGGCTCGGCGGTTAGCAGGGAAGGAACGAGTAAGAGGCAAGAGAGTGACATAAAAGAAATTGAAATTATGAGAAAGGAAGAGTCAGAAGAATTGAGATAAACGGAATGGGGCGAGGAGGAGAAGAAATGTGAGTAAAACGATTGAGTAAACGAATAATAATATTGTTCAAAGGGTCAGACGAGAGGGGCTCGCCTAGTTAGTTTTGACTTTTTTTTTTTTCTTTTCTTTTTTTCCTTATTTTTTTTTTTCGCCTTCGCTCGCAACCATGTATGGCTCTGACGGCACGGGTCCACCATAAGTCCCCAGACTGGTTGAACGGCCAAGTCTCAAGATCCTTAGTGGTCATACGAGGTGGATATTGCTATGTGGGGAATGGGAAAAAAGGAAAACCTGCCACGCAACAGGGGGGGATGCAGGATTTAGTTCCGCGGAGAATCATTGTAGAACTACAACAATTATAGGTGGAATGTTGCTATAGAACAATGTAAAGGGAGTCACACCAAGGTTGGCTGATTAGCCGATACCGGCACGGCGCTCTCCGCCTATGCTGGTTCAGCTCACCGCGGGGGGTTCAGGGGCGAGAGAAAATTTTTCTCTGCAAAGCTAGTCTCCAAACATATTGGTAGGAGGCTAGTCTTGGCACCGATCTAGGCAGGTCATTAGAGAAGTCCTCGGTGCCTTGACCCTCTTTGGGGTCACGCGGTCCCACGTTTCTTTGGCCCCCATGATGCAATGTTGGACGCGTTACAGATTTTCCGACCTTCCGCCCTCGTCTAGGTGGACCGATTGGTACATGGTCTGATGCTCTGGAACTCGTATAACGCTAAACCATTGGGAATCCCCGGATTCTGTATATAGTCGATATCCCGTACCTCGTGGCCCCATAGTAACTAACTTTGACATATACCGAGCCTTTCGGATTTCAATCACTGAATCTGAAATGAATCTAAGGATAGACCAGATCAGATCAGATCAGATCTCAGCCCTGGAGAAAAAAGAAATTGCTCTCTGACGTACTACTATGCACAGGTGCAAAGCATGCAATATTCGGCGATCGGCATTCGGTTCCCCGCCATCAACTAAAGTCACATGCCGTGAATCTTCCCAACTTCCCCGTAAACCAACAGGGTCTGGTCGTATTTCGTTCTTCATTCATAAGTTCATCTAGAACAGCTATGGCAAACGTCCCAGCCCCCGACCTGCGGGAGGACTCAACCTTACCTGCAGCCGAGACCCCCGCGTCTGAGCAACCCATTGCGCCAACACCTGCAGAGCCCCCACAGAAGCAGCAAGCCGATCACGACGACGATGACGATGATTCCGATTTGGACGAATTGGATGGTACGACCTCCCTGCCTCCCCTCATCTTGTTCCCTTTTTTTACTAGTCATGTCGGAATCTAATCAACATATTGCCCCGCAACAGACGTGCTAGATGACTTCTCCAAACCCAAGCCTGCACCCGCGCAACCCGCCCCTGCACCGGCAGCCGAGGCCCCAGCAGATTTCGACGAAGATGCTTTCCTGAAGCAGCTGGAACAAGACATGGCGAATATGATGTCGAACCCGGGCGCAAATCCGTTTGGCGCAGGCGCCGACCCCAACCTCGCTTCGGTGGAAGAAGGTGCTGATGCCTTCGCTAAAGAGCTTGGGGAGAGCGGGATCCCACCCGGTGACTTTTTGAAACAATTGCTTGCCGACGTGATGGCTGAAGAGAGTGGGAATAGCGGTGCGGGGTCCGGCGCGAAAGCGGCGCCTAGCAGCACCAAATCTGCCCCTGCATCGGCCGATACTGGATCTGGTTCTACTGAACAGCCGGAGTCTTTTAATGATGCGATCCAGCGTACGATGGAGCGGATGAAGAACTCTGGGGATCGGGCTACGGAAGCTGCGACTGAAGACGATGGGTTGTCGGATGATATGCTTGCGCAGCTGCTTAAGGCTGTGGAGGCTGGAGCGGCGGGTGGTGATGAGGGGGATTTGTCGAAGATGTTTATGGGGATGATGGAGCAGTTGTCTAATAAAGAGATGCTGTATGAGCCGATGAAAGAGCTTGATGGGAAGTTCGCGCCTTGGCTCGAAAAGAATAAGGCCGAGGGTAAGGTTCCCGTAGAGGACATGACTCGGTATGAGACACAGGCGAAGGTGGTGGGACAGATTGTGAAGAAGTTTGAGGAGTCAGGATACTCGGATGATGATCCGAAGTGTCGGGAGTATGTGTGGGAGCGAATGCAAGAGGTAAGTCTTTCGCCGTTCACTCAGTAGCGAGACCTGGCTAATGGTTCTTCAGATGCAAGCTGCCGGCAGTCCGCCAGAGGAGCTGATCTCGAATCCGCTCATGGACATGGGTGATCTAGGCGGCGCTGGTGCTGCCCCCGGAGGAGTCCCTGATTGTCCGCAACAATAGAGGAAGGGAAGATTTTGGGAGGGTTTCAATATGAAGATACACATCTTCATTGGCTTGCTCTGTACTGTACATATAAACACGTCCGATACCCGATTATTTACTCCGAGATATCCACAGATGAAACAATGGCCCATATCCATAAACGCCACCCTGATGCAATGATAGACGCTCAAAAAACAATATCCAACCACTCAATCCTCATGACATATCCATGTCCTGACTCTCGCCAAGCGTAGGCTCAGGCAACGTCATAAAAATGTCATCATATTCATCATCACTGAAACAACCATTCTGATCCCCAGACTGCTGCATAGCCATCTCCATCGCCTCCTCTTGAAAAACAAACTCATCAAAAGCACGAGTATCATCATCTGCGAAAGTTAGTCAAATTCTCCAATTAACATCAATGTAACATACCAGGAAGCATATCATCCTCCTCCATATCTCCCGTCGGCACATCCATATCCCGCACCATACTCTCTTCCCACCGACGCTTATCAGCCAGATAATCCGCATGCATCATCTGCTCCCCACGAGCCTCAAACCGACCCTCATCACGCTCATTTCTAACACGATTCATATACATCTTCCGCGTCTTTGAGCGCGCAAGCGAAGTAGACGTCTTCATAGGATTGGCAACCTGATTCGCGTAGCGGTCCGAGAACTTGGTCGCGCGTGTAGAAGGGGAAGGAGAGGCCGGAGACATCATGTTATTGGTTGGAGAGAAGTTGAAGGGTGTAGACACGGCAGGTGCACCGAAGATAGGCTGTTTTTGCGGCTGTGTTTGGTGGCTATCATTGTGTGGCGAGAAAGAAGAGAAGGGTACTGGGGAGAAAGCGTTCTCTTGCGCGCCGGTTGGTTTTTGGGGATGTCCGGATCCGGCGCGTGTGGGGGATCCCATTGTCCATGGGGGAGTTGCGATATTGGAGTTTCGGGGGCCTAGGGGGGATGGGCGCGTTGGGGTGTAGTGGGAGGTTTGGCGGAAAGGTGTGGATGGGTGTGTTGCGAACATGGTGGTTGAAGAGTGGGTTTCGGGTCCCGTGGTTCGGATTTGGAAGTGTGTTTTTGTTTGTCCAAGTCCGGGGTCTGGGGTTTGAAGATCCACTGAGATTGATGATTGTAGAATTGTAAGGATTGGGGTGGACTTTTAAATGGGGATGGAGGCTGGGATGGGTGTCGATCGGATCGCGACGCGCATTCCACCACGTGAAATGAGGCGCGTTGGCACGTCAGACCACCGCCTGGAATGTTGATCGCGATTATCTTGAGAAAATATCAATCTAATCTTTTTGGCGCATTTGAGCTTTATTCATTTCATAATACTGTAAAATAAATAGGATACGATGTGTTGTATCTATGTTTTATGCACGAAGGCCGGTTTTCCTGCTAGCACGAGTCTCTCATTCATATGAGCGATCCACTTCACACAAGCTTTCGCTATAGAGTCATAATTAGCTCAGCTGGGAGATGCACTTTTAATTTCACTACGAAGAGCTTTAGATACGAATAAGTACGGTTGGAAGGTCGGGCGCATGGTAAAGAGATTAATTACCACGAATGGAAAAATCTTTAAATGAGTAGGTAATCAAAGGTGTGCATCTCGCTGGAATACAGAAGAAAAGAACAGAAAAGGTGAAGTAGAAGAGAAAAAGAAAACCAGCCTCGAAGATCGAGCTCGTGAACGCCAAAACCCTATGCTCCAAACCCGCGATGCACACGGCGCAGTGAAGAAGTAGTATGAAGGAGAAAAAGAGGGCAAGGAAAGAAGTAGGGACAACTATTGGAAACATCGCTTTCCCAAAACTTGGAGGTCTGGGGTGTCTATATTTGATCAAAGGAAAAGAGTGCGGTAGGTATTATGTTGCGGGGGTTTTTGCCCTTGCCCGACTTGGTGCTGCATAGATGAAGATAGGGAAGGAGATGGGGTCGACTATTGTGGCTCGTTACTTTCGGAAACTTTCGACTCCAAGGGTCGGGTTCTCAACGGCGCGGTCGCTTGGGACACCTTCGTCACGTCGTCGTGCAAAGAAGCTGTCACATTCGGAGACGATGTGTGCCCATTCTGCGAGGGCACGACCAGCATATTTGCTGGGCACCAGATGGTCGTAAACCGGTTGGCAAGGCAGTTCTGGCAATGGTGAATCTTTGGTAGTGTGCACTCTGTTCTGCATTTCTGAAACTGATTCTGTCGAGAGTAGCTTGGCGTCTAAAGGAGGGTCGGATGAGTTTTCATCGGGGGTCATTTCAGAGTCCGTCACGGCTTCTGAGCCGGTATCATCGTCAAACTCGCAAGGTTTGGCCGGGGAACGTCGGTGCTGCACATGGATCTGAGATGCCACGGGCAGACAGGGGGTGAAGAGGCGCTTGTTCTTTGTAGGCCACTGTGGCCGATCCATCCATTCGAGAGAGAACTTGAAGAAGAACGGCTGGTGGGGTGTTTTTGGCCGGACAAGATCATCCGAGCTGGTGTTTGGGGTTGGCTCATGATCCTCCAGACATTTACTCTCCGACGTCATGGTTAAATCGATACCAGTATTGTCGAGCTCTTCAGAGCTGCTGATACCGTCCGTGGCCCGGCTAGCCGATGAACTGCCAAACATGGACCGAAGAAGACCCCACCGACGTTTGGAAGTCTGACCTTCTGAGCCTGTTGAATCCGCGGAACTGGATCTTCGGTGTGTCATGATTTGATCGTTAGACATGGGTGGAACCACGCGGTCAAACGAAACAAACAGATTCACTGGGGAGATTTGATTGTCACATCGAATAATGATGATCCTTCGTCCTGGAGCAGGCGTGCAGGGGGCAGATGACAATGGTGCAGTTAGTCCTTCCTCTGCCTTTGACTGGAACCCAATATAGTACTCCCAAACTCGCAATAAACGATCAGAAAGAGTCTCATATATGTTTCTAAAAGATGAATTAGCAATGAAAAGGGCAATGGTAGTTGGGCGAAACTCACGAGTCAAGCGCCGTTGGATCCCCGCTGAACCTGCCCACCCTCCAGCAAAGGAGGCGGTGGAAGTAGGCACGCACCATGGGACTCCAGTGATTGAAATAGTGGTAAAAAACGGGTTCATGCAAGAGAAAATCCAGACAGAGGCTTGCTTTCCTCTCTTCGGTGGCAGTCCAAGTCCCCCAAACTGAGTAAATAAACGAGAATACCCGCACTTCGGTCAGGGAATTATGGCTCTGATTCATCTGCCGACAAACGTCCAACCAAAAGGCCCAGTCGAAGAGCTCCGTTTCGATTGACTGCGCATATCGGGTGATAATCGGGATCGCTTCCTCTGTAAAGTCGCACAGAAGGAAACATGCATTGTGGTCAAAAAGTGAAATTTTTTGGGCAACAATCTTCAAAAGCCCACAGAACGTCTCGGCATACAGAAGGCGTGCACGGTTTGGTTCCGCAGATGATTCAGAGAGCAAGTCACGCAAAAGAATGATTAATCGATTCTCTGCCATCGAGCGGTGGCTGTTTCTTGCACCTCCGATCTGATGAGGGGAGGCAGAAGCATCCGGCGATTCGAGATAATCGTCAAATGTGATAGCAGCCACTGTGGATGGGTTCTCGGGCATTTGTTGTACTGACTGCTTGTAGATCGTGTCTTCAAACGTGACAAGAAGCTGTGCATGAACCAGAAGCAAGCCCGGCGCCAAAATTCGCTTGGCTTTCTCAGTCTCTGGTGGCAAGTACTCCGCATACAGAATATGGATATATTTAACGAAAACAAAGAATAAATCAGTTTCGCGGCCAGACCAACGTGTAGTCCATGGTCCGTTCCAGGCAATATTAGCTGTGTTCAGTGGAGCCTCTGGCTTCGTTCGCAGATATCGCAACAATGGTGCATGTGAGTGAAACGCTAGTGGGCGAAGAGCAACCGGGAAGCTGAGAGCGAGCTCTTGGGTGTATGCGCGCATTGACCCAGCTCGAGAAACGGACGATTCTGCAAAAACACGGCGGAACATGGCAGGAGCTATGTTCCACAGACGGGCCAAGATATCTGGTACTCCTGGGCAGAAAAAGAAGGCATACGCACAAGCTTTCCCGCAGAAAGCTACCAGACTTGCAGGTGCATGTCTCATGGACATCCGTTCCACGACAAACGACATTTGAGACAGGAGGTTTTGGACAAAAATGTTCCGAATGTTATGATGGATCGATTCGACCAGGAAATCCGATCCTGATGAGCCTGAGCCTTCGGAGGTGTCTGACACAGAAGTTGATGCATATTGTAATGAATCTGTTGTGACTCCACTGCTTTGCTGAGCTGTGGGGAACGCCATGCGCCATTCTGGTCGAGTCATGATACCCACGACTGCCTCCAAGAACACCGGTCTGTCCGTTCCAGATATTGACTGATTGTGTTTCCCATTTAGCATCTCTAGCATCCCGATCCACCACTTGTTGAGAATGTTCACACGACGATCCAAGTCTTCAGGTCTGAGCTTCTTGCAGGAGGTGTGTAAATGATGGCGGCTGAGGAAGGGGAGGAGCGAAGAACGAATCACGTTTGCCTTGAGCGAAGTTGACTTAGATTGAAACCTGTGTCCTTTGGTCAGAAATGGTGTTATTCTGCTGTAGTAGGTTCATTACTCACTTTTGGTAGTCCGCTTCAAGACCACGAAAAATCCCCCAAAGTTCATCTTTCTTCCGCGATTGCTCGGGAGCAGTATTTTGAAACGAAGCGGCCGTAGCAGCGGCCCCTTTGGGCATTGGAGGAAGGACTGGCGTCGATACAGAGAGGGAAGCAGTGAATTTATCAAAAGAAGTCCGGTGTCGTAGCAAAGAGTTGCCAGGACTATTGCTAGACGGACTACTTGGTGATCCAGGAGAATCCTCGTGCCCTTTGGCCACCACCGCAAGCATAGGACGACGCGGCCGCTTATACAGGATTGTCCGCCTACGCGTCGGTTGTCCTGAATCCGAATCCGACTCGTTTTTGCGCCCTCCTGTTCTCGTTGGAGACTCCTCTGCTCTCTGCTTTACCCTTTTCGCCGTGGAAGGAGACGGTGATCTCGACGAGGATCCGAATGGTTTGCGCGCAAGACTGACTATCCGGCCTGACATTGAGCGGCTCTTCGACGGTCGAGCAGCAGGCTCCGGTGCCCTGTGTTCCGGTAATTTTGCTCCAGCATTCTGGTCTAAATCCTTCAAGTCCTCTGACGATGACAGTGTAAAGTGGGTGACGGCGGCGGAGGTTTTATTTTTAGATCGCAGGGATGTCCGGCGTAAGATATCTTTCCCAGCAGCTACACTTTCTTTGGTGGGCTTCGTCGGCGATTCGGCTTGTGTAGGGACGGCATAATCGGAGAACGTTCTTCGTAGGCTCGGTGAGCCTGTATCTGCATCTACCTGATTGGGGAGGTCGGTGTAGCTGGCGGCACGCGGGAGTAAGTCACTTCCTTCGTCGTTGGTATAGACGCTCGTTGTATCGAGGGAGGGCGAAGACATGGTAGGAGGAAGCGGTCAGGAGAGTAGCTGTCTACGACTGGACATTTCCCCGGGGGGCACCGCAGACGTAATGAGGGTTTTGAAGAAGACCAGCTCCTCCATGCACCAGAAGAATTCCGGTCAATAGTTAGTGCTTAGGCGCGCAGCATTTCCAGGTCCACAGCAACAAGTAAACACAGCAGCCCCCCTCCAAACGGGCAAACAAATCCCAATACAATGAAACGGGAGCAACGGGTGGAGGAAACACAACGGGTCGATCAGTCACACGCGGGGAGAGATCAGATTTCAAGTACTGAATGCGCACACATCCGCGAAGAGAAAAACAAAAAGAGAAGTCGGTGACCTGTAGATAGGTGGATCGTCGCTGCAGCTCCAAGGGCCAGCGAGTGAAATGATCGGCGTCGGGAAATCCTCTAATGGGCGGTTCGGGAGCAGAACAAGGGTCCGGTCGCGTAGTGGCGGGGAAGCAGAAGTGAGGGAGTCGACGTAGAACAGAATAATTGATGGAAGGGATAACACGCAGCCCCGTTTATATGAGACGTGATGATTGGTGATTGAGGGGGGGGAGAGGTTCTCTTTTTTTTTTTTTTTTAAGGTTTGTTTATTGGTATGAATCAGAGGGGGAGAAGGGGGTGAAGGAAAGAGAGGAGGTTGGACGATTGATAGAAGGTAGAGGAAAAGAGGTTGAAACAATATGAAGAGCACCCAAAGTAAAACACTAGAAGATATGAAAGAGACTACCAAGGTTGATGATAATTAAAAAAAGAAAGATAATGTAATTGATTCAGATCCTCTCTCCCCTTGACCCAATCTCCCCATGCTAAGGTGAGACACGCTGTCCGTTCCCCACTGCATAACCCACTCTGTATATAGCCATCATTCTCGCGTAATCTTGTGTCCCCGAGTTAAATGGTCTATTTCCAGGTTGTCTTTGGTCTCGATTGCAACCTGGTACAGGCCAATAACATCGGCTCCGAAAGGTTTAGAATTCACCCCCAAGGAGGGGAAAGGGTAATATGCATGTCCACGCTGGTTTTAGGTTTATATACAGGTTACCCGATCCGCCCACTTCCGTATAGATGAACTATGCGGTTCTCTGTACTCTAGGAACCGAGAGCTGGTGTAGTCTCATATTCCAACGCCATTCCTCGAGGGCTGCACCCATGCTACATCATATATACATTCCACTGTGGAATGTCGCCCAAATGGCATCAAATCCAAAGATTAAGAACACAATGACATGACATGCCCCACATTCCTCCAAGGAATTGAAAACACTTGACCTTGAACTGGTACAGCTGCACCATACGTGACCAGGATTACGATCGAATCGGCATTGCAGATTCACGGGGACGGATATGTCAATCCGGGCTGTCTTGTGGCACATAACGTCGTTCATTACCCACTCGGCAGGGGTTCTCGCCACTAGAAGACTTTCAGGCCCATGGATAGACCTGGCTAAGCAATGAGTCTTTGGGTTTGATTTCGTTCCGCGGTGTAATCTCAGGGCCACTTCTCCAGGGCATTGCGCAAGCTCTTGGCGATGGTTTCATCTTTCGCCCCCCTGTCGATACATCCCAGCCACGACTTTAGCTGAGGTTGAGAGAAGGCGCGATAAGACAGTCGCTGCAAGAAGAATCAACAGTGTGACCGTTAAACCGGATAATATCACCGAGTGGTGCACAAGGTTACGAGAGAGAGAAAAGCAACTCGATACGAGCTGGAGGCAAAAAAGGAAAGTAAACGAGGCACCAACAAGCGGGGATTAAGCTCAGCCAGATTGTCCATAGACGGGACCACGTCATTAGGCTCGATATGCAGGGTGTTCAGCCCCAGGTCCACCTCTTACGACAACAAGACGCCTCATGTCAGGGAATGGCACTGGCGTTGCTTTAGGTTGTCAATTTTCATCCCATAATCCATCAATTGGCAAGATGGCCGAGTTGGTCTAAGGCGTCAGGTTAAGGTTCACCTTGACATCCAATTTCCTGATCTACGTTTGTAGGCGTGGGTTCAAATCCCACTCTTGTCATTTCTTTTTTGGATCTTTGTTTTTCAGCCCAGTCATCTTTACCTAGTCGCCCCATGTTTTTACTTTCGTTTCCGTTCCAACTCATCCCAATTAGTGTCATCCAATTCGGCTTTTACACATAGTCAACGCGACAATGGCGTTGATGTATATCCGCAACTCTCTGTATGCAGCTCTGCATTCTGCAAGCCAACCAAATACTACGTTATTTCCTGAAATTAATTCACTCGCAATGTTCTGACAAGTCAGATTCGACCTTTCGAGTTGTTATGATTTTCATCCGTTCATATCAACTATGCTGGACAGGTCAACGATCGCCGGCATCGGAGCACATCGGAGCACCCCTCTGAATCGCCAGGGGTATCATAGATTGATTCAATTCTACTCTTCAGACTGGCCACCTGTATGGCCATTGATCATATAGGCTAGTCAATTGATGTCCTGGCGCAGTTCAAAGGGATATATAGTCGCACTAGTCCAATTGTTCGCAAAGTTAAACTCACTATCATATCAAGGTGTAAACCCGGCCTTTGTTGACATGCCTCGAAATGTGATATCAATTCAAGTGTCTCAAGGAATCTGAGCGACGATCTTATTCACCAGTGCAATGTTTAGAGATTACAAGATAGGATAACATGATTCATGTCGGGGATTATCAATACGAGGATCCTGTCGCACCATTTCCACGGGAGCACAAGCTTGATGCTCCAGCCTTGGAAGACGACTGTTTGAACTGAGAGCAGGCACAAAACAGACTGGAACAAGTCCGTGGCAGAATCTCGTCGAGAATGAAGCAAAAGGAGGTTGAACATTTCAAGGGTGGTCTAATTTACAAGCTTCAGGACCCGAGAGGCGGCCAATCTAGTCACGCCACAGGCATGCACAGCCGGCCCCCCATATTTCCCCAGACCTTGCCAAATAAAAGTAAGGGAAATTTAGTGAGCAGCAGCGGCCTCCTCTTCCTCCTCGACGAACCAGCTCTCCTCGACGGGGGCGGCCTCACCGGCGGCGGCCTGGCCCTCAACCTCAACAACGGACTGCTCGTAGGCGGAGAGCTCACCGGCAAGGTTGGCCTCCTCGGGGGAAGCGGGGGCCTTGGGGAGAGCGAACTTCTGGACGTGGGCATCGGCGTCGCCGGCCTTGATGGGGGTGGGCTTGTAGGCCTTGAGCTCACGGATGTACAGGTCCTGGATGGGGTCGGCTGGAAGATATCAGTCAGGAACAGGCGAGATCGAGTATTAAGCTGAAGTATGTTGTAGTGGCTTTCAGGGAATTCAAGGACGATACATACCGCGGCGGACAGCAGATGTCATGAAGGTGCGAGCGACCGGGACCTGTTGCCGAGCGGCACGAGTGAAGAGGGAGCGCTGGTTCATGATCGCGTTAGCTGGTTGACTTGGAATTATCGCCAGTAGTGACCCACCGAAGCCCGGAGAGACTGGGACATCATCTTGGCGACGGAAGTAGTCGGTACACGTAGAATGAGGGGATGCTCGACAGGAGGGAGATCTGAGCCGTCGTTCCGGTGCAGTGAAGTTCAAAACGACTTCTGTTCGGAAGGAAATGCTTGGCGCTGAGTCATGTTCACGTGATATACCGGATGGTTCTCAGCCGGCTTTGTCTCTCACTTCACCTTTGTTTCCTCTCATCTCTCCCCCAGCTCCTCGATCCACCCCAACCCTAAGCTTGTCTCTGGAACTCGACTCTTCTGCTCTTCGCGTTCCTGCAGCCATCCGGTTCGACGACCCTTTTCGTGAGCTCGTTCTTACGGAGACCTTGATTGGTTCCCCGCGGTCGAACAAGCTCAGGCATCGAGGCTCTCTGACACCCTTTCTTATCAAGAAAGCGCAGATTAGTGAAGTCTTCCTCACTACTGGGGGGTGATCTGTTTTTCTGGGCGTGGCCATATTTGAAAGGTAATGACAGCCTCGAGGACTCGAGAAAGTCTGTGGTGTCGCAACCTGGACACCCCAGCCAGGCGGCGACACCATCCTGGCTTGTCGTGCTTTTCACGTTGGATGCGAATAGGCTAACATGAATACCTGGGTAGTGGTGTACGCAACTTGAAAAGGCAGCTGCTGCTCTTTTTCTTCTCGTGGCACATCCGCCAAGGTGTATTCGCCACTGTTCCTTCGTTACTATAATCGCAAATACAACATACCCGTCACTGCTAAAAGGATCGCCAAGAGACAGAAATCCCGTTTTGAGCAAATTCGGCAAGCGAAGAAGATGGCGACCCTTTCGAGTGTGGCGGCCGATACGGCGACAACTCCGTGGAAGAAAAACCTCTCCGCAACTCTCTGTTGCCCCGAATGCAAGGAAGTGCCTCCTAATTTGGAGTTCCCGGACTCCCACGAGACTGTCTGTGGCTCTTGCGGCTTAGTTTTAGCCGATCGTGAAATCGACATGCACTCCGAGTGGCGAACCTTCTCGAACGACGACCAAAACAATGACGATCCGTCTCGTGTCGGAGAAAGCTCGAACCCTCTTCTCAATGGAGACCAACTCGAGACTACCATCGCTAGCGGAGCTACTGGTCGATCTCGTGATCTTTACCGTGCTCAGAACAAGCAGTCCAATGAGAAGTCCAACAAGGCCCTCTTGGCGGCATACAAGGAGATTGGTGCTCTTTGTGACGGCTTCAATATCCAGAAGAATGTGGCCGACACAGCCAAGTATCTCTTCAAGGTCGTGGACGACGCGAAGGCTTTCAAGGGAAAATCTCAGGATGTGATCATCGCCGGGTGTATATTCATTGCGTGCCGTCAGTGCAAGGTCCCTCGTACTTTCACTGAGATCTTTGCTGTGACGAAGGTCACTCGCAAGGAAATCGGCCGCATCTACAAGGCTCTTGAGAAGTTCTTTACAGCTCAGAACATTGAGCGCAACAACGCTTCTGGTGGTGCAGAGTCCTCTGATAATTACACTGCTACCACCTCGACCAAACCCAGTGACCTCTGCAGCCGTTTCTGCAACCTTCTCGATCTTCCATACTCGGTCACCAGTGTCTCATCTTCGCTTTCTGACCGCGTTACGGCCATGGGTGATCTGGCTGGACGTTCGCCCTTGTCTATTGTGGCTGCTTGTATCTACTTGGCCTCGTACCTTATGGGTCACGGCAAGTCTGCAAAGGAGATTTCTATCGTTGTTCATGTCAGCGACGGAACCATCCGCGGTGCTTACAAGCAGCTGTATGCTGAGCGTGAGCGCTTGGTCGACAAGGAATGGATCAAAGATGGCAAAGGCGACATGTCTAGGCTCCCTGTGAGCTAAAATTACCTGAGTAGCCACCAAATTTTGCTGTACATTCCCCCATACAAAGTCCATACAGATCATGTTCTGTGACTTTTTACCTTTCTATCGATTCCCAATGGTTTTTTTTTTGCCCTTCTTGAAAAGGAAAGTTAACAAAAAAAAAAAGAGTTTTTGACAGATGCAATACCCCAGTGACCATTTTCAGCCCAAAAATGTTTTGTCGTTAGTCTGGATGCCGCTAATGTACATGGGCCCGTTGAAACAGAATTAATAAGTTTATTATTACATTTTGACTAGTTCATCTATCCCGTAAAGTTGGAAATCTCTTGATTGTGATTGTGATTGTGGACCGTTGCAAGCCACGGTTCCAAATTTAGACAATAAGACTATATAGTACGAGACTCATCATATATTTCGTCTACTGGACTATATACTCTACTTAAACATTACCTAATATACTGGGCCTTCAGTCATTTGACGCTCTATGCCAAATGACCAACAAGACAGCTTCGAAATCAACCAAGTGGCATTCTACAAGATGCCATAATGGAATAGATTCATGTGTGAATCAATCAATCACTAAATAAACAACACGCAACAATAGCTTGAGCAGGTTGGGGGACTAATGTTAGCAGGATCTGAATGTGGTAACGTATAACGCTCCACTCGTCCCCACGGGCCTCAACAACAGAAAGAACAAGGTGAACGAGGAAGACAAGGTATGAAAATAGAACAGGAAACAAAAAAAACAAAGTAGGTTAGGATGACGATGGTAAGTCGTGCATATCGCCATCTGATGCCTTCTTACCATCAGCTGATGCGGTCATGTCCTCGAGAGCGTTCTCCAATTTGGGGGAAGAGACCTCTTGAACAGGAGCCTGAGTGGCCTCGATTAAGGGCTCATCCTCCTTAAATACGGACTGTGGCTCATCTTGTCTTATCGAGGGCTCGACAATGGGCTCAGTAGATTGCTGTGAGGGTACTTGCTGTGAGGCTACATCCTCCTTTGAAGACTGATCGATTTCGAGGGCGCCAGTAGCATTGGAAGCAGGTTCAACCGCCGCTGGAGGCTCCGGGGTCGGGTCAACAGGTTCACCAGCAGTGTTCTTTGCTATCTCCGGTGCCATGGCGGGCTCAGCGGGAATGGCTACCTCGGGCGCCTTGGTGACATTCTTTTCATCACCGACAACCAAGTTGCCATCTTCGCAAAGCTGCCAGACATTCCATGTTTCTGTAATCTTGATCTCTGGAATAGTCGGTAGTCGAGCATTGGCATTCTCCGCAGCGGGCTTTCGTCGGGCAGGACCACGAGCTCTGCCCTTGCGGGCATCGCTTAGCGGCTGCTTCTCTGCCGGAGGTTCAGGCTCCTTCTCCTGAGGCTTTGGCTGTTGAGGGCCTAGCTGGAGACGTGAGTTCAGATCCGTGAGAAATCCTGCCTTCAGAGCTGCAATCTTGCTGCCACCAGGACGAGCTGGCACTGCAGGCTTTGCTTTGGGCATGGCTGGGCTTTCATCAGAGGCTTCTTTGGTCTCCGAGCCAGCTGGGACCTGAGGATTAGGCTTTGCGGGACGAACCGGTACCTGAGGCTTCGGGCGACCAGGAATCACTGGTGGCTGACGCTTCTCTATCGGTGATGTGGATTGTGACTGCTTCTGTGGCCGGGTAGGGATGGTAGGTCTAGAAGGTCCTTCGGGGCTCTTAATCCCATCCTCTGCGGGCCCAACGGTAGTCACCAATTGCTGGCTGTCTGGTGCATCCTCCCAGATATCTCGACTTGGGAATCGCTGCTTGATAGCATTGGGGCGTTTGGGGGCCTTGGGGCTTTCACGAGAACTCTCCCCCTCAAGAATATGACTGGCTACTTGGTGAGAATCAATTTTCGAATTCTGCATCCTGCGATTGGCCTCTTGTTCGGGTGTCTCAAAAATCTCTGAGGAGTCCTGTCTGGGGAGATCCGGGGTGGTGACCGTAGCATGGAGTTGCAGGCTGTTTGGTGCATCTTCCCAGATATCCTGACTCGGGAACCTGTGCTTGGACAGCTCAGGGCGCTGTTTGAAACGATCTGCAGCTGAGACAGGACGTTCCTTCTTGTGCTCATCTTCTGGGAATAACGGTTCGTATTCCTCGACATTCTCTAGAGGGGTGTAGTTATCATCATGCAATTCGCGTGAGTCAAACCGAGTCAACGTGGGCGCTCCTTGAGCACTGGCCGATCTGCTGTTGGAACGGCTGTGTGACACACTAGGTGTCCGGCTTCGGTATTCCTCATCAAAACTTCCACGAGTGGGTGAAACCGCAGGATGGAGGTAGGCCGACCCGGGGCGCGCTTCATCGGCAGCCAGAATAGGCTGGTGGTCTTCGAATGGTTCTTCGATCGCCATTGTTGGCTCATCTTGTGCTGGAGTGGCAGCAAATCCATCTGGGTGGTGGAGATGGTGCTTCGGGTCGTCGACGTGGATAATGTCATTGTCTGCACGATTGCCATGTGATCTGCTCCGACCGTGGCGTAGCGGAGAGGCAGGCGCATTCTTGGGCTCGATTTCCGAGGCTGGGAAACTCATCTGGCGAAGGGGAGATTCTACGGTGGGCTGAGAATCAAGCCGAGTGTCAGGTGGGGGAGATGCCATGCGGTGCATATACTCATCGGAGGCAAGGTATCCAACTTCCTCCTCGGGTGTTCCCTGAACTTTAGGAGAAGTGCCTGTTGTTTGATGGGGTTAGGGCTTAGTTAAATGAACTTGTCAGTCATCTCAGCTTACCAGGTGTAGAGCCAGCTGGGCCTCGAACAATCTTGTTCAGATCGTCGCTGCTCAGAGCCCAATCGGGGCGAGGAGTGCCCACGCCAGGGCCATATTGCCCCTCCTCCCTCACGAATTCATCGGGGTGCTTTTCATACCAGGCCTTCTCAAACTTGTCACCATTCGGCACACCGTGCCCGTGCAGGCCGTAACTGCCCGGGGGCAAGGAAGAGTCTCGGGCACTACGAGAACGGTGGTGGTTGCGACCTGAGCGTTGAGAGCCTTGGTCTAGGTAGGGGCTAGGAGAAGGTGCTTGAACTTCACCGGCATTAGGGTACATAGGTACCCGGAAGCCATGTTCCTCTCCGGGCTGCATGGAATGCCGGCGATCGGAGGAAGCGGTGGACGACTCGGCCCGCGAGCCACTCGCTCGGGAATGCAGTGATCGGCTGGCCCGCTCCGGCTCTTCGAGTGCGGGGGAGCTTTCGCTGTCCCGGCCTAGGCCAGCAGCAGCAGCCTGACGAGAGTCTGTGCGGGTGACCGCCTGCACTTTTGCCTTAGCACTTAACGTCGGCAAGGAGGGTCTCGGCGCATGAATCTTGAGGTCACTGCTAACGTTACGAGTCTCTGTCGGTGCCAGGTTATGACCTTCGGGCACGTTTCCAACATCCAGATCTGCATACTCAATCCCTTCCTCGCCCAGGGACGGTATTGTTACGCTCGGGGGGCGTTGGGGGGGGCTGAGGGATATCATTCGAGGTGGTCCGGCTCAAACTTGGACCGGTCCACTCGTTGAAAGGAGATGGTGCATAGCTGCTCCGCATTGGAGAAACTGATCGATCGATGCGGCGGTGAGCCGGGCGTGGGGGAATACCAGGCATATCTATAGAGGGACTCGGCTGTGGGGATCGAGACGGTCGAGGGGGAATGACCGGGGCAGTCTGGGTGGACATGATGAAGATCTTTTTGAAGCTGCCGTATTTCAATATCAGCTTAGGCTCGACTATACCCGAGGGCCACGTGTTTGAGGCATTTTGGGCCTCTTCCTGTAGTACCCTTGGAATCCTTGCAGGCCAAGGCTTGACGAGGGTGATTCTGTGGGGTCAACAGCCCGACAAGTGACGTCTATGGATGCAGGATAGGTCCAGGCCCCTGGTTTATCCAGTAGAGGGGGGAAGGGCGGGTAGCTGATAAGCAGGTGCAGAAATGATTTGCTTACCCAGATTGATCAGTTGGATATCACAATGCCTGGAGGCCAATTGAAACTAATGCAGCACAAAACGGTGAATGTAGTAACAAATGAGGGGGAAAGGATTTACTTGGGGCAGAAGGTGACAGGAAAGCAGGATGATGTATGCCTCTTTCTGCCACGACCCACCGAGCGCGTGACGTGCTCTGACCGCATCCAAAGTCTGCGTCCACCGAAATCACTGTCTTTTACCGTATCGTTACGGGTCTCGTTCTTCTAGCTTTGAAGTGTAGAAACCAATGTTTTACAATGCCCTCACTTGACGTGAGGTGTTTCATCCTCCATTCATTTTCCTAGTACGAGAGATTTAATTGATTATTGGATGCCTCAAACTTGAGAACCTTTCTGCGACATTTTCGAAGCAAATGCCTCATGAAGAGTGGAGCGAGATCGTTAAGGTTCGGGGGCAAATCATGGCTCGTGTGGCCTTTATGGCGGTCTGTCTTACAACAACCTCCTATTGTCCTCTCTTTCCAGACTATTGGACTGATACTCAAGTACTCATTTGGGTCCAGACCGAGGGTTATTAATAGCCTATCTCTGATACGGTGGCGGTGCATCGAAGATTCATATCCATCATGATAAGGAGTATCGGTCTCGATTATTTCTATGCGAGTTCATTGGTCTGCCTGACCGAGGCGGTGAGGGTGTGAATGGCTCTCCGCATTGCATCATCTAGGATGACCCCTCTGATGCACCTACTCAGAATTCAAGAAACATAAAATTAAATTAAAAATTAAAAATGTAAAGTAATTGAGATAGATGCATGGGATCACTCAAATTTTTCTGTCGACATGATTGAAAAAATGCAAAGCCGCCAATTCGGTAGGGGAATCAGACGAGCAGCTTTGCTTGAGTGGTAAAGGTCTAAGCCCCACTCTCAGCCGTTCCTAGCCTTATGGGATTTGGGATTAATACCGTCACGTTCTTGTATGATGCGAGGGCCTGGAACGCGATTATTCCGACGTAGTTCCTGGGTAGGGGTTTGGAGTATTCCCGGGTGGCTTGATCGTCATGGGTCAGGTTCTTGGTTATTGAATCTGGTCTGGGGTTTCCCATTTGTATCTGTGGGGTGACGATCCTACCGAGAAACTAGCCTAAGTAGGTGGAGAGCAAGGTGATCAAAGTAGATCCTATTCCAAGGCAGACCGTTTGATCTAAGGGTTTTCTAATGTTTTCCATTAAACAGATGCTATCGTTCAGTCTTTTGGCGCGTAGTGTGTTCTCTATCATGAATAATTGGAAAGACATGCGTGGAAAAGTAAAGATTAGTAAGTAGTGAGGCATATACAGAAGGTATTCAATACAGCAAAGAAAAGGTAAATGTTGGCGGAGAGGTACATGTACAAGGGAGCATTTTGATACTTGAAGAGGCTTGTGATCGAGCTTGGAACGCTTGTAGAAGAAGTTGCCGCTATGAAGGGGAGGTTCAAGACTCTTGAGATAGATTTCAAGGATCATATTTCTTTTCTGGGTTGAAATAAATTTTTTTCGAATGATATAATGCGTCTCCTCTAGATGTACCCCGACTATCTCAAAAACCTCCCGGGGGCTAACGTGAGAATACAGGTAGACTTGCTATTCTTCTGTGACAATTAGAAGGTATTACAAACTTTCTTGGGATTTGGCCTGGGGTAGGTGGGCAGACCGATCGTTGTTCGTCCAGCTATAGCTACGTGACTTGGAATTTGAGTGCGCTTTGAGGACATTGTTTTTCATGTAGGCTCCGCTACATCTGAGGCTTCCAAGGTTCTCACAATATTTGTATACTGTGCCGCAGGGACTGAGAGGCAAAATACTCCCAGCTACTTGGAACTATTTGGGAGTAGCTAGTGAGAAATAAGAATTGAGAAATAAAATTTGTCTGAATCAGAAGGACAATTAAAAAATGATAAAAAAGAAATGACAAGAGTGGGATTTGAACCCACGCCTACAAACGTAGATCAGGAAATGATGTCAAGGTGGACCTTAACCTGACGCCTTAGACCAACTCGGCCATCTTGCCAGTCGATAAAGAAGCCTCTCAATTTTAGTTACATTAACCAATTCCTTATGACACGATTACTTTCACCTGGACATGCAAAATATCATCTAGGCACAATGGCACAATTTGTGGTCCGAATGTTCCAAAATTTGCTTAACTTATGAATGTACATATAAACTTGAAACATTCCAGGCTTCACTTTGTTAGTTACTAGTAGCTTTCTCTTCTGTCCAGGTCAAACAATCCCTTGTCCTAGGTACCCCAGTAGTGTGGTTCAAAATATATTTGATCCAACGGCTCCATACATCGAAGACCAACGTTTCACCTTAAATTATGCAAGGAAAACCAATCACATATCATACTGAATCATGGATTATGTCATAGATCAGAGGCTCACTGAGTCTATCAAGGGACATAGATAGTCCTACACGGTGGCATTTCGAAATAAAGCGCAAGCCAACTTTGGACGGGACATCGGGACGTGCCTAGGTGCTTGGAACAGACTATGATCCAACAACTACCTGAAATGGAGCCCCGAGGTCCAGGAAATTGTCATTTCAGGATACTATAAGAAGGCACAGGTGCGTACTCCTCACAGGATTGGTCCCAAATCTAACAAGTAATTAAGTCATAAGAGATAGTGCAGCCTTAAACCATACAGAAAACAGTTTGGAATATGTCCAAGGCGAAAACATCAAAGTGCCAAGTAGGCTCGCCCCGAACTAGAGAAATACAAGTACAGGGCAGATAAACAGCAAGGTCATGGCGCATTCCAGTGCAAGTTGCCCGAGGGCCTTTTTGAGGATTTCGCATCGAGCATCTCATCATTCCACGCAGAAATTCGGGCCCCAAGAGTTATGCTAGCGCGTCCACACCCGGAACCGAAGGAAGCAGCGCGATACCAGTCTCACAATCCAAGCGCTTTAAACAATCATCTGTACAACACCCTGACCACCCAGAGTCTTGCTGCCAACAAACTCCTGGTTCTTCAGACCAGCGAAGGCGTAGAAGAGTGCGGCAATAATGAGGATAACGGCCACCGCGATCAAGCTGGAAGCACCCGTGCAGAGACTGGCCCACTGGATGGCGCTGAGGACTGTGTACATGGCAGCTCGCATCCAGTTTGTAGTGAAGCGGCGGATGAAGGCATCGAATGTGGAAGACGTAGGGCAAATGCGGAGGAGCCAGGGAACTTCAATGAAGAGGATGACAAAGGTCGAGGCGCTGTTGCATGGTTAATGAGAATGAGTTCCGCCTGGGAGGCAATTCCAGACTTACAGGGCAAGGACGGAAAAGATGATCCGGATGACGTGAACAGTGAAAATGTTGGCAATCCCAAGCGCCAGACAAAGAATCATACCCAGAATACCGGTCCTAGTAGAGTTTTGTCAGCTAGTGCTCTGTTGCACACAGGTGGAGACTCGGAAGCAGCAGTGAAGGTGAGCACCAAAGGCCTTTGACTGCCTCGGCACATCCGTCCTCCATGACATCAGGATTGAAAATCCCATAGGCGACAAGACAACTTAGATACTAACCATTGTCCGTAGATACCTAGAGAATGGTGAGGTCAGCAGGCGAGGGAATCCACTGGGTACTGATCGACATGGCCGCCGCATCAGCACGAGGGGACACATACTGAAATTTCGGGAGCGGAACTCCTCGGCAAGCGTCATTATGGGTGGGGAGGTGGCAGCAATCTACAGCGACCAAAGAAGAGGCTTGAGATTGAGAACACAGATAGATGTGGCGTCTCTTGGAAGATGGGTTCAAAAGTGAAGTGTACACGCGGCGGATTAGCCACGGCGGGCGGTCAATCACTGAAACGCAAACAAAACAAAGCGGACAGGCTAATGTCGATCAGGTACCACTGGGTCCAACAATGTAAATAAAGTAGAGTTTGACAAGCTCATTTGCATCTATAGGATTTCTCAACTGTTTTATCCTTCAATCACCCCCTTCCAACAGGCAGACATCAAATATTTTGGTCCGACACCAGCCCACTCCAACTTAGGCTGCCACATATCAATAGTCTTTTCTTGATACCGAGTCTCTGGACCAAATCAGTAAAGTTTAGCATCGATATCCAAAAAGATCGCTCTCTTCAATGCGAAAAATGAGAAGCAAGGATCTAAATATAACCTTAAAAAGGCCTTTTGCTAGCTTTAACAAGAACCCAACACTAATAGACTGCAACATTCCAGGAAATTACCTCCGACAGCAGGATCGACCCGACACCAAAAAGTGCACCTACACCGTAAAGAGCAAAAAACGAACCGACTTTGACTTTTGCAAGATATTGATTGTAGATGCACAAAAAACAGAAAGATAAAAAAGATAAAAAGAAATGACAAGAGTGGGATTTGAACCCACGCCCCGAAAACGAGATGCGGAAATCTGGATCAGGTGAACCTGAACCGCACGCCTTGGACCAACTCGGCCATCTTGCCTGTTGATATAGAAAGATCCTCTTTTTGAAAATATCAAGCTGAGCATTAGAATTCCACGCAAACCCTAATTGACA